GCAGCACTCGGTTCCTGGAAGCCCCCACCCCACCCTGCAGGCTCAGATGTGAGCAGCCCCCCAAGAGGGAGTGGGAGACCTCCTTCAGGAGGCTCTTGGTCCCGCCTGCATGTGGAGAAGGTTATTAGCCCTTCTGCAACCTCACCACTAGTCTAGAGAAAAATAGTCAATGAAGGATGCGCCAGAGGACACTTCCTGGTGCCTGAGGGTATTTCTGCTCCTGGCAGTGCCAGCGCACTGCCTGCTCTGGCTCTCCTTGAAGTCTCCTCGTATACTGGAGGTGTGTGCAGCCTTGTGACTAATACCCTGGGCTTCTGCCAGGGAGGGGTGTGGTCCCAACGAGGCCACCCAGAAAGCACCTTGTTTATATGGTCAGCCTAGGGATTTATTTGCCAAAAGCCTGTCACCCATTACATTACTGCCTGGTGGCTCCAGGACTTTTAAATTGTGATTAAGCTGGGGCAGCAGGAGGAGGGAGGAGAAGGACAGGAGAAAATGACCCCTGCTTGCCTCTCTCCCGCCCCTCTTTTCCTCCTCTTCTGTGGGCAGTGTGCCCCCAGTGGGGCTGGCCCCTGGATGCACTGCCACAAATGCACAAAAATGTTTGTATGAAAAAGTTTACCTTTACACTAAGTATGGAAGGAAAAAAATGAAACAACCTAAACATTCATCAACACGGGACTGGTTAAATAAGCTGTGGGTGTGTTCATGCAATGGAGTGTTATGCCCCATTAGAAAACATGGAGACAGATTACATGTGCTGCGATCATATGTTCAGTGAAGGAACACACTGACAAACTGCGTGTAACATGACAAGCTGTCTGGGAGCACCCCCGACGCTCTGTGCTGGGGATGCAAGCGTGAGCCACGCCTTCCTCCAGGCTCTCAGGCGGGGGCAGAGGGCCGCGGGGCTTCCCCAGGCCCCTCACTTCCCCTGGAATGTTTCCAGTTGGAGGGGAAAAACTCTCCAAAGGTTTCCATTTTTAGCCAACATCTCTCTGCAACACTAGATTTTTAGTAATTTTTAAAGTCAAACTTTAGAACAAAGTAAACATATGATCTACTTCCTGTTACCCATAGATTAGAGAGCCCCACACCAACCACCTTGAACCAAAGAAAACCAAACAAATTAAGTACAATTCACACTCATGAAAGAAAATTTTAGATTGCAATTTTTGTACAATAAATATTTTTAAATAGAATCTTTTTAAAAAAAAAATGTCATTATAAAGTCAACTGCCCTTCTTTGGGAAGAACTGACTTATGCTTTTCCTCCCTATTTGGTAATGAACTATCCTTTCATTTATGACGTGCTGCTGATAGTAATTTAGACAGTATTTTTTTTTTTTTTCATAGCAAAATCAAATGCTGGCAATCTCCTGTCAGGCTGCTGTACTTTTACTTCTGTTCATGCCTATCCTGCGTCCTTCACCAAAGGACACTGAGAATAAATATATGGTCCAAATTATTACAACTTTGACCCTCGTTTCTGGACACTGTCCTATCCAGCCCAGAGGGACGTTCTAAGATGGTGTGTTCAGTGTCCTGGGCGACCTCGCTTCCCTAGGCAAACGTGCCCTCCCCATTGTTTTATATTCTCAAGCAGCATGTGCCCTGCAGAGCTTCAGGGCTCCGTCCCTAGTGGCCAAGCCCACAGCGCCGCAAGAGTCACTGGGGTCGTTGGCTATTTTGCAAAGATCTAGCATTGGAACCTGGCCCCCTGAGGAAAGATGGATGGAGCATCTCACAGTATCAAGAGCCACTCCTAGGCACCCTGAGGAAAGGCAACAGTAGTTTTCTGCCCTATTGGAATCTTTAACACCATTGGACAAACAAGATAATTGCCCAAACATACAAAGACAACAAGAGGCAGAAAATAGTAAATACCAGCTGACACAGTGAGACACATGGAAAGTATGAGTTTTCTGAAAGCTAGAGAATGAAGAGATCCTTTCTGGCTAGGATGGTTAGAAGTGTATGGTGATCAAGAGAATATTCGGGAGTCCAGTTGCTGACTGCACCTCTCACTAGCTGCGGGACTGCCCCGTGCCTAGGTCCCTTCAGGTGCCAAGTGAGGATAATAATCTTGCCTACTTCATACAGCTGTTATGGAGATTAAAGGGCTGGGCGTGTCATAAGCATCCGTAAGCATTCACCTCTGTCAGGGTGACATTTGAGAAGGAGCATGTTTAGAAAATGGAAACTCATCCCTACTGGCTAGAGGGCATCATTAGGGTTAATCCAAGAGCTTAACAGGAGAGGAATTTGGAAATGCAGGGGAAAGAAGTCAACAATAGGCTGACTTGGAGTTATGTTCGCTTTTAGGAAATGTGGTGCCAGAGGTGATAGCACGGCTTTTGCGTCAGACTGTGATGTGGACAGTTGGAACCATCCTCCAGGGCGGGGAGCAGGTCCAGGGTCAGAGAGTCTTCCGAGCTGATGCTCTGGCCACAGATGCTCAAGCGTGTGTGTGTCTGGATGAGCGGATGGGGGCAGTGGCTGTGGATGAGATCCTTGCAGGAGGGGAGAACCGAGGGAAGAAGGGAACCATAGTGATAGTTCACCAAGACCACGAGGCCCTGAAGGGGAGGCTGATGTGCAGCCAGGCCTCCTGTCCCTGTGGGGCTCCTGTCCCTTGCTGATCCCGTTGCTCAGGCTTTCTCTGCTTTCCACTGCCCACTGCTTCCCAGTCACCGCTACTCTGCGTTCCAGTCTTCTGCACACATCTTTTGTAGCCCTCCAGTGAGAGGTCTCCCAGTCCCTATCACTTCCTGGACCACACAAGCTCTCCACACCGCGCAGCAGCAGCGCTCCATGACATAAGCTTCGGGCAGCCAGCCGCATGCTACATGCATGAGCCGTGCCCTGTGGCAGCCAGAAGGGCCAGTGGGGGCTCGGGTCCCGTGACCCGATATACGTTCCATACGAGGGAGGCGCGAGCCCTTCTGCATGGTTCCATCAAACCTGCTTTGTGAGAGGAACGTGAACCAACCCCTATGCTTAGAGACCCTGTTGTGTCCTAAGAGGGTCTTGGGGGAAAGCAGATGGCAGGAGGTTGGGGTGGTACTGGATGTCTGCAAATAAATATAGTCTGGTGAGGTGGGAAAAAAAGAGCTTGTACAGCCCTAGAGGGAAAGAACCAGGAGTGATCCCTGGAAACAGGGGCTCTCAGAAAACAGACGAGAGTGAGCAGAAGCCTGGGCCGCGTAGAGGGTGCCGTGCCCAGGGCCGCGGGCCACCACCCTTTCTCCTGCTTCCAGAGGTTGTTTAGGTGGATGTGCCCAATGCAGACCTGTGCCCGCCACTCAGGGATGTCTGAAAGTGCAGCACAGACAACAGCATGAAAAGATAATACGTGTGAGCCCCCAAATGAGCCTTTTGTTTTATGGAGAGAGATGACGGAATTGCAGTAAATGGGGCTGGGGGCACAGAGAAGGATTGGATCACCATACTTACAAAATAACTTGGGGTGACCAGGAGAAAATAACTATTCAGGAGGGAGAATCAAGAACTTGGTGATTGGGGGCACTCTGGGGTATTTTGAAGGTGGAACAGAGTTAGAAGAGGCAAGATTATTATATGACATTTATATTGGATACTTAGGAAGTTTCATTGTATGATACACTATAAAGTCTACTCTTCTTTGCCCTTAAGAGAGCATCAGAGATGCTCTTTAAAAAAAAAAAAAAAAAAAAAAAAGGAAGAAGAATACGGGTATTTGCCCTGGCCGGGTGGCTCAGTTGGTTGGAGCATGGTTTGTGCACCAAAATGTTGTGGGTTTGATCCCCCGTCAGGGCACATACCTAGGTCGTGGGTTCGATCCCCAGTCAGGGTGCATACAGGAGGCAACCAGTCACTGTTTCTCTCTCACATCAATGTTTCTCTCTCTGCACCCCCTTCATCTCTCTCAAAAATCAATAAACATATCCTCAGATGAGGATTAAAAAAAGAGAGGCTACAGCAATATTGTAATAAATAAATAAAAATAAAGAATGCAGTTATTAACATGGTGACACAGACTCAAAATACTGAGATACCCAGACCAAGACAAGACCACAAAAGCTGCTTTTATTTGGGTTGCGTATGGATTTTCCCAGAAAATGCCAGCATCTCTGTCACTGTCAGGTTCTCTTGGTTCATTTAGAAGCAAAATGTAAGAATTGTGGCAGTAGAAATCTCAACTGGCTGCTCAGTCTCCCTGGGTTCTTGCTGATACCTAGCTTCCAAGGCCTCCTCCGTGGCCACCAGCGCCACAGTGTCCTTTAGTCACAGGGACTCAGAGGGCAGACCCCCATTGCCAGTGGTCTCCCCACCCTTCCTGCCAAGAAGCAGGGGTTTGACTGTGCGCCCGCCTGCCCTTCCCAGCCTCACCCCGCGTGACGTCAGGGCCAGCTGCGGCCATGTGACTTTCCCAATACATTCCGTTTCCTTCTGACTTTGCCTCTCTGCTGCTGAGATTTAACCCTGAGTCCATTTGGGCGCTGCTCTGCCAGTCTCACCCTGCGTGTGTGTGGCTGCTGACCCACACATGGGAGTTCCTGGAGGGACCATCTCCCTCACTCTCTGCTGTCTTTCTTGTGGGCACGTGGAGCTAGGTGCCCCAGCCTGTGACCCATGGGCTCTGTGGAATTACCAGGGAGGGAGTCATTGGGTGTGGCCCAGTGAGCCCGCCAGGTGACTTCCTGTGACTCTCTCTGCCTGACACCTGCCAGGGACCTCCTATTAACAGCTCATTTTCCTACAGTCTCTCTGCCTTCTTTTCTTCCCCCTCCCAGATCTTTCTGCTTCTTGTTTTTGCAGAAATTATTTTTTTAAGGGAGAAGAAAAACGCAGAGAATAACACCATCCACATTAGTGTCCACCTGTGTTCAGAATGCTCTCAGGGTCCTTGGTCCCCACCCACCCTGCCCCACAGGGCTCCTGGCTGCCTCCGTTGGGGCAGCTCTGGGCGCTCTGCCCGCACCCCCTGAAAGTAATCACCTCGTACCTTCTCTCTCCAGGGTTCCGTGGAGAGCGGGGCTGCGGCTTCTGCGGACAACCAGAAGACAGACCCAGTGATGGAGCCAAAGCTCAAAGCGATAGATTGGGACAAGGTAACTGGCACAAGGTGGGGTGGAATGACGATCGGGGGCTCCTAGGGCCAAGGAGAGGGTGTGTGGTTATTTGTGACACTCGCCCAGGAAAGATGAGGTTGGGAAGCAGGTGACCAGAGCGCAGAAGCATGACCTTGCAGCACACACATGACCAAGGCTGTGATGGGTGTGGGGAAACTGTGCACGGAGAGGTCTGTGCAGAGCCGGGTCCCAAACACCCCAGGGAGGGGCCTCCCACAAGGACCCCTGATGCTGAGAAGAGCACATCGCGGGATCGGCAGCGCAGACGTGCCTGGCTTGACCCAGGCACAGGCAGAGCTGCCCAGGTACCAGCAATCACTGGCAAGGGTCAGCAGCGTAGGAGCCTACAGAGGCTGGTGGGGACAGGGCAGCCATTCGCAATGCTTGTCTTCAGAGCCTGACAATGAACTCCCCTTGGTGTTTAGAGGCCAGCATCTAAGGGGATTAGGCAGACCTCCGCTGTTGGTTAGAGGAGTCCCGAGGTGGTAGTGGAGCCACTCAGTGTGTGTGTGGGGGGGGGGGGCAGCGTGGCCTGGGGGCCCTGAAGGGAACCAGATGTGGGAGCCATTTCCTTCCAACCTGCGTCATGGGACGGTCCCAGTGTCGTTTTGCCATTTCCTCTTGGAAAAGACACAAGTGCGTAAAAGACATAAGTGTCCCCTGCCTGTGATGGACACCAGACAAGAGACAAACAGGACAGGCTCCCATATCCAGGGAACTCACAATCTGATGGGGAGGACAGACCACTCCCGCCCCCTCCACCCCGCAGGTGGTACAATGTGGGGAGATGCCAGAAGCGTGTCCAAGGAACACATATGACCAGAGGTGGGGGCGGACTCCAGAAAGCTTATTGTGTCCTGGGCCCCTTTGTGCAGGACTCCTGAGCACCGACTGCAGGAACTTGGGGATGGGATCTGTCACGTGGGAATTGCCACCACCTTTAGGGGAGCCCATCAGCCCATGACAAAGACGTGCATGTGTGCTCTATTAGAAAGGCTGGGACAGGCTGTTCTGTGCCCACCCCCTCTGAGGGGCATGCATCCAAAAGGGAAGTAGAAGACTAGGGAAGAGAAAGGCTAGTCCGGACCACACGGCGTACCCCCCAGAGGGCTCGCCAGAACCTGGGGTTCTGACCTGGAACTATGGGTTTGGCCATGATTGCTCACTGCCCAGGCCAGGGGCTGAGGATGGAAGGTCTTGGTACATATGGCTGACTTCTCTGGAAGTTTGATGGCTTGGGCTTTTTCTGCCCATGGGCAGGACAGACGGGGAGACAGCCAGCTGGACTGGGACAAACACCTTAAAGCCATGGAGTCAGGACCTCACCCTGGAAAGGGGAGCTGCAGTGAGAGACGAGGAGGGTGCAGGGATGGGGACAGGACCAGAGAGGACGCTGCAGCAGGGCCTGCTGAGGACTCAGGGCCCGCAGACAGGACCAAAGCAGCCCTGAGGAGGGGTCCCTTGCACCAGCACCTGTGGGTTTGTCTTAGGGCTTGGATGTTGGAAAGAAAGTAGTTTAAAGAGAGAGCTTATCAGGGCTGGATAAATGTCCTGCTGTGCGGCAGGGTCCTCCCGCAGTCCACCTGGGCTTCAGGTTCAAGGCTGACTCCAGCCCTGTCACTGCGTGGGGGGTCAGGTGGGTGGGGATCAAGGCCACCCAGGCCTGTTCCACTATCTCCTGTGCCCCCATCCGGGGGAGGAGGGGCCTCTCCTCTTCCTCCTTCCCCAGGGCCTGCTCCTGGCTCCCTGCCGGCACAGACAGGTCACGCCTGACTCACCCTCCCCACCTCTGCCATTCTTTCACGCATACCCTGTCTTCCTCCTCCCTGCTGGGCTGAGAGAGGGGCCAGGGCTGGCCCAAGAGAGGTGTGGAGGCCCTCCCTGGCAGAGAGCCCCGGGCCCCCGGGGAGCGATGAGGGGTGGGCTTCCCGCGTCCCGGCTCACTGAGAAGACCCAGCCCGGGGAGCTGGGCTTCCCAGAAGGGTGAGCAGTGCTTTGCTTGCTTTTCTTATTTTCTTTTTATTCATCTCCCTTGGGGTCAATCCCAGCCCCTTTGAGGGGAGTGAAGAGGCAGGGAGCGCCCCCAACGCCCTTGTCTAATTTAAGCTCGGTACCTGTTTCTAACCCAGGCCAGGGGCTTGGGTGGTTCTGTTGGGTTGGGACTTCAAAGGGGGCAGCAGTTTTTTCTCTGCCTTGGGTCCTGGGCCTGGAGTGGGTTTACACATTCACCCCTGGGGCAAAGGGACTTGCCAAAGTTAGCCCTTCCTGCTTTGCATTCAAGGGGAGCTCTTCCGGGCGCTGCTGAGGAAGGGAGCCTTGGGCTCCTGTGGCCAAGCCTCTCCAGCCCTAGGACTGGGGGACAGAGTGGGCCATGCTGGAAAGAAGGCGGGAGGCTGGGGTGCTGGGACACAGGGAGAAGGTTCTGAAAAGACAGCAGAAGGGCCAGAAAACCTGCTTAGAGGCGTGGAGTGGTCTGATTTTCAGGTTCTGCCTGGGAGTTTATTGGAACCATTTCTAAGTCATTCCTTCAATCACCCAGTCAGGCGAGACCTAGGCTTCCTTGTGGGATGAGAATCTAGGCCGCAGCCCCTCACCTTCCACTACACCCTGCCTGTCTCCCGGTTCTCTGGAACCCAGCCAGCTGGGGCTTGGTGGCTTCTGGGCACACCTATCCCATTTGTCCCACTGCCTCTTTTCACTGCTTCCCTGTGTCCATTCCAGAACCCTCCCCGGCAGCCTCTTCCCTCCTGCCCACTGTGGGGGCCAGCTTTCTGGAACCAGATGCAACCGGAGTAATTTGAAGGGCTTGCAGAAGTTCCTGCCCAGAGGGATCCGGGCAGCAGAGTTAGGGCCAAATTAACATTTCTTTTATTAAGCTCTTACCTTGTGCCAGGCACTGCAGGCCAAGCACTTTAAATATAAGACCTATTATCTGATGTAATCTTCACTCGAAGAGGTAAGATTAACAGTTTAACAAGAAGGAAGAGCTTAAGTCTCCTGCCCAAAGTCACCGTGCTGGTTCTCTTAGTGCAGCCGGTGCTACTGCTGAGCCCCTCTCCCTCGCTAGGCACCCCTCCACATGTCCTGGAACCTGTCCACCCTTGAGGCTGCAACTGGGAGAGGGGGGTGGCAGAAGTGGAGTGGGGGGAGGGGGAGAAGGCGGAGCAGGTCCTGTGAGGGAAGTGTCTCCAGAGCTTTGCCACACCCTCCTCCTCCTGTCCTACCCTCAGGCTAAGCCAGGCCCCCCAGAACTGGCTCCAGCTCCACCAGGTAGAGGCCACTCCCTTCCCTTAAGAGACAGGTGGAGCCCTCCTGCCAGCATGTCACAAAGCCAAGGGCAGTGCCGGGCTCTCAAAGCCCCCTTGCCACCTACACACACACAGGCACACACTCGGCATCAGGCTGCTTCGAGGGTCCCCAGGGAGGGCCTGGCAGAGTTGATGCTGGCCACATGAGTTTAATCTTTTAACCCTCACTGAAGTCACCGAGAACTCAGGAAAATAGCCCTTGGATGTGAACAAGGGCCCTGCTGGCCAGCCCAGCCCTGGGGAAGGCCCACCTCAGCCCTGTGGGTGCAGCCCTGGCACACCTCCCAGCATTCTGCAACCCCCGCCCATGTCACCTTGGGTCCCCTTGGGCCTCCCTTCTCCCCTTGACCCTTCCCAGAGTATGGGCCTGGAGAGGTTGGCTGCCTGGGGTGATCCCCAGGGACCTCCCGAGGACCGTCCTCGCTGGGCCAGGGTCTCGCGTTTTCTCCCCGCTTGTCCCCTTTCTCAGAGCTCCTGGCCCCTCTTCCGAAGAGCTCAGGAGTGCTCAAAACAACACCCACCCCCTCCCCTGGAGAGAAACCAGGCAGGTGGGCTGGGAGCTGCCCTCTGTCCCACGAGGGCGGTGGATGAAGCAGGCCCGAGTCAGGAGGGGGGTGATCATAGACAGCTGTGTCCTGCCTCCCCCTCAGCAAGGGGGAAGCGATTCTCGCTCAGTGTGGTGTGGGGCGTCAGGAGGATCCGGCAGAACGTGCAAGGGGTATCAGAAAGCGAGCTAGCTGCCAGTGAAAGACCAGCCTTGTTCACTCACTTTAGGATGGGGCCAGGGAGGCAGACCCCATTCACTGCCCTTTTGTCCCAGGGACTGAGGTGACACTGGCATTCTGCACGGAGCGTGGCTCTCCTCCGTTTCCTAGGCTTTGCCTCTTTTCACGCTGCTCCCGCCCACTCCCATTTCCCTGAACCCTCACACGGGGGCCTGAGGCCGCCTCCCCGGCTACCCCATCACCGGGGAGGAGCCAGGTGGTCCAGAACTGCCTCTGGTCTTGAGCACAGGAGCTCCCAATTAGAGGAGCCACCTCTGCGAGGCCACCAAGAGCCCCCATGGACCCCTGCACTAGACACCCCTGCTGGGTCCCTCACAGCCTTGGTGCTGGCAAGTTCACAGCCACGAGGGGCCTGAGCCAGCTGGTAGGAGGCCTTCTGGCCCTGGGTTAAGGTGAACTGGGGTGCAGGTGCCATGTCTGGCACACACAGCTGAGCACCTGGCCTGTCTCCTCATCTGCAATATGATGACGTGGCACGCCCTCGTCCTCAAAATCACAGCTTACAAAGGGTGATGGACATGGAGTCTTATCCCAGGGGCCTGGGACAGGGACACAGGAACAATATGTCCTGGGATTCCTGTTGAGCTTCTTGTCCTCATTCCCGTCCCCACCAGTCCTGGTAGGAAGCCCACCCCTGCCTTCCTGGCTCAGAAAGCTGCCCTGGAGCTGTGCGTTCTGGGGTCTGGGTAGACAGTTCTTTAAACAGTTGCCTTGGCTGGTGGCTGTGGTCGTGGGAGGAGCTGCTGGCGCAGAGCAGCTACCCCCTCTCCCCACACTTGCAGCTTTTGGAGATAAGTAGGTTCCCATCTTTCTGCCCCTGGAAAGAGTTCTGTGCCACCTGGCTCCCCTGCTGCCTGCAGGAGGGGGACCTGGGAAGTGGGGAGGCAGGGAGAGCAGAGGAGGCCCCCGCCCCAGCCTGGCAGCATGCATGCCCTTCCACCCACCCTCGGGGCAGCAGGGGCAGGCTGCCCTTTCCCCTGCCGCCGCTGCAGCTGCATTCCTGGCATAGCGAGGCGGGGGGCCCTCCCCCTCCAGCTGGGGCAGGGGCAGAGCCAGGCGGGGGAGGGGAATGGGACACACACACAGTTGGCGCTAGTGCTTTAGCCAAAGTCTCCCTGGACTTGCGTGTGCTTTTTGGGGCCCAGCCTGTTGCTTGATGTCTTCCAGTTCACCAAAGGACCCCCCACCTTCATCCATGTAGTCCTACTTTGGCCGGGCAACCCTGAGGAAATCACTTGCCCTCTCTGAGCATCAGGTTCCACAGCTGTAAAAGGAAGATCTGCCATTGTGAGGGTTGCTATGAAAGCCCCCAGATGGCTGAGAACTGGAGGTGTGGCCTGTTCCCCACTTCCTTGCCCCACCCAACCTCCTCCAGAGGCTGGCAGACCTTTGCAGATGTCTTTGAAGCCTTCCCTGTGTCCCCCAAGCCTTAGGAAGTAGGGGTGGGAAGGGGACAGGACCAGACACCAGCTTGCAAGGAAGAGAACCATTTGTGGGTTAGCCAAGGAGTCCTCTGCCAGGTAGAGTAGGAGGTGAAGTTTATCTGGAATCCCTTCCCACTCATTGGACCCAAGCTGGCATTTCTTGGCATTGTTCCTTCTCAAGACGGGTTTCCAGCCAGCTGCCATGTTGGAAATGACCAGCAAGTGAGAGGTGTTGAACCCAGCTGAGACCCTCTCCTTCAATAATCAGAACTGGAAGAGAATTGAGAAAAGACACCCTGCCAGTACACATACCATCTAAATCAGGTGGAGCACGCAGCGAATGTCCCACTCCTGGGAGGGTGTGTGGAAGACGTACAGCTGGGGAGGAGGGAAGAGGCTCCCACTCCAGGACCCACCACCCCCATCTCAAGAATCACTTAAGCCCCCTTGGCCTCAGGGTCCTTCTCCGTAAAATGGGGAGATCAGCAGTCCTGGCCTTTGGTACTTACATGGAAGGCTCCTTTAACTGCCCCTGGAATGGTGGGCTGAGGCTCCAGTGGTGGCAATAGAGGTGTTGACCTTTGAGGAGTGACGGAGACGTTGCAGCATAAGAGTGAGCCTTCTCGGGCTTCCTCCAGGGTGGTGCTTCAGCCCCGGGGTGAAGAGCGCCACCTCACAGAAGCATACCGGGGGCTAGACCCAGAACCCGGGTTCAAGGCTGTCCAAGGCCAGTGCAGGGGTCAGAGGCAGCCTTGGGGCCAACTCTGGGCAGCAAGTCCACCAATTTGTACGGTGGCCAGTGCCTGCTGGTCTGTCCAGGGAGAAACCAAAGTGGTGTACAAAGATCAGATGGGCATCAGGACATCAAACGAGAGACCCCTGTGCTCAAGGAGGAGGGCGGTGGGGGGCACTGGATCTGTTCCCACCACACCTGTGTACAAACAACTCTTCAGCACCGTAGCTTCCACGCTCCACACCTGCTCTGTCCTTTTGCTCTGTTCCCTTTGCAGCAGGGTGAGGCTCAGGCTGGAATCCCTGCTCGCTGCCTACCTACACATTTCTTCCTGGTCCCAACCTAGTTAAGCTGAGGAATCCTATGCCGCTTTTGCTCTCTTTGTACAATAAAGGCAAAATGGATCAATAGGTGAAAATTTTCCCAAACCACTGCAAGACTCAGAGAAAGGCCTGCCTGGCCGCACCTCTAGGCTATAGCTGGAAACATTCATTGTCTAAGGTATAATTCTAAATAAGTGTACAAGTGAAAAGGAAGGCATAGAGTGTCATGTGTAAAACAAAAGTAGGACATATGAAAACAAGTGTTTTTATTTGAGAAACATGGTGATAAGTTAAGGATGAATATTACTATCCTTAGAGTAACAACTGGGGAAAACACCAAAAAGGCATAGCTAAGAAGTCAGTAAAGGACATAATATAGAATATTTTTGAAGTGCTTGATTAGTACAAGCAAGGCAAAAAGGAATAATAGAGGAGACGAACAGGAAACAAATAGCAAGATGGTGGAATAACTGCAGCATTAAATATAAATGGACTAAATACTCTAACTAAATGGCAGAGATTGTCTGACTAGATTTTTAAAAAAGACAGACCCAAAACTATATGCTGTCCACAAGAGATGCCCTTTAAATGTAAAGATGTACACAGTTTGAAAATAAAAGAATAGGAAAAGATAGGCCATGCAAATGCTTAGCATAAGGAAGCCTGGTGTGGCTCTATTAAGGTTCAGGACAAAGAGTATTACCAGGGACCAAGATGGCTATTTCCCAATGATTAAGGGGCCAGTTTATCAAAAAGACATAACTGGGCAACCTTGGACAAGTTACCTGGCTTCAATTTTCCCATCTGCAAGATGACAGTAATAATAGTGCTTGCCTAGTTAGGGGATGATAGAGATCCAATGATTAAGTGTTTAGAATCATGCCTGCATATAACAAATGCTCTGTGAGTCTTAGCTCTCAGCGATGTTGCAATTGGGACAAAGCCTCAAGCACTTTCCATGACCCTGGCCTACCTTCTGAGGTGGGGCTCTGTAGGCTGTGCGAGATAAGGTGTAAACACAGGCCACTAGCTGGTTCCTCCAGTTTTTTTCCTGGTGGTGGTGGTGCTGGGTGTGTGGGTACATGCGTGCACATACATGGGGCGGGGGAGGGCACGTGCATGTGTTTCTGTGGGTAGAGGCCTGAGGCAGAGAAATGGAAGGAATGAGACAGCTTGAACCCAATGAGTCCATTTCCTACTAAAGCCAAGGGAGAAAGCCAAGCGACTAGGTGGGGTTTGGATGGTTGCCTTGTGTAACTGGTGCTGAATGGGGCGGCTCCAGGCTGACCTGAGTCATCTTCCAGCCTGGGAAGCAGGGAGGTAGCCAGCACCTGGGCACTGCCAAGTTCACATAACAGGAAACCGCAACCATCTTTGGGCCTTTTCCCCAGGCCTCAGACACAGGGGGAAAGCCCAGGGACCTCGCCTGTCTGCCTGAGATCCCTAAGCGCCTGCTCCAAGGCTGTGACGGCAGGGCTGCGGGGCCTGCTGGGCCCAGCCAGCTGTGGTCCGAGGGCAAGGTTCCAGCCACGGATGCAGGGAGGCACGTTTCAGAATCGCTGTTGCCTCTTCCTCCCAGGCTTGTGTGTTCCTCCCCCATATACTCTGTTTCTCTCTTTCAGCTTTCCTTTCCTGACACTACCTCCCTTCTTACCTCCAGTAGCCACCTAACTCCCTTGTATTGGAGACTTATTGACATCCACTATGTGCCAAACGCTGGGCACATCTTGCCCTCTCTGTTATCATGGGTGGTGGGCACATCGGCTTTATAGACAAGCGCTGAAGGGCTCCAAGAGGCAAAGGCACTTGCCCAGGATCCCACAGCTGATAAATGGCAGAGCCAGGCTTTAAAGATGTTCCCTCACCACAGCTCCATTGTTCTTTACTGGTTTTGGTTTGCTGATTTTTGTCCAGATGAATCTCCTTCAATACACTGACTCATCAGAAACCTTCAAGGGCTTCCCATTACCTAGAGCTGGAGGTTCCAAATTTTTTGATCTTGCATCCCTATAAGTAAAACATTAGGGCACACTTTCCATTATATTTCCATTTTAATTATCTATAAATTATTTGCTTGAGATAATGCACTATTGTATTATGTGCATGAAAAACACATTCAAATACAGTTTAAAGATGAGATACATACAAATAGAGTCTCTAATATTCTCTCCATGCCTCGGGGGATCAGCCGGGAAGTACCCCTGGGGCATGCATACACCCCCACCTTGGCGACCACTGGCCCAGAAGATGAAGTACCAGCTCCGGGGCCTGGTATGAGGTGTTCTGTCATCTAACACTCTCGGCAGGTTTCTTCCTGCCCCACAGGAAGTCAAGCGCACATCTCAGCCTACAATCCCTCCCCCACTTTTCCCCCTCCTCCTTACCAAGTCCTCCGTGTTGTGTGAGCTCCATCCCTCTCTCCTGATGGTCTCAGTCAGATACAGCAGTTCTCCGCAAAGCCCTTTCCTTCTACCCTGGACCCAGGCATTTGTACCAGTCATCCTGCCTCCCAAGTGCAGCTTCCCTGTATCTGCACTAAACTATCTTGCCTGGCATACCTTATCTTCCTGAGCACTTTATGCAGATACCATTATTATTACTTCATATTATTTCATAGCTCGAGAAACTGAGGCTTAGAGAAGTCAAGTAATTTGCCCAAGGTCACACATAAATGATGAAGCTAGGGTTTGTACCCAGGCCTGACTCCAGAGTCTGAACTCTGATTAAGCACTAAGCTATGCAAAACGAAGATGGTCTCTCACACTCCTGTTATTCTTCCCAGTGTCTAGCATAGGAGTATGTAGATGAAATATCAAGCAACTCTTTGAATGAATGATGGCTTGACTGGATGAATGAATGCACTGTCCAGGCCAGCACCAGGAAGAAATCCTGTGGTAGAAGAAGAGGGGCCCATTTCACTCCTGGTACAGGAGGTATTGGCTCCTGCACCTGAAGAGTCCTGGGCACGACTTCTAGCTTCAGGCACGGCTGAATCTGGGAGCTCAGGTGTCATCACCTGGGTTCAGTGTCTTTAGATCCTGCCTTGGCCACCCTCTGTGTTGACTGAGTCCTCAGGCAGGCTCTGCTAGCAACTCCAGGGCCATGCCTCACCAACTTAGCAACTCCAGCAGGAAGAGAGTGTCTGATGACTTATTGCACTGGCTTAGGTCATGAGTCTGTCCCGGTCCATTTCTGTGGCCAGGAGCTGAGATGAGCAGCTTAGTCAGTCCTGAATCACTGAAGTGAAAGGGTAGGTACCCCCCTACAGACCATGTGAGGTAGAGGATGATGACTGGGATACTATAACTAGGAGACAAGAGAATGAATGTGTGCAGGTATGAATATCAAGTATCCTCTGACTTCATCTCTTGCAGGACCTGGTAGACTGGCAGAAGCCCCTACTGTGGCAGGTAGGCCACTTGGGAGAGAAGTACGACGAGTGGGTCCACCAGCCAGTGACCAGGCCCATCCGCCTCTTCCAGTCAGACTTCATCGAGGCCCTCACCAAGACTGTCTGGTGAGCCCTGCGCTGAGCCCATGGTGGGCTGTCCCTCTGTCCCGATGGTATCAGTCAAACATTGATACAAGAGGGGAAGGGGCATTCGGGTACTCCCTCTGTACCCCGAACCCAGAACTATACTGTAAGCTCTCAGGGATAGTGGAACATGCCATAGGTATAATCCATTCCTAAGTATGGTTTGTTCTTTGAGTGAGTGACACCCCAACATACTGCCAGGAACCCCTGTTCTAATCCAGATTCTTCCTATGAAGGGTTTCCATCCTCTAATACCCATGGGCACAATTTTGCCTGCAATTAGCTATATTGCCACAAGAGGTCAGCACCTCTCCAGCTGCACAGAGTCCATAGCCCCAGGGACACAGTTCTTTTCTGCCAATAACTCACCTCAGAGACCTGGCAGGTAGATTCACGACCTTTTGTTTTCTCCTTCCCACCCCCCAGCAGTGTCCCTTTCTGCGCATGCTTTGGTATCATGTCATCTCCCCTCGAGTCGAGAGGTATGTCTAGGGAAGCTGGACCCTGTCAGGTGCCTGGGCATGTATGTCTCTCACCCTGGTGGCCCTCCTACAGGTACACTGTCCCCATCATCTGGATGCCCCTGATGCTGTACCTCAGTTGGTCCTACTACCGAACCTTCGCCCAGGGCAATGTCCGCCTCTTTGCTTCCTTCACCACAGGTAATGTCAGTTCCTCCCTGGTTTGCTCCCATGGCTCCAGGAGGTGGGAGGAGTTGATGTCCTTCTCGGCACTGAATTTCTGAGAAAACAGAACCCCAAACCATATCACACACATTTTAAAATAAGACCTATCTGTAGAAATAGTCTTCCAAAGAAAAACAATTGTCAGACTCCCCCAACCCCAACCCTGAATGGATTTTAAAAACAGAAGAACAGCAACACACTAGCAGAAACTAAAGGAAATCATTTTGTCCAGAGACATAACAATAAAGAAAGAGGCTTATCACGGAGTCTAATACTAGAAAAGGTATGATCTGGGATTGTCAAGAAACTAAAAGAAATCATTCACCAGGTGGCACAGCTGAGAGCTAGACTCAGCGTGGTCCATGAACACAGCACAGATCAGAACCTGGGAGAGAAAGACCCAAGAGTGTCCTGAAGAGGCAACCGGGCGAAGGCCCAGACAGCAGAACCCCTGACTCGGAATAACAACCCCGCTAACCTGTACCGAGCACTTACCCCGTGCCATGCCTGGTGCCTTCCAGGGACCATCTCGGCGAACCCTCCCAACAGCCCCAGGAGAAAGGCACTATCGTCGTGCCCTTTTAGAGATGAGGAAGTAGAACCTCAGAGAAGTCAAGCAAGCGATTCCGGGTCATGTGGCTAAGAGGTAGATGCCAGTTGCCCTCCAGTTTCAGGGATCAGGGGACAGAGAGAAGGGCTGACATGGGGCAGCTTCCAACGAGCCTATGGGACCGAGACTGTCAGGGCAGCCATGGGTTTGGGTGCTGCCACTTCTGTCAGCCTGCCTCCCAAGCTTACCTCCTGCCTTGGGCCTCCACGTTCATGCTGCCTGCCCAGGTGGCCTGTTCGTCCTCGCACAGCCTGCCCTGGAGGGGTGCTGGCCCGGGGCAGGTGGCTAAGATGGAGGCCAGGCCGCGGCACAGGCAGGAGTGGAGTGCGGGGCAGCTCAAGTGGGCTCTCCTTTTCAGACCACATGTAGTGTTCCTGACTGTGAGCCTTTGGAGCGCCCCCTCTCTGCCAGATGCAGGCTCCTTCTCCCCACACTCTGAGACCTCTCTTCTGCCCACCTCTCCTGGGAAGACCTGAGGGGCTTAGATGAGAGAGGCCATGGCCGCAGTGATGGGAGCCTGTTTTCCCTCCTGGCCCAGGATGTGGCAGGGGAAGGACATGCCACAGGAAGTGCCCCGGGGCCCAGAACTGCTCCCGGTCACCAAGGGTTAACATGCACACCCCACGAGCCAAGGTTACCCTTTTCTGCCCACGCTGAATAGCTCAGGCACAGCACAGAGCTTGTTGCTCAGAAGGCCTGCTCACTGAATCGCCCACTGTCCGCCCGGCGCTCCCCTAACAATCGCCAACAGTGGCAGTGCCGCCAGTGCCCGCGGCTGGAGGGGGAAGGGGCTGCCGGAGCTTTGGCCCAGGTCCCTCTGCAGGATTCCTCTAGAGATGCCACTCTGTACCAGCTCCGGCGGATGGGCCGACAGGGATGATGCTGGGGTGAGGGAGTGGACGGAGACTTGACCTATAGGAGGGGACTCATCTGCATGGCAGGGAGGGTGATTTGAGGGCTGGGTCAGAACCGGAGGCCTCTGCAGAGAGCGAGATGTGCTGTTTAATAAAGGCCGACTGTAGGGCCTGTGACCATGATGCCAGCAATGGCAGCATGAGGGATATGTCTCCACATGCATCTCTCGCCTCCCAGCTCACCATGTGAGGGAGAGAAAACAAGAGCCGCAGAGCAAGGCAAGGGCAGCCTGAGCAGGGTCCCCACACAGCTGCTGGGCAAAGGGCACACCAGAATCCATGCGGGAAGATTCAGGGAGCCGCGGAGCAGTGGAAGCTGAACGGTGACCCCAGTTCAAGGCTGAAATCCCCGGATGCATGCATGAAGATGCTTTGAAAAGCAGAGGGGCTCCCCACATTCAGGAGGGCCCTGAGAACAGTGCCTGGGGGCAGGGTAGAGTGAGCACCGGCTGGAGCCCAGCGGTGTCTGGGACAGACATGCAGACCTCCAACAGCACCGCGGGAGCCCCAGACGAGGTCAGACAGTCTGTGGCCAGAAATGCTCCAGCAGGCCCAGTCCTTTCCCTGCTGATGAGAGAGCTAAGCAGCAAGCAAGGGCCTCTGTGCTCTGGGGTTGGAGGCGGGGCATGGGAAACTCTTTCTTCCCCGACCAGGGACCCTCCAGAGCTCTTTAAGGAGAATCAGAGAAGGTGGGTAAGAGTAGGACCACAGGTTAGAGTGTAGATGTATTTTGAGTCATTATATTTAAAAAGTATAGTAGCTATTTATTATATATGAGTATTATAAGTATTATTAATACATAATAATGTTATTCTTATTATATAATATATATGCTCATCATATAATCAGGTATTATATTTCTTCTGTCCTAACAACAGCCTTTTGTGAAGGGTAGGATGTTTTACTGTTGAGAAAACACGTAACTCTTGCAGGATTTGAACCCAGGTGTGCAAATCCAAAACCTGTGCTCTCTGCACTTTACCAGAGTGTTTTGAGGGACCCCAAAAGAGTCACAGCTCCCCCAGAAGCAGGGCTTCTGGCCAACCGGAGCAGCCCAGCCAAGGCCAAACGACCACTTGCAGTGCTGTCAAGCAAGCGCCTTGTACCAGACAGGGACACGGCAGGCCCCGCTGATGAGAGGTGTCCGACTAGCTTAATTCAATTCAGAGAGCAGTGGACACTTTGAGGATTGAATCTGAGCTGCAGCGCATGCTAGTTTCCAGGTGAGGCATGAGAAATCTTCCCACTGCAGAGTCATTTGAAACCATTTGTCAGAACAGGGCTGGGCCTGGGATCTGGTCCAAAGAGCTAGAAAGTCACCTCCCTGCCCCGCCTTCCTGGGCTTTCTTCCTTCCACAGAAGGAAAGGTCATCCACACGGGGTGCTCCCGCTCAGAAGTCAAACCGCAGCTTCAGTTCCGTGTGACAAACGGTGATGCCGAGGGCAGGATGGTGTTCAGGGGCATCTGCAGAGGCTCCTCACAGAGACACGTGGGCTGAATCTCCCAGAATAGGGAAGGCAGGGAGGGAATTCCAGGGAAGGAAACATGGGCAAATTAGGGATGTGGGAGAGGGCGTGGGGCAAACGTGGTGCCTCGAAGGAGCTGGAGGTGATTTGGTTTGGCCCCAGTACAGGGTGACGGGGAGATGAGGCAGGCACGGGGCCCGCGGGGCCCGTTCTTGAGGAACCTTCGGTGCCCTATTGGGGTTTGAACTTTCGCTGAAGGTTATAAGGCCCCAGAGAAGGGTTTTGACAGTGTGGAAGCAGGGAGTTGAGGGGCAGGCTGATGCAGTTCCTTGGCCAGGTGGTGATGAGGGAGTCGGGGATTACAAGCAGCGGACTAACCCGAGAGAGACTTTTATTTTTTACTTTTATTAGCATTTTATGCTGAATTTACTCCCTGGCCATAAGTTTTTGTTTTAGTTTTTTCTGGGATATCTCTTTCTTTTGTGCAGCCTCCTCTTCTGGCTTAGGAACCTGCTCTTTTTCAGAAAGGATCATCTCATTGTGGCAGGAATAACCAGCCCACAAGCTCTGGAAGCTCTGCGCCACATCCTGGGAGCTTGGTTCACCTGGATGTGCTCAGTGACCAGAGAATCTACATCTAAACTCTTAAGCTCAGCATTACTGTCTACATTCTTAAGCATGTGCAGCAAAAAACTAAGCGCTCTTTTTGGGCCAACAACCCTGTGTCCTGCTATAAGGTTTGGCCTGGTCACACCTACTCACTCCACCACTGTAACAACACAATGACACCCATTATTTCTGTAGTGACATGATGCTTGGTGGATTTTCAGATACACATACCCTCGATGGCCTGGGCTCCCTCACATCGAGGTTTTGTGAGTGTTCTTAAAGTGAACGCAAAGATTCGAACCTCTTGATTTGCATGATTTTGTGGGATTTTCTGGGTTAAGTGAATAGCAAAGTCATCTTTCAGAAGTCATCTCAGGCCACTTATGGGAAAAGCAAGACATATATATATATATATATTTTTTTAATTGAGGTGAAATTCACATAACATAAAATTAACCATTTTAAAATGAAGAATTCGGTGGCATTCAATATATCACAGTATGGTCTAACCTCTGTGTCATTCCAGAACATTTTCTTCTTTACCCCCCAAGGAAACCCACACCCACAGAGCAGTTGTTCTCCATTTCCACCTCCCCTGACCCCTGAGGCCACCCGTGTCTATATATAAATATAAATAGAATTGTTCAATATGTGGACTTTTGTATCTGCTCCTTTTACTTTGCCAACAGATATTAAGGAGGGGGAGCCAACAGAGCCTGGTGACTGGTTGAAGGTGGGAGAGGGCAGGGTTGGGTGCTGGGAACCTCGCAATGACAGTCACATCTCCAATGTTCTGGTCTCCAGGCTGATCATCTTCAGTTTTTTTCTAATCTCCCTCACATGCTGTGATTTTAAATCTTGTCCATTGAGATTTCTCTGCATGCGTTTTCCTGTCCCTCCTGCTCTCCAGCCCCTGGTGGTTAACTTTTTCGTCAATGCCTGCCCAGCTCCACTGGCTTGACTGGGGTAGTCCCCGCACCCGCCCATGCCAAGGAGACAAGGCCACCCTTCTCGGGTGTCTAGCCCATTTGGGCTGCTACAGCAAAACTTCATGGGCTGGGAGACTTACAAACAGCAGCAATTTAAATCTAGAAGCTGGAAGTTCCAATCGCGGTGCCAGCCTGGTCAGGTGAGGGTCCTCCTCCAGGTCACAGACGTCCGGTGTCCTCACATGGACGAAGCAGGAAGGGGCTCTGTGGGCCCTCTTTTGTAAGGGTGCCCATCCTGTTCATGAGGGTTCCAACCTCAGGAGCTAATCACCTCCCTAAGGCCCTGCCTCTTAATACCATCACCTTGGGGGTTAGCTTTCAACAGGAATTTTGAAGGGGTACATTCAGACCATAGCACCAGACAAAGGTCCGGCACCGGCCGCAGCTGCTCCTCTTAGTTCCCATAAGGACAATCTCAGATCTCTGGCCAGTGGCCCCCTTCATTGTCCCCTCCAAGCCCAACAAAGATCCTCACAGCCTCCTTCCCATTTTGACCCAAGAGCCCCAGCAATGTGGCCCAGCCCTGTAGCTGCCGGACAGGGCGCCACAGCTCCCAAGGTGTTGGGGTGGTAAGATGGGACGTCGGGGACCACCAGGCCTTGCTGCCCGCTGGGGCCACCTGCCCTGACCTTGCCCCTCTCTTGCCACCCTGCAGAATACTCAGTAGCCATGCCTAAGTCCGTGTTCCCGGGCCTCTTCTTGCTGGGGATACTGCTCTGGAGTCTCATAGAGTACGCCCTCCACCGCTTCCTCTTCCACATGAAGCCCCCCAGCAACAGCTATTACCTCATCATGCTGCACTTCGTCTTGCATGGCCAGCACCACAAGGTAAGCAGGGCGGTTCCCTCCCGGGGCCTTGCATCTCTAACCAACTCACAGGAGCTGCCAGTCCTTCCGTGGGTCATGCTGGGAACAAGAGGAAATCAGGGCAGTTGGTGCTGCCCAGAGGAAGGACTGGGTCCTAACCTGAACCGGGCGTGGACAGGGTGAGCATGTGTCTGTATGCCACCATGACTGACGCCAGACACTCTGCAGGTCCCTTTCATGAAGCATCTTTAACCCTCACAAAAGCTCGTTCATCCCTTCAACAAGTGTTCACCGAGTCTCACTCTGTGCCAGGCACGATTCTAGACACCACTGACCAAAAGAGTCCAAGGTCACTGCCCTTGTGGAGCTTCCTGCTGAAGAGAGTACTCCAGTTCTTCCCATTCCACAGAGCAGCAAACTGAGGCAGAAATTAAGAAACTAAGGCACACACCCAAGGTCACACCCGTCACAGCCAGGATCTCCAGCCCCATTCTATGGATTTCAGAGTCTGTGCTCTCAACTACCCACCACCCTGGGGCTCTTCAAGGGCAATATGACAGTCCCCTTGGCAGGAACTGGAAGCCAGTTCTGTCCAGAGGAAGCTGCATCCCGCTGTCCCTACTCCTTGCCATTCTCAGCCTGTCCCAGGCACCCCCCACCCCCACCCTGAGCCTGGCTCCCCAGCACACCCCTGGTCCTGCCGCTCCTGCTCCGGGTGGGAGGGGGGAGGGGCCCTCAGGAGCAGTCACTGCATGAGTATTGCCGGCTTTCTCTCTTTTCTTCCAGCCCATGGGGGCGGGGCGGGGGGGGGGGGCAGGGGTCTGTCTCTTCTCAGAATACTCACTAAGCAGTCACTAAAATCTGACCTCTAGGCCAGGCCTTTAGCTTTTAAAGCTCCAGAGCTTAAGGCCTATTTCTCTTGTTTAATGTAACAACACCCCCTTGGAACAAAGAAGGGCCCCTGTTAGGACAGGGAGAGGGGACCGTGTGAGTTCACGCTTCCACGTATCCCACTGTACGAACCTGCATTAAGCTCAGTGCGCCAGCGTGCCACGCTCCCAGGCAGTCAGGCCCTCGTCCAGGTGCCCCGCCTGGTAATCGGAGTTGGCACTCCTCTTTAGCACCTTACAAATTCCAGAGCCAAAATGGCCTCTTGGGCATAAAGCAGGACTCTGAACCAGAAACATCCTGCCCTCCTCACATCCACCCTGTGTCCTTGCGCAGTGTTCCAGGTCCCATCCTGTCTGGGAAATTGGAACAGAACCGTCTAGGGCTTTCAGGCCTGGTGGCCCGCCCTCCCCAAAGCCACTGAAAGTGCCAAGGCCACCCAAGATAAGTCGCCACCCCTCCCTGGGATGCCTGGGCTGCTCCACCCCACTCCCTGCAGGGAAGTCTCCTCTGGGCCCGCGGGCCAGCCCCTGGCTGCGCTCTAACACGCTCTCCACCCACAGGCACCCTTCGATGAGTCCCGCCTGGTCTTCCCCCCTGCGCCAGCTTCTCTGTTGATTGCCTTGATCTACACAATCTTACAGCTCCTCCTGCCCGAGGCGGTGGGGGGCACTGTGTTTGCCGGGGGCCTCCTGGGCTACATCGTCTACGATCTGATGCATTACTACCTGCACTTCGGCTCGCCGCACAAGGGCTCCTACCTGTACAACATGAAGGCCCACCACGTCAAGCATCACTTTGCACATCAGAAGTTAGGTAAGGATCGGCCAGCACCTCCCCGTCTCACTCATTTGATCATCTGTTTATTCGACAGCCACCGTTAGGCCCCTACCAAGGGCCAGGCCCTGTTCTGGGTACTGGGGATGCACAGGCAGCAAGGCAAGCCTGGGGCTCCCATCCTGCTCTCTGGTGCGGGGCTCTGCAGAGACAGGCAAATAAGGAAACCAATCAGTAGTAAAAGATTGTTTCAGACAATGGTAAGTGCTACCAAGAAAATAAAGATGATGTTAGAGGGACCATGGAAGGCAGGAGTAGGGTCCAGCCCTGTCTAACAAAATGTGCAAGTCACAGATGTGATTTTTAAATTTTCTAGTGGCCACATTAGCCAGTAAAAAAATGGGTGAGATTAATCCTTTTAACAGCATAGTTTAGTAAGCCAACTATAGCCAAAATGTTACCATTTCAATATATGATCAATATAAAATACTGTTAATGAGACATTTTACATTATTTTTCCTATATTAAATCTTCTGTGTCCAGTGTGTATTTTTCCACTTACAGCACCTCTTAATTCAGGTACTAAATTTTCATTGGAAATATTTAATCTGTATTTAGAGTTTATAAAATTTACAGTTAAGAAAAAAGTAGATTCACATTACTCTGAATGTGCTTAAAAGATTTCCAGTAATTGAATTGTTTTTAAATTGAAATTTAAGTGAATTAAAATTAAATAAGATTAGAAATCCTGTCCCTGTGTAGCTCTTGCCACATTTCTGGTGCTGAGTGGTCACATGGGCTCCCTGCCTTGTGGCTGCCATGCGGGATGGCAGAGCGGTAGATGAAATGGTCCAGGAAGATGTCCCTGCAGAGGTGTCAGCAGAGCTGAGGCCAAACTTAAGAGAAGTCAGCATCCGATGACGTCTGAGGACAGAGCAGCTCAGGAGCAGCAGGAACAAAGCCTTGAAGTGGGAATGCACTTGGATCTTCAAAGAGGAGGAGGAAGAGGAGGCAGGCCAGGCCCTTTGAGGAAGTCACAGCAGATAAAGAATTTGAGTTTATTCCGGTGGCCTTCCTGGGAGACAGAAACACAGGTGCGCTGCTCCTGACTTCTGCCAGGGTAGCGCTGAGAGTCGGGAAGGCCAGCAGGGACAGAAGTTAGGATCTTCCCGGGTGCGGGGCCTACGCCGGCTCCCTTTCCAAGCAGATTTATCCCTTTCCTTGGACGGTGCCTCACCTTCCCCCTGTTCATCTCCCTCTCTAGGATTTGGCATCAGCACTAAATTATGGGATTACTTTTTCCACACCCTTATGCCGGAAGAATCGCACCCGAAGATGCAGTGACAACTCCCAGCCCCACTGTGACCCCGCCCTGCCCCGCCATCATCCGGACCCTGCCAAGAAGGTTTGCTTGGCCAGGCAGGATAGTCTTTGTCCAGCTCTTGGGTTTGGTGAAGGGTGCTGGGAAGGCCCTGAAGACTGAGACTGCCCCCCGACCCACCACAGGAAGGTCACATCCACTTGGTGGCCCAATGGCCCTCAGGGACTAACTCATATCTGCAGCAGCCCGGCGTCTCCATCAGCGTCTGTGCCTAGAGCCTTAGCCCACAGGACTGCGTTAGGACCCCGCCTACGTTATCAGCCCCAAGGGGAATGAAGGAAACGGACCCCGGTGACTTCCTGACAGGCCTGTGATCCCCCCCGCCCCGTCACCTCCCCTGGGAGCTACCCCCCAGAGCAAAGAATGGGGTCTGTAGGGCCTCCAGCCCTGGTCTTCCCCACCTTCCCTTCCGGGGACGGTTTGATGGCTCTGGCTTTCTCCTGCAGTGCGGAGAACACTGAGGTGGATGACGGGCTCTCCCCAGGAGAGAGCATGATGCCTCCCACAGGCCACCCCAGGTCCCAGGGCAGTGCCTTTGTCCACTGCCAGTCACCGATTCTGGCGGCAGCAGCAGGTGCCTCAGGCTGAGGCGCACCCCTGGCCCTCACCTGCCTGTGCGGACAGGCCGAGGCTGGCTGGCGGGGACCTCAAGGCTGGCGGGGGCCCAGGCCCCCTTCTTTAGGAACCACCAGCCGCGCTAGCCGTCTCTTCCCTGCCTCCAGAATCTCAGAGCTTCTCGCCAAGGGAGGCAATGAGGCCTCACTATGGGCGGGCACCCAGTGCCCTCCCATGCATTCCCAGACCTCCGCCTGGCATGGGTGGGCCGCTGCCCCTCACTCAGGACCCTTCCAGCCAGTGCCTCCTTAGGCCACGAAGGAGCCTTTATTTGGTGCCTTATCTCCCTTCCCCTTTGCTTCCCTGCCCTCCTCCCAGCAGATGAGGTTCCAGCCCCCTCTTCCTCATAACCAAAACCCTCACTGCTTGTAAGAGGGTCTTATTTATAAACCATACAAACGCTCAAGTAGCTGCTCAGATCGCCCTTTCTAATCCTATGTGTTGAGCTTATGTAAACCTTTGTCCTATTTTTGTTTCCTTCTTATACCCACAAACCGTTACTACTTGAAACTTTTAAAAACAAAAACAAAACTCGATGAACATAAAGGCTAAAGAGAAACAGTTGACCGATCCTGTGATTGTACTGTTTACTGTGGAGTTATTTAAAGATTTTGGAATAAATATACAAACTGCAGTTGTGAAATAAAGGTGTAAATAAATTGTATATTTTGAAAAATAAAAGCATTTTAAAAGAAACCAACAAAGAGTAGTTGTAACTTACTGATGCTGAGTCACCAGACTTCGTCATGGAGGGTGGGGGATGGGGACGGTCTGCCCAGCCAGGAGGAGTGTTTATCGCTGACAGGGTTGTGCAGACTTGCTGGGGCATGGTGATAATAAAAAGCTGACCAACTCCTATTTTCCGACTTGATTTTATTACTGTTTTAAAATTCCCTGCAGACAGCCACCTTGGTGGGCTTCACAGTGGGCTCCGTCCTAGGGCAGGTCCTCGTCTCCTTGGCAGGTGGGTCCCTGCTCGCCTGGAGGTCCTCTCCCTCACCTGTGCGTCTGGAGCCTTTGCGGTGGCTTGGCTTCTGTCTATGCCATGGAAGAGCCTTTTCTTTCACCACGCTCATCCCACCTTCCAGGGAGCAAATGGTATCAAGGTACGAAACAGTGGCATTGTTACTGCTACTTGAGCTTCTCACTTCCTTCCTTGGTGGGAGCACGTTGAGTCAAAAATCCCCGGCACGCGGAGGAGCCTCCCGTGGAGGAACCGGAGCCCCCGGCAGACCTCTCCTGGTGCTGAAGGTCCTGCAGAAGGACTTGGTGCGCTACTCCTCTCGCCCTCTGCTCTGCGTGTCGGTGTGAAGGGCCTTCTCCACCTGCAGCTACTTCCAGGTCATCACCTATACACAGGGCCTGTGGGAGCAGGTGTTGCGTTCTCGCCACACTACTGTCTGTAACAGGGGCGTGGAGGCCGTTTCCACCCTGCTGGGTGCTGTTGCTGTTTTGGCAGTTGGTTACATAAAAAGTGCCCTGGTCCACTTGCGGAGAAATGACGCTGTCCCTGTTCTCTCTCCTGATCGCTGCCGCAATGTACACCATGGACACCTCAGGGAACGTTTGGGTGTGCTACGCGTCCTATTTTGTCTTCAGGATCGTCTATATGTTACTCATCACTGTAGCAACTTTCCTGATAGGCGCCAGCCTCGGCAAAGGAGCGCTATGCCCTGGTGTTCGGTGTGAACACCTCCGTTGCTCTGGCCCTGCGGACACTGCTCACGCTCATCGTGATCAATGCCAGTGGCCTCGGCTTAGAGGTTACCACTCAGTTCCTGATCTACGCTGGTTAGTTTGCACTTGCTGCTGTGGTTTCCCTGCCGAATGGTACAGTCACTATTATGAAGAAATGCAGGAAGAAGGAAGATCCAGCGTCAGCTTCTCAAGTAAGCACTTCGTAATACACTGCTGACAAGCTGCTTCTTAAAACAAGAACTCTGCACAGCCACAGTCTCTGGATGTATTTAATCTTTTAAGGTGTAGATATATATATTTATGAATGTGCATTTCATGGCTTCACAGCAACCAATTGGTTTGCAGGCCAGTGCTCAATCCACTGAGCTACACCAGTCAGAGCTAACAGCAACCAATCGACAATGCCTGTGTTCCTTAGAGCAGCATAGTAGTGTTCAGAGGAGCAGAAGTGAAGCTTATTTTGTGGATTATTTAAGGATGACTTTTTTCTGGTTCAAAAGGGAACTTGATTTTGAAAACCAAGCTATCACATACAGTCAAGCAGCACATGCTGTTGTATACTTGATAGCAAGTGAGTTTGGTGTGTCATAGGTCAAGTACTTCTGTATCTGATAAGCCAGGTGGGTCCAGTGGGGCCCGGGGCTTCACAGGGACCACGAGCTGTTACAGCTCAAGACAGAAATATGCTGTAACGGCACCTGCCTCTGTTCAACTTAATTCTCACTTTGTGTTACTCATGTGCATTTGTGTTTCTTCAGATGAAAGTCGTTCTTATAAGATGCAATATTTGCTCTGGTTTGGTGTCCTGTCCTATAAGGAGTATGTGTCATTTCTAATAAGTTATTTTTTAAAATTTCTTTGTATGCATGTTCTCAGTTCTCATCTTGACAATTTTGTATTTGTGTAGATTTTTGTTAGAAGTACATGTTTGCATTATTCATATGCTTCTTAGAGAAGCTCATTTAGTTAGAAAATAAGGCAAGCGTTGAAGCCTGCTTATAATCTGAATGAAGAGACCTAATCAGAAAATGTAAGGTAGGTTCCCTCGTCTTTTATTCTTCAGTATGAAGGGCTGTTAATCCCATGACAAAAAGTTAGAATATGGGCCAAAGACACAACTAGCCCACTCTGCATTTTATATACCCTTTTATTTCTAAAATAAAATGAAAACGTCTTTTTAAAAATAATAACTTTGGAGCTTTTATAATTGTCCCCCTCATCCAAAATAAAGGTGTCATTAATAGCTGGATTATTCTAAAGCCTCTTCCACAAACCGAGCCTCTTTTTGATTATTTCAATGGGACAGGAACCAAGATAGATGTGATTCCTGCATTTCATACATTAAATCTGCCTTTGCTTCTAAGAGTGGATCATCTTGAATATTTGCTTAAAATAACAATGGCTAGTAATTCCATTTCCATTTGTTCAATACTGAACAAATATTATTATGTATACACGTAATCCTCAAATCAGTCTACCAAGTGGCTGCTAGAGTATGTGAGACATGGAAACTTTTTTTAATTTAATCTTTATTTTTTCCCATTGCCATTTATTCCCCTTGTCCTCCCCGCCCCCCGCAATCACCACACTGTTAGCCATGTCCATGAGTCCTTTTCCCTTTTTGCTCAACCTCTCTATTTTAAAACTATTTTAAAGCCAACTGTTGCCTTATCTTGAAAAGAATCTAGGTAGCTGTTTTCAACAGGGGGTGTTAACTTTTTTGGAATAACACGGCTGAACAGTGTGAGTAATAGTGTCAAGATTGCAAAATTGACATTTATTTGGCTTAAGTGGAAGCTCTAGAGGCAAATGAATAGGATAAGAATCGGACGTTTTCCGTTCAACCTCTTTTCATGTATAGGGAAGGGAAAAACACTAGCTAAGGAAGGAAAGGGAATGTGATGTCATAAAAGTAACAGACTCTAAATTTGTATTTTGTTTTTCAGTGTATTTTGCAACATAGGGAATTGTTTACTCAGAAACAAATGGAAAAGTGGTATTTGAGGGGTTTTATTTAATTTTTAACATAAAATGGACGGTGGTGCAATCAAACTTGTGCAGTTTTGGCACAAAACTGCACAATAGCCAACTTGTAACAGACTCCAATAAGTGTTAGTCTTCCCACCATCAGATCTCTGGCTGCTATTATTTGGTCTTTGCTGCTCCACCTGTTCCCTAGTTTCTGCTGCCCTCTAGTGGCAGCATGAGGCCCTGACCCCTTATGACTGCCCTCATAGCGACTGTTGGGAAATCAGATGGCTGTGATTATAAAATTCTGGAACTTTTCCATCTTACCTTTTCTCTTGACTTACTGTTTTGTCTCATCTACCATTTTTAAGAGGAAGCTGGAACTGTGTATATGGACTTTCCAGGTCTAACTTTCTATAAATATATGATGACTGCAAAAAATTAACTGGACCTTCTTTACAGTTAAGTGATAACTGCACAATGAATAAAGTTTATCTACTAAAGATGCTACAGGATGGATTTGAAATTTGGGTGCCAGGACTGTCCTCTTCACTTCATCTCAGACACCTTATAAGCTTGTAATAGGAAAAAAAGAAGGAACAATAAGAAAAAGAAAAAAATCTTGTTTTGACAAAAGCGTAATGGGGGTGGGGGATATGTCTTCACTTAGGGTCCGTAAAAGTCAAAACCTAAAACAGGAACATGGATGCAGGAAGTTTATGTGGGAGGTAAGAGCAGAAATAAGGAGTGAGAGATGGGAAGGATCGGAAAGGGAAAGTGGGGGAGCCATGCAAGTATGAGGATAAGAGGTTCTCATACGGATTCTGCAGGGGGATCTTGAGAAACAGACAGAAACCTGCCAGAATTGTCCACCTAAAGGACAAGAGGCTGGAGCATTTGCTCACCAGCTCCCTCTCCTACTGGTGGAGGATTGTCTTCAGGAGGGTCAGCTCTCTCTTCACCTCGGGGCTGCCCTGGCATGCGAGCCAACCAGAGCACTTGGCCTGGACAAAGTCCTGGAGCAAGAGCAGAAGGGTGGACGTGTGCCCTTCAAGTGGGACGCAGTCAGTTTAAGTCCTGTGTGAGCATCCTAGGAACGGCCCACCGAAATTACGGCTGAAATCAAAGCTAGGACAGTGTTCACACAGAACCTTCCACCACAACTGACGTTAAGACCAGAGATGGACCAGAGGGATATGACATAGATCACCAAAGGTGTCTGCTACGGACCCCAGTTCTATATCCTCAGTGCAAGGCTGAACCAGGAGTAATCCCACCTTCGAGGGCACTGTAAGGAAAATTGCCTGTATGGAGCAGAGAAAGGCTCTTTTGAGAATATAGAACAACCATAGCCCTCATGGAGTTCTAAGGCCTGAATTCATGCAAACTGGTTAGTCTGAAGCACCTCAAGTTGAAAATTTGGTGTAAAATGTCCCTGGCTGGAAAAGTCACAAGGCTCTCAGAAGAAGCATTTACAAATTTCTGTGGAGAAGTGCAACTTCAGTCCAGGCCTCAAAAAATTCCCAGGAACTACAAGTTTCCAAGGACTATAAGCTTTCAATAAAAATAAAACAAACCACAAGGAAAGAAGGCACCAGGAGTAAAAGCTGATTTTTGTGGTTTCTTTTCCTTTGTTCTATTAATGTGGTATATTACATTGGTTTCACATGTTGAGCCACCTTTGCATTCCTGGAATAAATGTCATTTGGTCATGGTGTATGATCCTTTAATATGTTTTGGAACTCAGTTTTCTAGCATTTTGTTGAGAATTTTTGCCTCCATATTCATCACTGATACTGGTTTGTAGTTTCTTTCTTGTGGTATCTTTGTTCAGCTTTGGTATCAGGGTGATGCTGGCCTGGTAAAGTGGGTTAGGAAGTGTTCTCCCCTTTTCCCTTTTTGAAAAAGCTTGAGAAGGATTCGTGTTAATTCATTTTTAAATGTTTGGTAAAATTCACCAGTGAAGCCATCTGGCCTGGACTTCTCTTTGTTGAGTGGGTTTTGATAACTAACTCAATCTCCTTACTAGTTACAGGTCTGTTCAGAGTTTCTAATGCTTCTTGAGTCAGGTAATTCGTGTCTAGGAAACTGTCTTGCATTTCAGGTTGGTATAAAATTGTTTACAGTATTCTCTTATAGTCTTTTTGTTGTTGTTGTTGTAAAAAGAATACTTACCATGAAATTTACCCTCCCGACAAGTTTCTAAGTGTACAGTACACTGCTGTTGACGGTAAGCACATGTTGTACAGCGGACCTCAAGAGCTTATTCATTGTGCTTGACTTTATGCCCTTCGACTGGTAACTCCCTGTTTTTCCCTCTCCAGACAACCCCTATTTCACCTTTGATTTTATGAATTTGACTGTTGTATATACTTCATGTAAATGGAGCCGTGCAGTATTTTATTGATTGGTTTACTTTACTTGGCCTACTGTCCTCAAGGTTCATCCATGGTGTTGCATATTGCAGAATTTCCTTCTTTTTAAAGGCTGAATAGTATTCCATTGTATGTATATACCACATTTTCTTTATCAGTTCATCTGCCTGTGGACATTTGGTTTTCACATCTTAGCTATCTTGAATAGTACTACAATGAATATGGGAGTGCTATCTCTTTGAGATCCTGATTTCAATTCTTTTGGATAAATGCCCAGAAATGGGATTACTACAACATAAGGTAGCTCTACTTTTAATTTTTTGAGAAACCTCCATACTGTTTTCTATAGCGACTGCACCATTTTGCATTTCCATCAATATGATGCAAGTGTTCCAATTTTTCCACATCTTCACTATACTTGCTGTCTTTTGGGTTTGTTTGTTTTTTTAATAACAGCCATCCTGACAGGTGTGAGATGATACTTCATTGTCATTTTGATTTGCATTTCCCTAATAATTATTAATGGTAAAATTATTCATATACCTGTGTGTCATTAGTATGTTTTCTTTGGAAAAAGAAAACCTCTTCAAGTCCTTAACTCACTTTTAATAATCTGGTTATTAGACCCTGGCTGGTGTGGCTCAGTAGATTGAGTGCCAGCCTGTGAACTGAAAGGTCACCAGTTCAATTCCCAGTCAGGGCACATGGGTCAGGTGGGGGGCATGTGAGAGGCAACTCATCTAACCCCTTATCAAATATATAACTTGAAAATATTTTCTCCCATTCTATAGGTTGCCTTTTCACTGTTGTTTCTTTTGCTATGCCAAAGCTTTTTAATTTGATATAATCCTACTTGTTTGTTTTTGTTAACTGTGCTCTTGGTGCCATATCCATGAAATCATTGCCAGGACCAGTATCGCAAAGCTTTTCCCCTATGTCTTCTTCTAGAAGCTTTATTGTTTCAGGTCTCATACTTAAGTCTTTAATCCACTTTGAGTTGATTTTTGTGTGTGATGTCAGATAAGGGCCCAATTTAATTTTTTTGCATGTGGTTATCCAGTTTTCTCAATGCTGTTTCTTGAAGAGACTATCCTTGCCCCATTGTATATTCTTGGCACCCTTGTCAAAGATCAGTTGATCATGTAAGTGTAGATTTCTTTGTGGGCCCTCTATTCTATTTCGTTGGTCTATATGTTGGCCTTTAAGGCCAGTACTATAATGCTGTGATATATTTTGAAATCAGGAAGTGTGATACCTTTACTTCTGTTCCACTTTTTCAAGAGTGATTTGTCTATTTGTAGTCTTTTGTGGTTCCATATTTAATTTTAGAATTGTTTTTCTATTTCTGTAAAAAAATGATATTGGGATTTTGATATGGATTGCACTGAAGCTATAGATCACTTTTGGTAATATGGATGTTTTAACAATATTAAGCCTTCCAATCCATGAACATGGGGTGCTTTTTCATTTGTTTGTGTCTTGTGTAGTTTCCTTCATCAATGTTTTGTAGTTTTCAGTGAACAATTCTTTTGCCACCTTAGTTAATTTATTCATAAGTATTTTATTCTTTTTGGTGCTGTTGTAAATTGGATTGTTTTCCTGATTTCCTTTTCAGATAGTTTGTTTTTAGTGAATAGAAACACAACCGATTTTTGTGGATTAATTTTGTAGATCCTGCAACCTCAATGAATTTGTTTACACTGTTCTTTTAATGGATTATTTAGGGTTTTCTATAGATAAAATCATGTCATCTTTACTTCTCCCTTTCCCATTTGGATATATTTTATTTCTTTTCGTTGCCTAATTGCTCTGGCTAGAACTCCCATTACTATGTTGAAGAGAAGTGAGGAGAGTGGGTATCCTTTCCTTCTTCTTGATCTTGGAGGAAACGTTTTCAGTTTTTCACCATTAAGTATGATGTTAGCTGTGGGCTTGTCATCTGTGGTCTGTACTATGTTTAGACAGTTTTCTCCTACTCCTAGTTTGTTGAGAGTTTTGCCATGAAAGAGTGTTAAATTTGCTGAAGTTGTTTTTATCCATCTATTGAGATGATCATGCGTTTTGTCCTTTATTTTGTTAATATGGTGTATCGCATTAATTGATTTTCATATGTTGAACCATTCTTGCACCCCAGGAATAAATCCCATTTGCTTATGGTATATGATTCTTTAATGTGCTTTTGGGTTTGCGAACCAAAACGTGCCTTTGGATTTGGCTTGCTAGTATTTTGTTGAGGATTTTTTTCATCAATGTACATTAGAAATATTGGCCTGTAATTTTCTTTTCTTGCAGAGGTGTGTTGTGTTTCCTTTTCATTTGTCTCGAGGTATTTTCTAATTTTCTTTTGATGTTTTCTTTGACACAATAGTTGTTCCAGGAGCTGTTTAATTTCCACATGTTTGTGTACTTCCCAGTTTTCCTTCTGCTGTTGAGTTCTATTCCATTATGGTAAAAAAAACACTTGGTATGATTTTAGTCTTCTTAACTTTGTTAAGACTTCGTGACCTCGCCTGTGAACTGTCCTGGGTGGAATGGAAACTGCTTCTCTCCCCAGAGCTTCACACTCCAAATCCCGCCCCCACCCCACCAGAATCTGCCTAACGCGAGTCTCCACAGGGGCCACTTCCTTGCTTAGCTTTTATATAGTTCCCTGTTTTATCCTATTCTCCATCCTGAGAGCCTTCCTTAATAAAGACCCTGTACCTGGATTCTTTCTCAGGTTGTTTCTAGGGAACCTGACCTAAAGTAAGAAAAAAACCTCATGATGCAGTAGATGGAGAACAAAAGCAGGGACAAATAAAGGAGTAAACAAACGCCCTGGGTCTCCTCTGCCCCGCCCCCCCTTCCCAATCCAAAGAGTCCAGCTCTGCCCTTTCATAGGAAAATAGTCAGATGAGTAAATGAATGACATCACTTAGACTTTCTACCTGGGAACACAGCGAATTTAAATAAAACATGTCTCACACTGTAACGGAATGCATTGCAATGACCTTAGAGGAGGAAGTCATTTTTTCCCACTTAGGTTTGTCTATTCCCCCTCTCCCCACCCCGCAATATTCTCAAGCATGGAGAAGCAGACCCGTGGTGCTTTGCTCATCACATCCTTCCCATTCTGTCTCTGGGTTATAACACTTCCCTGGGACATTATATTCTTTTCTGAATCCCCAGCCCCAAGCAGAGGGCCTGGCACAAGTGGATACAGCAGATCCTCGAATAACGTAGATTTGTTCAATGTGGTTTTATTTTAACACCAATGGAAAAAAAAAGCAGTTTGCAACCAGGGCCACTGCCTGTATGGAGTTTGTGTGATCTCCCCATGTTTATTTTTACATGGGTTTTCTCTGGGGACTCCAGTGTCCTCCCACATTCCAAAGATGTGCACGTGAGGTGAACTGGCTTGCCCATGTTGTCCGGGTCTGAGTGCGTGCAATGTGGGGATGAGGGCGCCCTGCGATGAAAGGGCAAAGGGCACCCTGCCCTGGGTGGGGCCCCACCTTGCGCCCTGAGCTCGGGGAGAGGTGCCAGCCACCTGACCCTAGACTGGAATAAGCGGCCTGGAAAAGAATGATCCTATTTGTTTCCTCTTTCTCACATGTATGTAAAATTCACATTTTCCCCAATGTTTAATATTAGAAGTGTTTTTGGGTGTGTATTTAGAAGTTTGGCGATGTTTTTGTGACCAGAAATATGCTGTAGAAACTTAACCCTTGTTTATATCACTTAGCCTGTGGTAAAATTGGTTTCACATTCGTGGCTTCCTTTGAGTCACACTGTGCGAGAACCTATAGGGAGATGTTAAGGGAGGACTTACTGTCCTCTATAAATAGCAACTGAGTGGATGTGGGAAGGTGGGGAGCGTGTGGAAAGAGCAGAAGGAGAATACGAGGAGGGGGAAGGAGACTGCGCTCTGAACTGCTTTAGAAAAGGGGTTCTGGGAGCCCGGCACTGAGCGCTTGGCAGCAAGAACCACAGAAAAGCTTCTAGGCCTGTCAGACTTCCCGGTCCCTGCCCCAGCCCAGGGACACTGGCCTCTGGGGGGCGCAGGACCAAACAGCCGCTGGGGGTCACACGTTCAGGGGCGGCACCCAACACCCAACGGGGTTGTCCTGGAGGCGAGGACAGCCTCGCTGCCGCCGCTGGGATCCTGTCCTGCGGAGCGCGGGAAGCAAGAGCGCGCCCAGGAGCGCGGGGGAGCCCGGGACGTCGGAGAACGGGGACCGCAGGGCGCCGGAGAGAAGGAGGGTCAGCGACTCAGACTCTCCCCTGGGCAGAAGGCACTGATTAGCCGGACTGGTCTTCTGGGAGCGGTGCGCGGGACAGATCGGACGCCTTCAGGAGCGACGAGGGTGAGCATGGGTGGGGGTCGTCCTGGGGCGCGGTCCCCGGAGGCGCCCGGGCAGTGGGGCTGCGGTGGGATCCCCGGGCGGGAGGGCCGCTGCGGCGAGGCGGCCGAAGGGGAGGCTGCGGGCGGCGGAGGGGTGACCCACGCACTCAATCACTTCAGTTTCCTAGAACTCAGAACAAGTTGGTTTCATTTCCTCCGCAATGGTGGTGGAGCTGCCTGCTCTAGGCTCCTCTACCAAAGAAGATGCGGAACGGGGTGGGGAAGGGGTGGGCGCCGCAGGGGCCTCGGGACCCACTCAGAAGACCTGTCCGGGAAGCCCTGGCCAGGCGAACCCCAGGTCGTCTGGGGGGTAAATTGCCGAGAGAGGCGATTCCAGAACTTAATGATAATGCCCTCTTCCTATTCCGGGATCCATTTTAGGCACAAGGAGAAAAAAAGGTATCTCATCAAAAAAGGGATGCCTGATGCTTTTTTTTTTTTTTTTTTTGAAATGTCATTAGATTTTTTTTTTTCCAGATGATTTTTAGAGGACATTTATTAAAGCTGGGGACAGCGAAACAAGGAAGAGCTTAGCATAGAAGCAACAGGAGAGGGACTGGGTGGGGAACTGAGCCCTGGCGGGCAGCTTTGGCTCACAGAAAAGTTAGAGAAAAGGGGGCCTCGGGGGCAGGGGCCGGGGGTTAGCCCCGAACCCGCTGCCGCTGCCGCTGGCCCCCGGGGGCGAGCCCCGCGGCGACCCTTAGGGTTTAGGAGACGCCCGCCTGCCGGGGGCGGGGAGGGAAAGGCGCAGCCACGCTCCTCGGAGGGAGGCTGCCAGGTTCTTTGTGGGTATATATTCTTAGTACCATTTAAAGATTTTTCACTTTTACAAATAGTAACTTTTTTCCCTCTCCTTGCTGGCAGCTTTACATACTATAAGTAGCACGGCAATGAACATCTTAGTATCCATCTATCTATACGCGTACCGGCTTTTCTACAGCATAAGTTCCTAGAAATTCACATTGTTGAGTCAAAATATGTATGTGTTTATATTCCCTTTTATCCTTTTGATATCTTTATCAGTACTTAAGAAACCCTAAGCAATTTCAGCTATTACAGTTTTTAATATATTTTAATCTTATATTTATTTATTTATTTAAAAATCCTGGTTATCCCTACTAATTTCCTCTTTGAAATTAACTTTAGGATCATTTAGTTTCATTACCAAAATACACGATTGGGAGTTTTATTGGAATTGCATTAAATCGGGTTTAGGTTTGAGGAGGATTGTCAGGCTTCCCAGCCAGAAAGGTAACAGTTCTCTTCATTTCTTCAAGCTTTGTTTTGTGTGGTTTTCTTCGCACTATGTCCTCACGCTTTCTGGGAAATTTATTGTTTTAAACGGCCACTTTTATGAGTGAGGTGTTTTCCCCGTTATCTTTTCTGATTAGTTATTGCTGAGATGTAGATTTTTGATGACACTGGTAATAAAGTAATTACAGCTTGACGCTATTAAGTTGAAATCCACAAGATTCCTTGAACAATGCTCTCTCATCTGCATTGTCTCCCGTGGACCAAAGAAATGTGTAAACACCCATCCATTGCCCTCCTGGGTCCCAAGAAATGACCTTGAAGGCATCTGCTTAGCAACTGGGAATAACCGGGTAGCCTGAGACCCACTGCATCTCTTTAGGCCTGCCTTAATACCTGTTACTTCCCCTGCCAGGCCCATGTAACTTTAAGGTAAGAAAAACGAAAGTATATCACCTACTTGCTTAGTTGGTCTCACTTCTGCTTTATTCATGCTTTAAAGCCAGATTTGGTTTTCAGGCCAGTTTTGTTCTCCACACTGTTATCTGATCTGTAAAATGGTGCTAACAGGCATCCTACCTATGTCACTGAGCTGTTGAGAGTAACTCTGTTTAAAAGTACTTTGGAAACTGTTTCCATTTCCATGGTCTTTACTTATTTAAATACAACTTCCCCGAGCCTCAGCATCTCCATCTATAAAACGCTGAGCTCATGGTTCCAAAGCACTTAGCATATAGTAAGTGAATAGGCAGATGTGTGATCATTGTTGTTATCATTATTCATTATTGAACCCAGTTGCCTTTAGTTTCAAGTACAGTAAACATGATTCAAACTGGCTTAATAATAAGGAAGGTTATTGGTTCATGAAACATGTAGTTGAGAAATGGGGTGGACTTCAGGGCCGGTTCAAACCAGTGGCTCACTGTTGTCAAGGTCTCGTATTCCATCCTTTTCTTTGCATTCTGTCATTTGTAGGTGGCCTCATCCCAAGGCTTTAGGATTCCTTGCTTCCTCAGTTATATTCAGATAATTAGAGAAAAGAGTTAGCGAGCAGGCTTCCTGGGCTGCCTTAGGGAATCCAGGAATCTCCTCAGCAAGCATTACCCGCCACTCCATTTAGCCCAGGTGCCCGCTTTTGAATCAATCACTGTGGTATTAGGAGTTGTCTGATGGTTCAAGTTTTCTCAACCCCTGCACTATTGACATTTTGGGCTGGATAATTCTTTGTTGTGGAGGGACTGTCCAATGCAGCGCAGCACTCTGACAGCTACCCACGAGATGTGACTAGCGCCCATTCCCCAGCTGTGGCAATCACAAATGCACACGTCCCTGAAATCCCCGGAGGGCAAAATCACCTTCAGCTGAGAACCGCTGGCTTTGCTATATCAACTTTAACCCCTTGAGCCAGGGATGGGGCCAGCTCCTTTCAAACTCACTGCTAAATAGAGGAGAAGCAGACAGCCACTTAAAATCTCGGAGTAACAGGAAGCAGAGAAGCGGGTGCTGTGAAGATGACACCACAATTTCTCTGGGCCTGGGGATTCCCCAAGTCTTTAGTGCAAATGCCTCTGGGAAGGGGGCAGTGCTTCCAACATGAAGCCTTATTGATGCATAGGCCAGTGAGCAGGCTGTAACAGGTTTACAGCTTGCTAAGAACACCAGCGAAGGCGGGGGAAAGGACTGGGGAGACAGGGAGGCTCAAGCACCGGGGAAGAGATAGAAGGGAAAAGTGGAGATCAGCAGAACCAATTCTATTACAATCCTGAATGTCCTTGGCCAACTCTGGCCAAGGCTGCAAATTGGAGCTTCATGGGCAATATCCAGGTGGCAGTCGTGTTTTATTTGACCCACACAGTATTGGACTGCACAGTTTTTAAAGCATTTTTTTGACTTGGTTGCAAGATTTTAAATCAAGCGATTTAACATAAAAATCCAGATTTCTGACTGCTCTTTTAAAACTGAAAGATTTTCCGCCACTGGACCCTTTATCCTTACTGAGTAACTCTTGCTTTCTTTAGGCAGGACCTGAACTTTCCAGCCCACTATCCTATAGTCACCCCCGTACTTTCGCAGGATATAATTGTTAGAATAGGCGAAGCTGATATAACAAATAGACCCCAAGATATGATGGCTCAAGTGCAATAGAAGTTTATTTTTTTATTCACTTAACAGTCCATAGTAGATGATCCAGGTCTGTGAGCAGCCCTCCTCTAAGTGATTCAGAGATCCAGGGTTCTGTCTTCTCGAGACTCCACCTTCCTTCTTGGGGCTTTACCCCCCGCTCCCAGGGCTGTGTCATCCGATGCATCCGCTGGCAGTGGGTGGAGGAAACAAGCCTGCCTTGGCCCAAAGTAGCACATAGCATATCCATTCATACCCCATTGGTGAGAAGTAGTCGCATGGCCACAACAAGCCTCAAGGAAGGCTGGGGGACGCAGTCCGAGGTGGGCCGACACTTCTCAGCCACACTCTGTTATTATGGAAGGGCAGAACGGATTTTGGTGGGCAGCAAGCCATCCGTACCTTACATGAAATTGTGGGGAGACCTCCTCACCCATTTCAGTCACAGACACCCTTGAGGTTACCTTGATCCAGTAGTAAATATGCAGGAGATTCTGGGACTTTAACAAATTCTGTCAGTCTCTTCCAGGTATGGAGAACTTGAAGGCTGTCATCACCTTAGGCCAGTATGTGTATGACCAATGTGAAATGATGCAACACTGCAAGAGACAGTGCCGGCGCCTCAAGAACCGGATCCATGGCCTGCTGCAGCCGCTGCAAGTGCTCGAGGCCCAAGACAAGAAGCTGCCCGCCGAGATCACCACTGCCCTGTGCAATTTCTATGCTGTCCTAGAGAAAGCTAAGGCACAGATAGATAACTTTAGCAATAAATCCAATGCTCTTAAGTTTATAACGGCAGGGAAGGACAAAGTACTCTTTAAAGACATAAACAAAGAGTTGAACGATGTCCAGAAGGAGCTCTCACTGGGGCTGCAGGTGTACCAGTGGGTGTCTACTTCAAGCATCAGCCAAGGAGAGTCCTGGGAGCAGGAAGATCAGCAGGATGCAAAGGAAGATTGGCAAGCCCTCCAAAGCCTAAGTGGTAAGGTTTATTTTGGGACATTTTAGTATCATTTTTTTCCCTTCTTTTTTTTTTTTTTTAAGATTTTATTTATTTATTTTCAGAGAGAGAGGAAAGGAGGGAGAAACAGAGGGAGAGAAACATCACTGAGCGAGAGAAACATCGATTGGTTGCTTCTTGCACCGCCCCCTCCCCCTGAACTGGGGACCGGGCCCGCAACCCAGGCATGTGCCTGACCAGGAATCAAACTGGTGACCCTTCAGTTCGCAGACCAGCCCTCAGTCCACTGAGCCACACCAGCCAGCGCTAGTCTTTTGATTCACCAAAGAAGCAGGAAGGCTGAAGGGGTTTGAGCGATGTCTATTCATGTGACTCAGGACTCCTAACATCCCTGGGCCCGGGTGTGGTGGGGGCCCGAGGGAGAGAGGGTGGGAGTGATGGCACTAACAAGTCTTCTTTGCCCCTCTGTTCTCTTTTTGATGTGATACCTGGAATTCCAGGAGCTAATTCCTTCTAGCCTTAGCTTTTCTAGGACCTTCTGTTAATATGTAAATTACCCAGGAGGAAGAAATAACTAATTAACTAAGCAAACCTGAATTGAGTACAGCCCATACACTACTTAATGGTGGGGATACATTCTAAGAAATGTGTCCTTAGGTGATTTCTTCAACGTGCGAACATCAGAGTGCACTTACACAAACCTAGGTGGTCTAGCTTGCTACACACCTGAGCTATATGGTATAGTCTGTTGCTCCCAGGACACAGGCCTGTACAACATGCTGCTGCACAAGCCAACACAAGATTAAGACAAGCACAAGAGAATATGATATAATCAAGAGACACAGTAAACACAAGCTACATGAGGTTGCTACTGGCATACTGTTTTACAATATACCTTTTTTTATAAGTAGAAAGAGTACACTCTAAAATTATGATAAAAAGTATAGTACAGTCCTGGCCAGTGTGGCTCAGTGGATTGAGAGCTGGTCTGCGAACCAAGGGGTTGCCAGTTCAATTCCCAGTCAGGGTACATGCCTGGATGGCAGGTCAGGTCCCCAGTAGGAGCACATGAGAGGCAACCTCACATTGATGTTTCCCTCCCCCTCTTTCTCCCTCCCTTCCCCTCTGCCTAAAAATAAATAAATTTTTTAAAAAGTATAGTATGGTAAATACATAAACCAGTAAGTTATTAGTCATTTGTTATCAAGTATTATATGCTATACATGGTTTTATGTGCTGTACTTTCATATGGCTGGCAACCAGCAGTCGGTTTGCTTAAACCAGTATCACCACCAACACATAAGTAGTGTGCTCTGCTGCAACATCACGAGGCCACCGGAATTTTTCAGCTCCATTGTACTCATGGAACACCATGGCACATGCGGTCTGTCAGAGATGGCAGTGTTGTGATGAGGCACGTGACTACATCTGCCCTATTGCAGGTACTGTTCTAAGTGTTTGAGATACAGCACAGAGCAAAACGGACAAGATCTCTGCCCTCATGGGACACAAAGTCTGCAGCCAGAGGGCTTAGTAGGTCATTTTATCTAACAGCAGTGTAAGTCATAAGCAGGGCTTATGAAATACAGTGGGAGCAGATTGAGTGTTGAGGGAAGGCCTCTGACTGGGTGACATTGGAATGGACACCTTGAATAAGGAGAGCCGTGTGAAGAAGAGGGAAAGGAACATTCCCAGAAGAGAAAACAGAGGATGCAAAGGCCCCGAGGTGGGAATAAAGGCGGCAAGTGCGAGGAACAGCCAGGAGGCCAGGACGGCTTGGCTGTGGTAGGCGCGGAAGGGGGGCAGCACCTGATGCGTGTGGGGAAGCAGGGCTAGAACACGCGGGGGCAAGGTCCTGCAGGGCCATGGAGGCACAATGAGAAATTTAGATGGTATTCCAAGAGTCATAGGAAACCAGTGAAAGGTGGTCCCTACCTGTGCACCAGTCATGGTTTGATTTGTATTAAAAGAACATCACTTGGGCTGTCATGTGGCCATGGACTGTAGTGATATGTGTTAGTTCCCACAACTAATACTGCATTAAAAACCATCCCCTAACTCAGAGGCTTTAAGGCTTTAAGCGATAGTCATTCATTCTCCTGCTCGCAGATCTGGGGGTCCACTGGGATTCCCCTGGTCTCAGGTGGGCTTGGCTGGGCGTGGCTCCAGGGAGCAGGTCTAATTTGAGTCAGTTTAATTGTGCCTCATTCTGGAGCCAAGGCTGTAGGAGCAGTGGGTACCTGGAGAATGTTCTTCTTGTGGCAAAATTGCAAGAAGGCAAGCCCAGCATGCTGGCACCTTTCAAGTTTCTACTTGTATCCTCTAATATTCAAAGCAAGTGATATAGCCAAGCCCAACATGAAGGGACAGGGAAGTACAGTGTGCCCACTATGAAGCTATGGCCAGGGTATGGATGGATAATGCAACTCCATAGGAGTGAGGAATTGGGACCAATAATGCAGCATACCCCAGGGGGCAAGAGTGGAGGTGTGAGCCAATTGGGAGACCACTTTGTTGACAGTGGCTTGGACTAGAGTGGCCCTTGAACTAGGTGGCTTAGTGGAGGACAAGGCTCTAGGGGGCAAAACATGGGCTAGGTTGGAGTAGGGGCTGAGAGTGGAGCCAGAGCCACCAGAAGAGGGGATAGAGGGAAAAAAGGTGGTCTCTTTACCCCTTTGCAGATCCTTGTGATGTGAATTCTAAACTCTTCCCTTCTGTAAGGATTGCGGGTGGAGGGAGAGGAAGTGAGGAGAGGGTGAAAGACATTGGAATGAACCTTCTGGGCGCTGGAGCCCAGTGGAATGAATAACGGCTCTGCCACCTTGTTGTGGAGGGTGGTCCATCCCCAAGCAGGTCAGCAGGAGACACTCCAATAGGACAGACCAGGTCTGGAGGAGACCTGTGGGCCAAATGGTCCTTTTTGGGGTGGGGGAAAGTGAGGCGTCTGTAATCCCCTAGCCAGACACCCGGCAAGGAGAAAGAGAGTCAGGGATTGGGAGTCGGGGGGCGTGTGAAGAGGCTGACCCCGCTGAAAGGCAGGCGTGGCACCAGCCTTCCTAACCTTCAGCACTTACTGGTCCACTTTCTGGTGGAGGCGGGAGGCATGTTGGTGTCATCAGCTTGGAGGACAGGATTTACTCTCTGTTCTTGCTTTTCAGTTTTTAAGAAACATTTTTATCAAGTAATAGATTAACATCGTACAAAAGGTACAAGAAGGGCCCAGCATGAGAAGTAAATCCCCGTCTCGCCCTTGACCTCAAGGGACCTGTTTCCTTCCCAGACACAATCATCCCCACCAGTTTCTTGAAGAGCCTTCCAGGCAGTGAAGTATATAGATTTTGTTGTCATTGTTACACAATCAGGACCATCCTAAGCACACTGTTCTGCTTCTTGCTTTTCTCGTTAAATCTTGAACACTCTTTCATATGAATTTCCGTAGGGATGTCTAGTGTTCCTTGGCGCACATGGACCACATACATTTAAGCAGCTCCCTATTGATGGACATTTAAGTTGTGTCCAATTTTTCCCAATTGTAAATAGTTCTGCCTTAAGCATCTTTGAATATATTTCAGGATATCTTTAGGAACATTTCCTATAAGCAGATCTAATTGTTGTGTCAAAAAGTATAGGCATTTTAAATTTTGAGAGAGATTGCCAGTTGTCCTCCATAGAAGTTATACGAATATCTTTCCTACCACAGTGTATGACATTGTGTGTTTCTCCGTATTTCTCGCCATCAGAGACTTTCCTGGTTTTAGTACTGAAGGTCCCATGTCCTCAGAACTCCTCAGCCCTGGGAAAACAGGGATAGTTGGCCACCCTATATAGTGGGTTTTTTAAATCAATTTTTAAATGTATTTTTGAATATATAAATAAGGATAGCCCTGCCTGGTGTGGCTCAGTGGGTGGAGTGCCGGTCTGTGAGCCAAAAGGTCGCTGGTTTGATTCTCAGTCAGGGCGCATGCCTGGGTTATGCACCAGGCCCCGGTTGGGGGCGTGAGAGAGGCAACCAACCAGTGCCTCTCTTCTTCTCTTTCTCTCTCCCTTCCTTTCTCTCTAAAATAAATAAATAAATAAATAATCTTTACATAAGGATAGATTAGATTGTACTGTGGCTTTAAAAGCTCAGTGTCTTAAAGAAAGAAAAGTTTATTTCCTACGCAGGCAAAGTCCAGGAGGCTCTCCAAGGTAGCTGTCTTTTCCAGGAACTTGCAACCTCATTGCAGTTTTATGTTGACACAGATTTCCCAGACATTTCTTTCACTTCACTTGGCCAAAGCAAGTCACGTGGCCATGCTTCAAGGCTTACTGTATGCTTAGAAGTAGAAAGCTGAATATTCATGAGCTGTAGTAATAATTCCTACTACAACGAAAACGGTAGGTAAAAAAAAAAAAAAGTGGGGGAGATCTCCATATGCTTTTAATTATCATTTCTGAGTTTTTGCTACTCTTTTTCCTGCAGAAAGTGGAAGTATGGAAGAATCAATGAAAAAACTGGAAACCAATATGGTCAAAATCTTGGAGAATGAAAAGGAAGAAGTCATGAAGACCATTAGGGACTGTGAGTTGTTACCTTGTGCCCTGCCACTTCTGACTGCCCCCAAACCAGAAGTCATTTGTTGACTAGGAACTCCAGTCTGCCCCCACCCCGACCCCCGCCTTGCCTATTTTGTACGCTGGATGGTTGGATACAGCCCCAGGTTTGGGGGTGCGCTCATGACTAGCCCAGGCTTCTGCCCATGGAGTAGCATTTGAAGGGAAAAGCAAGATATCTTCTAGCACCTCTCCAAGTGCTGACAACTTCCTCTAATAGCCTCAAAGCTTCATTTGCTGAATTTCCAAGAACAAATTCAAATCAAATTTAAAATACTTTACATTCATTTGACAGATCTTTACCTGCTTTATGCCAGAGCCTTGTGTACAGAGAAAAGTAAGAAGCAGAGAAAGGCCGTGCCTTTCACGAGCTCACAGCCACAGGGCAGAGCAAGGGAGAGGAAAGATAGCCATGTGAACACATGCCAGCAGCGGAGTTCCTGAACTTGAAGTACATATCTGACTATTATAATTGAAAGGACTAGATACAATGCTAAATGTTCAAGCACCAAGTTCAAGTGGCAGTACAGCAGGCAGAACTCCAAAATGAGAGAGATGGACTGAGATGGAGGTTTAGGCTGGAGAGACAGGATTTGAAGAGGAGAGAAAGGAAGTGCATGGCACACTTTTGATAACCATGTAGCTGCACCTCTCCTGATCACTCAGCGGCACTGGAACCTCGCCCCCGGGATGGGCCCATTGGAAGCTCCCAAGGAGCTCCAGGGCCAGCCTTGCTTCATAGCACAGGGCCTCCCACTCACACATTTACTAAGACACCTCTTCCCCTAGGACATTGACTCTGCTCATTGACTCTTTATTTCCTTCAGTTGTACAGTCAGACTTACAGAAATGCGTGAAGAAGATCCCAGAGTATCAAACCAAGGAGATTAAGAAGGAGGAGATTTCAGAATGCGATTGGATCCTGCTATGGGAAAATGAGGTTAGCCAAGTTTTTAGAGGAAAATACTACCAATCTTCAGTGGCCATAAAAGTATTCAAAAACGCCCAGGCCAGGAACATTGGGTAAGTCATTTTGTTTAGTTCTCTCCTGTATCATTTCACTCCCTCTCTCTAACTCCCCAAGGAAAGAGGCACATTGTCTCCATTTTCAGGTGTGGGAAGCTGGGCCCCAGAGGGTTACATCGCTTGCTCTCTACTCCTAAGGAGCGGAGCCTAGACATAAATGCATGTCTTACAACTTCAGTTCTACAAACTTTTCTCTTTTATTCATGTATGTAGTTATTTTAAAAAGTTCATTCCCTTCCATTTCTGTTTCTCAGTTCCGCATCCCTTGCACATACAATAAAGGATGTTTTGTTTGTATGCGTTCTTTCAAAATGTATGTTATTACATGTGTGTGAGTTTTTAATTTTCACAAATGGTAGTGTAATATGTCTATTGCCTACTATTCTTACCTTTTTCATTCAGTATCATGGAACATGTATTATACTTGTTGCCCTTTCCTTCTGGCTGCTGGCTGGTATAGGTCTGTATTTTACCTGTTTTTCCAATAATAGAACCCAACCTACTTCTAACTTTCCCCTACTAAAAATAACACCACCATAAGTATCCTTTTATGGTCCTGTATGAGGATCTCTTTGGGCTGTGTTGCCAGGGGAGGAATCAAGGGATCGTAAGGTATGCATGTATGAAATTGACTAAGAACTTCCAGATCACTCCTCGGAAAGGGCTGCCCATTCCTATACTCCCTCCAGCAATATGTGAGAGCTCTGTAGTTACATATCTCCGCTAACCCTTGGTATTATCCAGCTTTCTAATTTTTGCCATCCTTATGATTATAAAGTAACATCTTATAGTTATTTTAATTTGCATTTCTGTTTACTAATGAATTTGAGCATTTATTCATATGACTTAACTATTTGGGTTTCCACTTCTCTGTATTTCCTATTCATATCGTCTGCGCTTCTTTCTGTCACAGTTGCCATTTTTGTCTTGTCAGTTTGTAGAAGATCCTCATATGTTGCGGAAATTAATCATTTCTAAGCTTTAGATATTAAAAAGGTCTTAACATATTTTCTATATTTTAATCATGTCTGTGGTGTCCATCAACAGACATCAACCAAAAATTTTTTATTTGTGTTCTTGAGGTACCCTTCCCCACCCCTAGGTATTCTGGATTTCTTCTATCAGCTTTACAGTTTTATTTTTCACATTATGGCTTTCATCCTCCTGGAATCCCCCTTCGTGTGTCATAGTATGTAGGGCCTCGTTTTATTTTTATCTACACAGTAAGTCCATTTTCTCTACACTGTCTAGAAAATGTTCTTCCCCATTGATTTGTGGTGCCACATTCATTGTATGTTAAGTTGCTGTTTAGACATTGATCTGGTTCTGATCTCTCTATTTCATTCACTGGTCACTTTTTCTTTGCACTGATAACGCTGTGTTTTGTTTGGTCTTATTTTACTATGACTGTAGTAATTCTCATTATCTAGTACTCCTCTTGATTCTTCTTTCACAGGGTGACTAAGCTAAATAAACAGCACGTTCTTCAATATACACATTGAGATTTTGATTAGGATAGTATTTTTAAACAACTTTATTGAAATATCATTTACATACCATGAGATTCACCTATTTAAAGCGTATAATTTAATGGCTTTTAATGTATTGCTATAAGGTGATTTTAGAACATTTTTGTCATCCCAGAAAGAAACCCTGTACCCATTAGCAGTCACTTCCATACATTCTCACCCCCATCACCTCTAGCCCTAGGCAACCACTAATCTACTTTGCATTTCAATGGATTTATTTGCTTGTTCTTTTTTTAATAAAGTCTTTTTAGATTTTATTTATTATAATTTATTCTTAGAGAGAGGGGAGGGGAAGAAGAGGAGGAAGAGAGGGAGAGAAACATTGATCAGTTGCCTCTCACACGCCCCCACCCAGGGACCTGGCCCACAACCCAGGCATGTGCCCTGACTGGGAGTTCAACTGGCGACCTCACGTTTCGCAAGCCAGTGCTCAGTCCACTGAGCCACACCAGCCAGAGCTGGATTTGCTTGTTCTTGATATTTCATATAAATGGAATAATATGTTACGGGGCCTTTTGTGTTAGCTCCTTTCACCTAGTGTGCTATTTCCAAGGTAAATCTATATTGTAGCATGTATCATACATGCTAATTCTGCCGCCAGACATCTGAGGGGTCCCACACTGTGCCATCTATGGCCAAACCCATCACTGCACCAGTTCTCACCCCAGGAGATGCTGCCAGTCCCACACACCCCACACATACACAGGCGGTCCCTACACTAAATGTTCTTGGAGGGACCTTCCAGTCCTGAAATCCTAATTGTCCTTTTTATCCTCATAGAGCAGTGAGGCGTACTTTCAATAATGAGATCAGAACCATGAAGAAATTCGATTCTCCTAACATCCTGCGTATATTTGGGATTTGCATTGATGAAAAAGGTAAAGAGTGCTTCTGGGTTTGGTCCTTTGTCTAGTGGTCTGTCATATATCTTCCATGTTATAATGCATTGCATTTTTTAAAGAACAGCTGAAAGAGTGGAATTTACGCAGTGTTATTATTATCAGTGTTAATTTTTTTATATCCCACGATATAGGTTCCCATCTCGTTTCAGGAAAAGGGGGCTTGAACTTGGCTTCAGCCGGAAGGCTGGTTTATACTAACGTGGCTACATCTTCTCCTACCAGTCCCCTGGGAACCCAGGAGGTCTTGTTCAGATGCTGGCCTAAGTGATGGGTGCATTTTGTTGCAATAAAACATTAAAAAACTGACTGACCAGAATCAGGAAACTTCCCTTGACCATCGTTAGTGTAGATCAAACCTGGAAACTCAGTTGACCTGTCCCTGTACCAAGAACCTCATGCATCAGGTTCTTTTCAGTTTTTATTTTTTGATGTGGCCGCATTCTGTCTCATAGCACGGCCTCTCCTGTGGGTTCTGTTTCGTTGCTCTTTCCCGCAGAGGGGGCACAGCATCTCCCATAATATCCCTTCTAGACGTTTCTCCGCATCCTTAGCAGACTAAAGGAAAACTTACAGTGATATTTGTTATCCTGGGCGATGGCTGAAGTGACTGACTCGTTCTTTGTGTGTTAGATCTTGTGTCACGGGCCCACGACTGGAGGCCTGTACTCTGGGCTGAGCGCCCCTCCCCAGCCCCTGCAGTGTGTGCGTCATTCACTCCTTCCACACATACTTACTAAGCTCCTTGTGAGCACTATGTGAACGAAGCAGACCCTGCCTTCCGGGGGCTTACGCTTGAGGTTTTAATGGGGAGACATGACACAGAGAACTATGAGAAATGTATAATTGCGATATGCCAAATATGACGGAGAAGAGGTATTAGAACTCAGTGGGTGTTTGACCCATTCAATGAGGTCAAAATGCAACCTGTGTGAGACGGGGTTAGAAGGTGGGAGAGAAATAGTGCAGAGTTGAGTCTGTCTTTGTAGAGATGGAGGAGATGGACCGCAGAGTAAGGACCTCTGAGTGGGGCCGATCTTCTTTCCTTCAGTGACCCCCCCTCAGTTTTCCATCGTCATGGAATATTGTGAGCTTGGGACCCTGAGGGAGCTGCTGGATCAGAAGAAGGACCTCAGTTTTGCTAAGCGCATCGACCTGATTATGGGAGCAGCCAGAGGCTTGTACAGGTACCATATGGGTTGAAAGCTGCAGAGGAGAGCAAACTGAGTCTGCCTCCCCTACAGACAATCCCAGAGGTGGGAGAGGACAGGCCAATGCCCCAGGTAGTCTCCCCTTCCTTCAGTTGTGCTATTACTTAGTCTGATTATATTATTCCATTACATGAAATATCAAGAACAAGCAAATCCAGCTCTAGATGGGACAGGGAAAGGGCGCTTAACCCAGTGAGCACAGACTGCGCCCGGAAGGCTGCGCGTGTGCAGTTGGACAGGCCTTGCTCCTAAAGTTGCCAGATTTAGCGACTAGAAATACAAGATGCCCAGTTAAATTTGAATTTCAGATAAGCAGTAACGATTTTTTTAAATATAAGGATATCTGAAATATTACATACGACATACTTTTACTAAAATTTCAGAAAACATAAAATACTTTTTTAGTAGACGTATGTCCCATGCAATTTTGGCACATACTTACACTAAAAAAAATCACCAATTATCAAAAATTCAAAATCAACTGGATGTGCTATTTTTATCTGGCAACTCACCTTACATGTAGATTCTACGGTTTATCCAGCCCAAGAGTCCCCAAAGGTCAGTCATTCACAAACCACTTTCGTGATTTTTCCCATATCCACAATTCTGCCAGTATTATTTCCTTAATAATGTCTTGAAATTAGCTCACTTTTTTAAAAAACCTAAATAAAATAAGAGAAAAAGACAGTTTCTAGTACTACCATAAATCCAAAACCAGAATCACCTGCCACAAATAGGTGACCATAAATGAAACCAAAATAATGCTACTAAATTCTGTCTGGATAATGCTGCCTGCCAAAAGGTCTATAACTCAGACCCACATTTTCTTGTACAAAGGAGATATTAGCAGATTTAGAGAGGTATTAAAGGCACCTGGCACCAAACTGAGACTTTCTCCTTAATGTAATCAGAACTTAAAAGGAGAACAATTTTCTTACTATGTCATCTTGCATACCACATAGTCTGTACTTTTGGAAATAGAGACCTAGCTATTTATTTTATGTAATAACTAATGTTAATTAATTAGTAATGTTACCACGGTTCCCTGCATCAGTGGGCTTTATGGGAAGCAGTTTTGGACTGCAGGGGGACCCTGTTAGTGCGTCATCTAGATGGCCTCTGACCCTTCTCAGCAGCTCTGCACACTCACCCCCCCCCGACTTGGCTTACTTTGCTGTTTACAGCTCTCAGATGCCATCTACAGAGTAATATCGATGGGCACTGGAGCCCCTTTGCCCTTAATGATAGCTAAAAGTGTCCAGTCGTTTTGTACCCACCTGTCCCTGTCCCTCTCCCCCTTGTCCTGTCTACCAATGCATAGCTACCCATGAGGAAGTCATGGTACTGATCAGCTCCATTATCCGGGCAATGATGTCAAGCCCCCCAGGAAGGTCTGAGCAAAGGTCACTAACGCTCCCCGCCTTTGGTCATGCCAGGCTGCACCATTCGGAAACCCCGGAACTCCACAGAAACATCAACAGCACGAGCTTCCTGGTAACTAGCAGCTACCAAGTGAAGGTGAGCGTGGCCTTCCAGAGGGCTCTTTGAGTTTGACCCCTGTGACTGTTTGGTGCTGGGAGAGGGACGCCTGTTTCCCTGCGTGTTTCTCTGCCTTAACCCTAGAACTGAACGCAGCGGTTTCTCTGCCCCGACAGCTTTCCATGCGCCCATCCTAGGACAGACTCAGCCCTGCCCGCTCTCATGTGCCGTCTTCCCTCACCGCCCGCTTAGCAGGGACGGGCCAAGAGTCATTTCCTTTTAGATGCCTGGACACCACTCCTATGTTCCCCCAACACCCCCCAGGGGATCTTCTCAGGCCCAACTAGGCATTTGGACTTACAGGACTAACACAAGGCCACACTTGGCATTTGGAATCACTTAGAAGGTCCCTATGCAGGAAACAGGGCTTGCCTGCAGGGTGGCGGTGGGAGTCCCCGCAGCTGTCCCCACGGTCACCGGGGAGATATTCTCTGTGCCCTGCCCCAGGTGCTAGAGAAAGAGGCTCTGCTTGGGTGGGTGTCGGCCCCTCATGGCCCACAGAAGTCAATATTATCTCACAACAACTCGTCAGGTGTGTCTCTAAGTGTCCCCACAAGGGGCATTCCAGTAGTAAGAGTCTCCACAAAGCCTCGCATCCCTATCAGCTCTTTATAGTCCTCATACCCACTGTCCATAAGGATTTACCAATCAGTGATCATTTTTTTTGTCATCAACAATATTACTTAGGAGCACAAGTGACAGTCTGCCTTTAACAGGTCCCCAGGGGAATGGAGCTAAAAAGTCAAATTCTCAAACAGAAGGAGGGCTTCACTCAATGTCCACAATTCCCAAACGCTAAAAGAATATTTTCTTTGTCATCCATAGATGGCTTTCTTCCGGCCTTATGAATGTCAGGAACAGCCCTCAAAAAACAGAGGACAGGTCTTTTCTGCCTTTCATGCCTTTCCTCCTTGCCAGTGTGATATACATGCTCCAAAAGCACCGTGTCTACATCACTCATGGTCCTCATCCCGCCTGACTGTAACGTGTTATTCAGCCTTTCGTCTCTGGTATCTAGCATGGTGCCAGATGTCAGAGGATGTCAGTGCTCAGTAAAAATGTAATGGAAAGGGGATGAGCCCTCAAAATGTCTTGTCCTTTTCCTGACCTTGCCCCTAGACTTGCGTGTCTGGCCACGTTTGGGGCCGGCAGCCCTCTGCGCACTGATGGCGCTGACAGGCGTGCATGGGGCAAGGAGAGCATGTGCTCCCAGTAAGTGTGCTGTTGCCTCTTCAAGGTCATGGCCTTGGCCATGCAGGGTCAATGGGGGTGACTCAGAGTTGTCATAAAATCCAGAGGAACAGGCTGGCTCTTTTGCAGAGTCAGATAGAGCAGAGGGGATGCCCCTATGTCATTTTTTCATCTGCTTCTGAGAGAAAGCAAACCATGTGGCTCTATGCATCACTGTCTGCCCTCATTTAGTGGAGTTGAGTCCTCACCTGAGAAAGCCCTGTATCTAACACTGTAACACTAGAACAGATGCAACTTCCCAAGTCTTGTAGGTGGTCTCTAACAGCTATCTAAAGTAATCTTCATCGCCCCATTTTATAGAGAAGAAAACTCTTTGTGTTTCTCTTGGTCAATGCACCATAATGCCATATTTTGCCATGTATAATGTGCACATTTTTGCCCAAGTTTTTGAGGGAAAAGAAAGGATGCACATTATACGTGGGTAGTACTAATTCCATATCTATATAAATATTTTTAATTCTTCTGGTTATGGTTATGCATTAAAAGTGTAACTCTAGAAAGCAATAACAATATCCACATGCAAAATAATACCCTGGAATATGAAAACCGGGTTTGTTTCTAAATATAAATAAATAAAAAATTGAGTTAAAAAAATTAAAATTGAAGATTTTTTTTCCCCTGAAAGTTTGGGCCAAAAACATGGGTGCATATTATACATGGCAAAATACAGTAAATTGAACCCATAATGCCAGCCAATAGGGTAGCACAAAGACGGAAGACACCGCTGGAAATGCATTCCAAAGGTAAAAGACCGTCCCATGACAGCCATGTGTAGCATCAGCCTCCTGCCCGCTACCCCCAACCCAAGACTATGTTGTTTCCTTCTGTCTCTGATTCACCTCTTTATTTAGCTTTCAGGATTTGAGTTGAGCAAAACACAGACTTCAATCAGTAGAGCAACTAAGAAAAAAAAAGAGAAAATCAGTGCCTCGGCATACATCTCACCCGAAAGACTGGAAAATGTGTTTAATAAATATGACATAAAAGCCGAAATATACAGGTATGTTCTCATTCTTGCACAGACTCTAACTCAGATGAACAAGACAGGAAAGCCCAAGTTAAACTCCACATCCAAAGACCATCGTAACTCTGATCTATTGAGCACAATTGAGTGGCAATCAGAAAGTTCACTGAAATGGCTAAGGGGTGTGGAAAAATGGAAACATTATGATTTTTCAGTTTCTTGGTTTTCTTTCAGCTTTGGGATTGTTCTCTGGGAAATCGCCACTGGGAAGATCCCGTTTGAAGGTAACCAGTGTGAAGGCTGGCTCAGGTGGTGCTGGGATTGGGTCCCTTTCCAATAGACTAGAAAATCCCTATCAGTGCTGTCCTGGGTACTTTGTGTTCCAATGTGGGCACTGTCTGAGCTGGTCAATGAAGTCATTGGACGCTCTTGTTCCTCCAATATTCGTAGTCCCGAGGTTGATGCCAGCCATCATCATCCAGAGAGATGTGTGAGTGCTAGAGCAATTTTTAAGCCTCCCATCCTCTTGATTCCATGACAGGCTGTGATTCTAAGAAGATCCACCAGCTAGTGGCTGTGGACCGGCACCAGGAGCCACTGGGTGAAGACTGCCCTTTGGAGTTGCAGGAGATCATTAATCATTGCCGGGCATATGAACCCTCCAGCCGTCCCTGTGTTAATGGTAGGCTCCTCTCTGCTACATGAGCCACACAAGAGCCACACATGCTGCTTCAGATTTGTGAAAGATTTCCTCTGTGGTTCACAGCAGGGGTAATTTTGCCCCTCCCAGAACATTTGGCAATGTCTAGAGACATTTTTGTTTGCCACAACTTGGGAGATGGGGTGGGGCAGGGCGTACTACTAGTATCTTCTAGGTAGATGCTATTCAACATCCTACAATGCACAAGACAGCCACTTACAACAAAGAATCCTACAGCCCAAATGTCAATGGTACAGGACTTCAGAAGTCCTTAAGGAACGCTGTTTAGTCTAAAGTGGATTGGAAAGGTAGATTACTCCCCCATCCCTCTCTCTCTTTTTGTTTCCATACCTTCCTCCCTCCCTCTCTCCTTTCCTTACTTCCTTCCTCTTCTAGGCTCCCTTACAACCTAGGGTCTGCCGGGTATTAGAGAATCTAATATCTGAGACTAATTGACACTAAGATATGTGTTTACCCCTCTTTGTATTTGAGTAGCTACTCATATTTGAGTAGTTGACCAAGAAAGAGGGATCTTCCTATCACAAAGACATGAATGCAGATGGTGGTTTAAGCCTCATCCAGACCAAAGGGAGTATAGTTTCTACACTATGGCACAGTGTAGAAACATCTTTGTTTCTAGCTTGGCTTTCAATTCCCTTCTCTTGTCTGACTGTTTGTTCATTCATTCACAGAAATCTTAGAGAAACTGTCTAAGTTTTATTACACTGAGGATTGAAACTGAAACTAAGGAGTCCCTGAACAAGAAGCTGGAAGAAGTGCAAGCTGGGCATCTTTCTCCTATCCATTGGCGTGGAGTTATTTATGGGTGCAGGGAGGCAGCACTTCTCTGTCACAGATAGAAAACAGTTCCAGTCATGCAGAGCATATCCCCCTCCAAACAATATTGTCAAAAGTACACCTCTGATCGTAACTGTGATAAATGTTTTACAAAAATGTATCTCTCTTGCCCAGACTGGTGTGGCTCAATTAGTTGGGCATCATCCAGCAAAACAAAAGGCCACTGGTTCAATTCCCAATCAGGGCACACGCCTGGGTTCTGTCCCCAGCTGGGGCACATACAAGAGGCCACCGATTTGTATTTCTCTCTCACATCAATATTTCTCTCCCTCTCTTTCTCCCTCCCTTCCCCCTCTCTAAAAATAAATAAAGTGGTTTTTTTTTAATTATCTCATTCTGTATCTATATCTCTTGGCACTGCGATTTTGCAGCTCCTCCCATCAGATGGCGGAATCTGTCTACTAGCGAAACTAATGTATTATTGTACATCATTGTATGCCGATTATACTTCTATTGAAAAGTTTAGGAACTCTTTCCTAAAAACTGAAATATTTATAAATGATGAAATTATATAGCTGGAGTTTGATTAAAAATAATCCAGGGGAGGGGGAATAACTGTAAAGAAAATGGTAAAATAAGATTAGCTATGAGTTTTGCTAACTGTTGAATCTGGATGACGGGTACATAGTGGTTTATATCCTCTTCTCTCCTGAATCTGCTTGAAATTTCCACAAATGATTTTTTTAAATGAAAAAAAAGTGGAGTCTATTTTTCCACCATTTGATTCTGGGCTGGCACTGTAACTGGCTTTGTCCAATAAAATGTAGAAGTGATAGTGTGCCTATTCCAAGCCAAGGCTTCAAGAGGCCTTACAAATTTCCACTCCCTCTCTTGGATCCCGGCCCAGACTTGAGCTGGGCTAGTATGCTGGAGGCTGAGAGACTAAATGGAGAAGAGATAACCATCTCAGCTGATGTCACACTCAACCATCTGGCCCCGCAGCTGGGCCAACAACTGACCCAGTCACATGAATGGGTCCATTCGACACCAGAACCACCACAAAACTGAGCCAGACCAAATTGTTTATTAACAAAATTATGATCTAAATAAATTATTGTTGTCTTAAGCCACTAAGTTTTGGGATGACTTGTTACACAACAGTAATAACAGAGCAAACACTGTTTAATCCTTCCTCTTGCTCATGGAACAAAGTATGAACTCCCTCTATGGGTACTCATGGTCTTGCATCTCTGCCCCAACCTTATTTCCAATACCAAGTCCCAGAGTCCTCCTACCAGATAGTTCATCTCTAATGCTTATAGTGTCTCTGAGGAAAACTATATGAGTAAGCTGAGCTTGGAGGGGACTTCAGTGAATAGATGAGCTTTGTTAAGGACAGCCTCCACTCAGCTCCAGCCTTGTTTTGTCATGTAGGAATGGGATCCCAATGTTTCCACAGATTTCCATTTTATCACAACAAACTGGAAATTCATATTTCTCTGTAAATTGTTCATATTTTTAAACATTAGCATCTAATCAAAAATTATTTTAATGCCATATAAGAAAAACAAAATATATTAGTCTAGGAATTCCCAGATTTTAATCTCTGCTAAATTCAAACCTGTGTCTCCTGCATGTGGTCCTTTTGTTCTGAATTTTTACGTTTGCTCACGGTGTATGCCTTACATAGCATACACTAACCCTACTCCTAAATATCACACCCCACCCCACCCTGGCAAGAACTCATCTCAATTCATTCAACAGCAAATGTGCTGGGTGCTATTCCAATCACTAAGGAGACACAATAAACAAAATACATTTGGATCTTATATTCTAGTAATCATCTCTTGATACTTTTCACTCTGAACACTCAGAATAAAATTATGGCTGATATCTATTCTTTTGTATCTTTTACTTATTCTTTTTTTAAAACCTAGAACATGATTTTACAAATAAAAATGTAGAAAAACAAACATGGATAGGTTGAACATTTAAAATTATTTTTTTTAATGTTTATTTATTTATTATTAGAGAAAGGGGAAAGAAGGGAGGAAGAGAGGGAGAGGAACATTGATCAGCTCCCTTTTTCTCACACCCCAACCAGGGACCAAATCTGCAACCCCGCCATGTGACCGAACTGGGAATCAGGAATTGAACCAGTGACCTTTGCTTTGCAGGATGGCACCCAACTGACTGAGCCACACTGGTCAGGGCCAGAATGATTGTTTTCTAGCCCTGGCTGGTGTGGCTCAGTTGGCTGGAGTTGTCCTGTAACCAAAGTGTTGCAGGTTCGATTCTCAATGAAGGCACATACCTAGGTTACAGGTCGCATACCTCCCATGCTTAAGTTTCTCTCACTCTCCATTCCTTTCTTTCTAAAAGCAAGGGAAAAAAAAAGTCCTTGGGTGAGTATTTAAAAAATTAAGATGATTCTTTTCTAGAGTTTTTCATTAGGTTCTACTATTTTCATCTTTAAAATCCTTTTGTCTTTACTGTAGGACTTACAATGAAAATCCTCTCTTGAAGGTTAATTATTTGCACTTTGGCAGACCTAGAGGCAGAGGTGGATTTACTGTGAGACTAATAAAGCTTAATATCTAGGGTCGCTCACTTTACACAAGATATCTCCCAAGACCCTGTACTTAATTTTTCCTCCTATTTATTTATAGAAATTTTCAAATACACAGGAAAATCAGTAGAATTATACTCTGGACACCCACCACCTAAATCTACAACTAACAATTTACTCTGTTTAGCTCATCACATATTTATCCATCTATCCATGACTCTATTTATCCATTAATCCACCCTAATTGTTTATGGATTTGGAAATTTCAAACATCAATGCACTTCATTCCAAAACACTTCAGCATTTATTTTAAACTTAAGTTTAATATTTGTTTATAGGGGTGTTTGGGGCATAAGCATGTAAATTTTCATGTTGTGAAATGTGTAAGTCTTCAATATACCATTCAATGACTTTTGACAAATGCATACACATGAATAACCCAAACTTCCATCAGGGTAATGAACATTATTTTGACACCAGAAAATTCTATTATGCTCGTACAGTAGACCCTTCTCCTCACTCCTATCCCACAATTCTGGTTTTTAACAGCATTTTTGAGGTATAATTGTCACATAATAAACTATACACATGTAAAGTGTGCGATTTGATGTTTTGAAGTATGTATACACCACCACAATCAAGACAGTGAACATATCCATCAACTCCTAGTTTTCCCAGGCTCCTTTATAATCACTCCCTTCCACTCCTGTTTGGTCATTATGGAACAGCTCTGATTGGACAGGGCAGGTCTTAGAAACTCTCTTGTAGGAGAACTTAAACAAACAGAGCTTAGTGCAGGAAGCTCTTCTTGGTATACAGAGTACATGTGAAGCCCTTGTCAGCACATAGTAACTCAGTTTTTATTATTTATAAAATTTAGGCCCTTGGCTGACTAGGGGAGTTCATCTCAGCAGATAAATTCCTTCTCAGGATTCACATCAAATGAATCGTCTTAGGTTCCACAAGCCAATAGGAAGGTTTAAGTAATCACCCATAAAAATGTGAATTTCACCCCTAAAAGGAACACAACCGACACTTTTCCTTCTAACTATTTACCTTTTGGAAGTTGGAGACAAGAGTATATATTTCTGGCTTTGTTTATTCTCTTTCTGTAAACATGGCCATTAAGTAGATCAGGAATGTACTCTCAGAACCATCTCGTAAACATTCTGTATATATTTCACTAAGCAGCCCTTCGTGTTGTCCAAATTTCTTTTACCATAGGATATATTACCTATTAATTTTTCATTTAAAAATGTTTTTAAAGACTTCAGTATTTGACAATGTACCTATGTATCCATTAATATGGAAAGTTACTCTCATATATTTTAAGACTGAAGCAAGATTCCATCTATATCTAAATTTAGATAGATGAAGATTTTAAACAAAGTTAATAATGACTTCTCTTGATAGAGACAATTCTTTTTTGCCTGTGTAGTTTTCTAATTTAAAAACAATTAATTGTTTTACATCGAACATGTAGTACTTATGTAACAGTGAGAATCACTCAAAATGTTTTATGCTTTACTCCGTGACATGCATTTACAAAAGAAAATTCCTTTCTCCTCATATTAGCCATGCCAAAGCTCAGTATCTATAGAAAGAAAACGGGAAAAAAAAGTACAAATGCTAATCTGGTTTTGGTGACAGTTTTGGAGGAGAAAAATATTGCAAAGCCATTATTTGGATTAACCACGATTTTCCTTTTTTTTTTTTTCTTTTTTTTAATGCTCTCTGCTGCTTGCTACCAATTCCACTGAAAATTGGCAGCTGAGTAAATAAAATTTTGGCAACGTGGTCTGTGCCGAGGTTCAGATTTTAGCGAGATTTCATCTTTGAGGGAGATGCTTGAAAAATATTTGCCCTTCAGTGATGTGATGATAGTTTAGTAGCAGGGAATTTATTGCAGTGATTTGGGACTTGAGATCGTGTTCGTAAATCCTTTTGCTTGCGCTCTTCAACCCCAAAAGAGGACATAGACGAAGGGGAGCGTCCTAGGTCTCTTTACGGACTCTAATTTCTGGGGGGAAACATTTCGAAATGATTGGATTATCTACAAGTCTTTGGATAAAAATAGCTCCTTTACTAAATAGGGAGGAGCAGGAGCCACCGCTTTATTTATTTCCTTTAAAGATTTTATTTATTTTTAGGAGAAGTAGAAGGGAGAAAGAAAGAGATAGGAACATCGATGGGTTGCCCCGCACATGGCCTCAACCGGAACCCACCCACAACCCGGGCAGGTGCCCTGACGAGGAATCACACAGGCGACCTTATGGTTCCCAGGCCGGCGTTCAACCCACTGAGCCGCACCAGCCAAGGCAGAAGCCACAGCTTTAAAATTTGCATCTTATCTGCAAAATGTACCGAGAAATCTTTTTTACAAGTTTTCTTCCTTCCGAAAGTCTCAAATAAAGAGCGGTAAAACCTTTCCTCCGCTCTTTGGTTTGGGGGCTGAACCGGAGATGACTGACGGTAGCTTTTTACCAATTACACGAGGTCTACGCGCGCGCGATCCCGCCTGATCAGTGTGCGAAGGACCAGCCAATGGGAGTGCCGCTCTTTCAGCCAGCTGCAACCAAAGGAAGAAGAGGAGAGGGTACTGGTCAACGGCTGGTACTGCTGCCCAATAGGAGCAAGCTGCGGCCGCGATTAAGGCGGGCTGCTTAAGCTGCTGGGGAGGAGCAGTTGGAACCGGTCCTGGGACGCGAGTTCTCCTGCAGAAACGGATGCGTCCGGCGGCGGGCTCGCGAGCTCGGCGGCGTCCTTCCGGCTCCAGGTGAGGAGGGCGCTTACCTCTCCCCAGATTTTGCGCTTCTGGCTCCAGGGTAACTTGCCGGGCTTGTTCCCTGGACGCGGGGCATAGGGACACCCCCGTGGTACTCCGCGGCCTGCGAAGGTCCAGCCGTTCTGGGCTGCCCCAAGGGTCAGGACTTAGGCACCCGAACTCCGGCCCTTTGGGGGTTTCTGAGAGGCCGGAGGTCGGGGCGGGGGGCGGGGAAGACAGGAAGTTCGGGTCATCCCGGAAGTTGCCGAGTTGGGAAGCCATTTCGCCGCAGGCGGGAGGCGATTTCGTCGCGGTCCGGAGTCGTGAGGTGGTGTAGCTATTGTCCCGGTAGCCGACCCTCAGACTTTTTCTTTGCAAATAACTGCTCTCTCTTTGAGCGTCCGTTAATTGCATTACTTAGGAGTTAACTAATTTTCGCTTTAATCCAGCTTTACCTCACAGCAGCACTGCAACGCACATACTTTTATCCCCGTTTTAAGGTGAGCTAGTTGAACAGACTGCGAAACCCACCTAAGGTTCCACAGGTAGGTAGTAGAGACGGAGCCAGGACTGAAGCCGGGGTCTGCCTCCCTCACTCCCTGGTACCGCCCCTTACTTTGTCTGTTGGGTGCCTGCGGGCCTCAGCTTGCCGTGGACATTGAAATCTGAGTAACAAAGTTTGGTAAGGCGACTAGTGGAAAGTCAGCCTTTGAAGCGCTAACTCTCATTGTAGAGAGAAAATCAAGGGCAAGGTTGCTCAAGGCTTGGGGTGACCTGGTCACGGTCTTTTGCTCTCGCCAGCGATTTTTCAACCTGTGTGCGGCCAGAATTTTTAAAACATGCAATGCCTCAGCTCTGGCGTGTGTGGCTCAGTTGGTTGGAGCGTTCCCCCTTCACCGAAAAGTTGTGAGGTTAGATTCCTGGTCGGGCAGTGTAGCGAAGTTGCTGGTTCCATCCCTGAGCCCTCTCCTGAGGAAGGCAACCAATTGCTGTTTCTCTCCTTTCCTCTCTTCCTAAAAAAGGAGTGAAAAAATGGTCTGGGTGAGGATTAAAAACAATCATGCAGTAGCTGACTAGTCTGGGGCACGGACCTCTTTTCCCTTAGATTGTCAAATTAAAAAATGGCAACGGCCAAAACAATAGCTGTCCAGTATGAATAAATCAGAATTATACCTATTTTTTTTGTCATACCAGCAAAAAATGTGTTGTTTGGTGTGCTGCAGAATTTTAGTAATTTATGTATGGGTGCCCTGAGATGGAAAAGGTTGAGAATTGCTGCTTTAGGCACCCGTGGTTACCGCAAGGGCTGGAGGGGTCTGCGTTTCCTCACATCGGTTGGGAAGCTGCTCCAGAACTACACTCTTCTATAGAACTTTTTGCGAAGATGAAAAGATTCTATATCTCTTCTGTGTTTGTAGCACTGTATATTAGGGGCTGGTATGTTCTCAGTTGTTGGGGTTTGGTTTTGGGGGGGCGGTTTAAGGTGCAGTGAATAATCCAACAGACATTTAGTATCTGCCATGTATACTTGAGTTGTGGAAGATAAAAGTGATGAAGTTGATGGGTTCAGCTCTGGGTTTTCCTGTTCTGATGAAAATTGGTTGCTCTTTAATCAGAACTAGCATATGATGAGGGGAAATAATTTTTTAGTATTTAACTATGCTGAAAAGTTCAGAGAATAATTTTCAGGAGACTTCTTTATTCACCATCCAGATCTAACAAATTTTGGACTTTACCTTTTGATATAATTACTTTTTTTTTAATTTAAATTCTCACCCCTGGACATGCTCATTGATTTTAGAGAGAGGAAGAGAAACAGTGATGTGGAAGAGAAACAATGATTGGTTGCCTCTTGGGGCAGGTCCCAACTGGGGGTGGAACCTGCAACCCCAGGTATGGGCCCCTACCAGGAATCAAACCTGTGACGTTTTGGTTTGTGATGCTCCAACCAACTGAACCACGCTGGCCAGGGTACTTTCATTTTTTTTAAGAAATAAAAATACTGTATATACAGCTGAAGCTTTGTGTGCCCCTGCACCCTCCCCCTCAATTTGGTATTGTAAGTCCAGATAGCATGGTTTTGTGTGTTTTTTAAGTATCCTAAAAACGGAACTATAGTGAATATGTTTGCAACCTGTTTTTTTTAATATTGGTTATAACTTTTGAGTAAACTTTACTGTGTTGAGGTTCTTAGTTGGAAGAGAGCTTATGGTTATATCTTGACCTGAGGTTTTGCTTTACTTTGTTCTGCATTTTTTGTGTTCTTTCTAGTTCTTCAGTTAATCAGATATCATGGCTTGCTTGATCTTTTAATTTTATTCTTATCTTAATTCGCTGTCTTTTCATTCTGTTTTCTGAAAGAGTTCCTCCACTTTGTCTTCCATTCCTTCTATTAAATGTTTTTATTTTGCTTACCATTTTTCATTTCAAGGACTCTTGATTTGTCCTTTTTTTCCCTAGCTTTCTTGTAAGTTTGCAAATTTTTTCTTTTTTTACATTGTCTTACTTTCTTTCCTCCAGGTTTCTTCTGCTTGTCTGCTTTGGTCTCCCCCAGATGTCATTTGATCCTTGCTTATTAGTTTATTTTTTAGGGGAGACCTCAAGAAACCTGATTGGGAGCTCTGTGTGAGTGGCTGAACCTTATCATCTACTAGGCTTTTACTGTTAGATGTATGGACAGAGACTTACCCATTTTCTTGGGGGATTCGCTAATGTCAGTATTAGTAGATCTTTTTTTCTTGAGCCAGTTTTCTCTAGAAAACAGTTTCTCTAACAACCTGCCTTGGAGCATAATGAATGTACATAAACCAGAATATTGTGTCCAGGATTTGTGTTGTGGCGGAGCTGGGTGGAAGGATTTTAAGTTTGTCACACTATTCAGTTTGTAGACTTTCACTTCACTCCTTATTTTCACTGCTGTGCTATACCTCATGCTAACTTTTTTTCATGTTATTTTTCAATTACAGTTTACATTATTTTTGTATTAGTTTTAGTTGAACAGCATAGTGGTTAGACAGTTCTGTACTTTACCATGTGTCCCCTCTCCCCCTGATATTTCCAGTATCCACCTGGCACTGTGCATAGTTATTACAATATTATTCACTATATTCCCTCTACATCCCATGACTATTATATAACTACCAATTTGTACTTCTTAATGACTTCACCTTTTTCACATCTTCCCCCAAATCCCTTCTCCTCTGGCAACCATCAGCCTGTTCTTTGTGTCTGTTGATTGTTTAAATTTTGTTTGTTCATTTATTTTGTTCTTTAGATTTCACATATAAGTGAAATCATTTGTCTTTCCCTGACTGACTTATTTCACTTAGCACACTACCCTCTGAGTCCATCCATGCTGTCACAAATGGTAAGATTTTATTCTTTTCATGGCCGAGTAATATTCCATTGTATACACAAACTACAGCTTTTCTATCTGCTCATCTATGGATGTGTGGTTGGGTTGCTTCTATATCTTGGCTATTGTAAATAATACGTCAGTGAACATAGGGGTACGCATATTCTTCTGAATCAGTGTTTTGGGTTTCTCCAGATGTATATACATAAGTAGGATCCCTGGGTCTTAAGGCAGTTCCCATTCTTAATTTTTTTGAGGACCTTCATGCTGTTTTCCATAGTGGTTGCACCAGTCTGCCCCTCATGCTCCTCTGTGCCTGTCTGGTATAAGCCTCCAGTTTTCCTACAGAATAGGGTGAGAAAGTTTTTGTTTGGTGGCTGGCTTTTTTGTTTTGACTAGGAGACAGGTAGACTATTACAAGCTTTCAACCGATCTTTTTCAGCTCCACCTTTCAACATTGCCTTCTGTGGTACTTGGTTTCTACAGTCCCCTCGGTGGGAATCAAGAGCACACAATTTACCCTCTTGCAGGCACTTGAGTTTCATCTTTTCAGCACTACCATGTAGTTACCAGTTACCAGTCCAAAAACACTGGTTTACATATCTTATTCCTGTTTTCTCTTACTTTGTCCTTATGATTTGTCCTTTTCTTTAGTGCCTTTTTTTTTGAGGGGAGGGAAGTCATGTTCACAGGTTTCAGGAGTGAGAAAAATACATGTGCTTCATCCATCTTGTTTATCAGAATTCCCCCCATTTACTCTGTCCAGTCTGGTCTCTGACCCCATCATTTTGGGGAATCTTTTCTAGGTTATCTATCATTTCCACATTGCTGAATCTAATGGCCATTCTTGCCCCTCTTTAGCAATTGACACACGTAACCGTTCTCTCTTTGAAACAGTCTTTCAAGACACCCCATTCTCCCAGGTTTCCTCCTACTTTATAGTCTTGTTCCTGGGTTCTCTTCCTGCACTTCTTACTCTTTTAACGTTAGTATCTCCAGTTTTAGTCCTTGGCCTGCTTTTTCTTTTGTATCTATTTCGTATTTAGTCTCTAACATGATTTTAAGAAGCTTGCCTATGCCGAGGATTCTCAAAACTGTCCACTGCTTCCCATCTCCACTGTTACTACCCTTGTCCACTAATTTACACTTATACAGTAGCCTATAAACTGAGCACCTTGCTTGCACTCTTGCTCCCTTATAGTCCATTCCTAACACAGAGGAAACTCCTTACCGGGGCCTTCAGTGACAGCCTCATTCCATACTGTCCACTCTTCCTTACTATGCATTACACTGGTCTGTCGGGTTTCTCAACTGCACCAAATCATGCCCTCCAGGGATCTGTGTTCTGATTTCCTTCAGAAATTCTTCTTGGCTCTTTTAATCTTAGCTCAATTTTATTCTTTCCAACAGGCCTTCCCTCACTTTTGTGTCTGAAATGGTGTTTCTTGCCTTCTGCTCTCAAAACTAAATATCACAATGTCTAATTTTCACATTTGTTTATTTTCTCATTCACTAGAGTGTAAACTCTGTTATGCAGGATCTTATGCGTCTCATATGTGTGGTGTCTGACCACATAACAGTGCTTAAAAAGTATTTGTTAAATGGAATTAGAGACAGGAAACAAATAATGAAAAGGATGGGGTAAATAAAGGTTGCTCCGCCTTTTTGGAGAAATTAAGTAAATTTCAACTTTAAGTTAGTAATTGAAGTAATTTTGCAAGTATTCCTTCACGTTTATCCTCTGTAGCTTCGTGCTGTGAAAGATGTGTGTTTACTAAAATTAAATATAGCATTACATGCATTTGTTTTGGTAAATTCAGGTCATGACAAAGAACTGAAAGAGGTCTGGGAGATTACTTTCAGATCCAATAGTTCAATCCCCTTATTTCACTGTAGTCAAATGACTTCATGTTTTCAAAGGGCAAACTGAACCCCTAGTTGTAAGTGGTTGTTATGGATAAAAAAGTGGATGATTACCAAAGTACCTCTGCCTTAAATTAAGTGAAATCTTCTCAGTTTTTTCCAGGAATGATTTTAAACAACTTCTAAAAAACTAGATACGATTATATTGGCTGCATGGCATGTTTTATCTTTTACTAATACTTTTACAAATATTGCTTCCTCAGTGATGGCTCACGAAGCAATGGACTATGATCTTCAGGTGCAGTTAGATCATAATGCTGCAGAACAGCCTGCTCTGGCCGAAGTGGTCAGCAGTCAAGAGGGACCACCCCAGCTTCGGCCTGCTTTGGGTGAAGTTGTTAGTAGCCAAGAGGGACCACCCCTGCTCCAGCCTGCTCCTGCTGAGGTGGTCAACAGTCGAGGGGAACCTCACTTGGCGCAGCCTGCTCCGCAAGTGTCCATTGACCTGACAGAGGAAGTGGAGCTCTTGGGAGAAGAGAATGTGGAGAACATCAATCCAGGAGCTTCAGAGGAGCATAGGCAGGGATCTGGTACTAACCACACTGTTCAAGTGGCTTCATTGGAGTCAGTGAGCACCTTCATTAATGGGCTGCAGAGACTTCATGGCATGCTAGAATTCCTGAGACCACCTTCAGACCACACTGTGGGGCCAGTGAGGAACAGGCGGAGGAGAGGGGCCGCTTCACGCAGAGCAAGAGCAGGAGGGTCTCAGAGGACGGACAGTACCAGGTAAATAATAATGTCTAGATTGTGGGACTAGTACCAGATTGCGAATTATGAACCTTAGGCTTTGGTCATACCCCCAGTGGTGCTGCTGATAGGATTAGACAGTGCAACTTGTGGCAAGACAGGTAACGTTTCTGAATTCCCATTTCCTCACAGGTCAGATGAAAATAAAAGTGCCTGCCTTATTTATGTAACAAGATAATGGAGGGGATAAGTTATGCTTGGACATTTTGGAAACTGGGTGGTAGTTTGTTGGCGGTGGCTCTTGTAGAGGCTGGTTTTTTAAGATAATTTGCATCTTGTATGTAAAAAAAAAAGTATTTCTTAATTTGCATGTTCACTACACTCACCTAAGACCCATTGTTCATGGCACTCCACATAGAGTGCAGGCTAGATTTAGAGGATCCTTGCGAAAAATAGAATGTGAATTAGTTTGGAGCTTATCTAAGTGGGAAGGATTCCATTTCTTCTCACTTGAAAATGTGTTGAAGAGTTGAAAATTTTCTTTCATAGTTTTTGGTTTGAACTTACCTCTTGAAGGACTTAGTTATGAAGTCTTGACAGGGTTATTATAAAGAATAACAATTGTCTGTGTCTTATGTTTTTAACTTCCTCCTGCATCGGTTGAAATGCTGTATTTCACATTTGGCCTTTTAAATATTGTCATGTTTAAAGAGGTTGAATTTATTTTATGGACCCTGAGTGTTTTGTTCAGGGTCTCATAGCTAACACACCAAGGAAATAGAGCTGGCATTGCAACCTGGATCACTCCTTTTCTACATAGGCAGATGGGAGATTCACGCAGCTCCATTTGTTTTTTTTAACACTGTGAGAATGGTGAAGTGATACCAAAAAGACAAGTAGTTAGGCCATCTATTTACTTGTTTTACAAATGAGGAAGCCAAAGGGATAATTTGTGATTTGACTGGCGTATCTCCGGAATTGAGATGGTGCTTTCAGTTGGAAAAATCAGTATCTTTTTTTAGGATTTTATTTATTTATTTTTAGAGAGAGGGGAAGGGAGGCAGAAAGAGAGGGGGAGAAAAACATTGATGTGCGAGAGAGATATCTATTGGTTGCCTCTCACTTGCCCCCTACTGGGGGCCTGGCCTGCAACCCAGGCATGTGCCCTGAATGGAAATCAAACCAATGACCTCTGGGTTCATAGGCTGGCACTCAGTCCACTGAGCCACACCAGCCTTTTTCTATGATCCTGCTGATTGCAGTAGCAAGGCCTGCTATTATCATGGCTCCAATCCCTGTAGTACAGTCACTTCTAGATGTAATCCATCAAGGATGATGAGTATCTACTTCTTTGTTGACAGGAGTTTCAAGTGCATGTTACTCTGTTATTTTAAGGTGTTATTCCTTTGGATTATGAAGGTAAAATAAAATTCCACACATTTGTATGATAGGTCACTGTACCTTGTAGCGCAATTTGGGGGCTCTGTTGAAGTGACTGAGTGGACTGAGAGTTGAGATTGGTGTCCCTAGGAACTGACTGTGGCACCAAGAAGCCTCTCACTATTCCTCAGCCTTGGTTGTTCATACATGCAATTGGGCAGGGGGAGGATGTGATTGCTTTTGGTGGGGGACACTTAATTGTGTTAACCAATTCACAGGAGAGTGACACTTACAAACCTGATGTCAATTTACAGAATGAAATAGAAATGCTACAGAAACCAAATTATATTGTTGTCATGGGCGGCATGATTCTCCCAGGAGGTATTTACACACAGAAGCCAAACAATAATCAATAATCAGAAAATTGCTTGACATATGTAGAATCTGTGCTTTGGTTGCAGAATTTAGATGTTGAAAGATGTTAGTCAAGCAGTTAGTCAAGCAGTGTAACTGACATTCATATGTTTGTCTCCACAAAGTTCAATAAACCTAAAAGGACAGGGATTATGTAAAGAATACAGATTCTGGAGCCATATAAATGTGTATTAAAACATTTTCCCCTAAATATTGTAAGCAAATTGCACCATATATTTATGTTAAAAAGTGCTTTTTTACAGGACTGATTGCTTATACCTTCTGAATGTCTTCACATGAATTTCTCAGTATGGTGTTTGGCATTTATTCACCTGACAAACTATCCCTGGGTCACATGGTGAGAGCCCAGGTCAAGATGAGCAGCTTCTATCTCTTAATATTTGTAACATTCCACCATTTGAGATACTGCTCTTTGCTTCGGAGATACATTGGTGAACAGGACAGATCAGGATACCTGTTCTCATGGAGCTTGTGGAATTTAGGACTACAAAAGTTAAGTAGGGGCAAGAGCTTACTTACCATACAATTATTTAATTCAGAAATACTAAGGGACATTATTATTAAAATAGTGCAAAGAATGAGGTAGATTTCTTGGGTTTCAAGGTTGCACTCCCAAAGAGAAACCCCTAGCACTGCCTCCTATTGCTCTGTATAGTTTCCCTTTCTTATGTCCTGACCTGACCTTGGAAATACCTATTTTGCTATGTAAAAACAATATTGAGTAATTTTTTTTAAAACAAGTCAGTTACTTAATTTTTTACTTCTAGCTAGACCAAGAAATAGAAGACTCAAAAGTATTAAAATCAGGAATGAAAGAGGGAACATTAATACCAACCTTACAGAAGAAAACAATATTACTAGGGACAACCATGAACATTTTTATACCAAGAAATTAGATAACTTATGTGAAATTGACAGATTTCTAAAAAGACATAAAGTACTAGTAATCTCAAGAAAATCTGAATAAACCAGCACACATTAAACTAGTAATTAAAATAAGAAAATGCCACTAAGAAGAGCCCAGAACTAGATGGCTTCCCTGGTTAATTATATCAAACATTTAAAGACAAAATAAATAACAGCAATACTTCATAAACTCTTCTAAAATGTGGAAGAGGCTGGAACACTTTCCCACTGGTTATCTGAAGCCAGTATTACCCTGACACCAAAACCATACAAAGACATCACAAGGAAACTATACCACTGTCCTTTGTAAATACAGATGCAAGAACACTCCAATAAAACGCTAGCAAATTGAATACAACAACATAAAAAGGATTATATACCATAACCAAATAGCATTGGTTTCAGGAAAGAAAAATTGATTCAACATACAGAAAGCAATCAGCAAGCTCTTGCTGGTGTGGCTCAGTGAGTAGGGTGTTGTCCCACAAACTGAGAAGTCCTGGGTTCGATTCCCAGTTAGGGTACATGCCTGCTAGGTCCCCAGTTGGAGACGTGCAAGAGGCAGCTGATCCATGTTTATGTGGCACATTGATGTTTCTCTCCCTGTCTTTCTACTTCCCTTCTTTCTAAAATAAATAAAATCTATTCTATTTAAAAAAAAAAAAAAGCAGTGAGATATACCATATTCATACAATAAAGAGGGGGAAATGAACATTTCAACCGACCCCAAAAAAACCACTTGACAAAACCCTTTCATGAAAAACAAAACACTCAACAATCTAGGAATGAAAAGGAACTTGATGCTCACCCCAACAATGGGCATCAGTGAAAAAACTCAGCTAATCTATCTACTGAATGGATAAAGACTGAAAGCTTTCCCTTAGTTCAGAAACAAGACAAGGATGTCTGCTTTTTCACATCTTCTATTTACCATTGTACTGGAGGTTCCAGCCAGGTCAATTAGGCCCCCCCCCCCAAAAAAAAAGGTAGGGGAGCTTTTGGATTAGAAAGGAAGAAATAAAACGAGCTATTTGCAGATAATATAGTCCTTGTATTAAGTTATGAAAAAGCAGCACCAAGAGACCACATATTATATGATCCCATTCATGGAAATTCCATAACAGGCAAATCCACAAAGTTGAAGTAAATTAGTGGTACCAGAGGCTGAGGGAAAGGGGGAAAAGGAGTGGGTGCTTATGGGTACAGAGTTCATTTGAAGTGGTGAATATGTTTTGGGCTCTGGTCAGTTTGGCTCAGTTGGAGCATCATCCTGTAAACTGAAAGGTTGCAGGTTTGGTCTTGGTTGGGGGTCGGGGGTGAGGGGAGACATGAGAGGCAAATGATGGGTGTTTCTCTTGCATTGAAGTTTCTCTCTCTTCCTCACTTCCCCTTTCTAAAAAAAATCAGTAAACAGCCCTAGCTGGTGTGGCTCAGTTGACTGAGTACCAGCTTTCCAGCCAAAGGGCTGTCACTTCCATTCCCAGCGTAGGGCACATGCGTAGGTTGCCATCCAGGTCCCTAGTAGGGGGCGCACGAGATGCTTCTCTCCTTCTCTTTCTCTCTCCCCTTCTCTAAAAATAAATAAATAAATCTTTTTTAAAAAATCAGTAAACATGTCCTCTGGTGAGGATAAAAAGTAATAAATAAAAAATGTTTTGGAAAAAAAGTTGGTTGATGGTTTCCTAACTTCATGGTTATGCTAAAAGTCACTGAATTGTACACTTAAATTGTGAATCAGAAAGGACTCACAATTGCTGTAATACTTTTCTTTTTATTTACACCTTTTTTTCCTTTTTTTATGCTCCAGGACAATTTTTTTTCATTGCTTTTAGAGAGGGGGTAGGGAAAAGAGAAACATCAATGTGAGAGAAAAGCCAATCAGTTGCCTCCTGCACACCCCGACTGGTTTCAGACCTGCAACCCAGGCATGTGCCCTGATTGGGGATCGAACCCACAACCTTTCAATTCACAGGGCAACACTCCAACTAACCAAGCCACACCAGTCAGGGCCACTTTTTTTTCATTTTTTTGTAATAAGGACAAATCTTCGATCTATTAAATTGGATCCCAAATAATGTTTATTTTATTCCATTGAATCTATTTTTAATAGGAAGCCCTGGTTTGCCATAAATTTTAGCCATTCTATGAGAAATAAAAATTTTTCCGTGTGAGCAATCTCCAACAATGTGTCTGGGTTATATATCTTAATTATCAAAAACAGTTATTAAAACTTAAGGTACATCACCATTCAGTTAGTAATACCTTGTGATTAGTAGCTCATAATATGTTCTAAAGTCCAGAACACTGTGTTGGTTTTTAATATTGAATGTCATTAATTCAAGGCTATATGTGGAGCATGGTTTATTACCTTGGATATGAGGGAAACTAAGGTATTGTAGTGGTCGTGATTAAAACTCAGCCAGGCAGAAGCAATTGATGTATTAAATCTGTTCCCATCTCTTCTCATCTTGAGTTCGTTGTTGTTTTTTTTTTAAATTGTGCTGTGTTTTTTAGTTTTAAGCTGGTATTAAACTTGAAAGGAAAATAATGTCTTAAAATAAGAGGTGCTCTGGTCAGGTGGCTCAGTTGGTTAGAGTGTTGTCCCATCCACCAAATGGTTGCAGGTTCAGTACCAGTTGGGGGTACACAGGAGGCAACTGATGGATGTTTTTCTCTCACATCGATGTTTCTCTTTCTCTCCCTTTCTTTCTCCAGTCAATAAGCATATCTTTGCGTGAGGTGTTTTTTTTTTTTTTTTTTTTTTTTTTAAGTGAAAGAAGAGGTGGACAGTGATGACTGAAGCCAGAGTTCATACTGCATCCCAGAAGACCTCGATCTGCCTAGCTGCAGCAGGAGAATCCCATGAGACCGTATTTGACTTACGGGCTCTTCTTGCCTCCTCCTTTTTCCAGTCCCTAACAGACGAATTGCTGAGTAGTGTCCTTTAACAGAAGTTGACACATAGCCAAAGGCTAGTGATGTAGAATTAGCTTTTAGAAGGGTCAAGCTCTGGTGTGGATTACTATAACTGAGTAGAAAGAGAGTATATAGACCATCCAGCATCTCCCTAAATCTGCTATTTCTGCTTCAGTGTTCAAAGGTAGCATTTAATGGCCTGGAGATGGGTTGAAACGACTAGGATTTACCTTCAAGTTACTGTGAGTTATTTTTGTGATGGTGGTTCATTGTACTATAATTCTGTTGTCTTTCTCCATAAATAGGTCCAGAGCACCATTGGATGCTTACTTTCAAGTGAGCAGGAGCCAGCCTCATTTGCCAAACACCTCTCGTGATTCAGGGGCCAGCAATCCTGTCTCTGAAGACTTGCAGATATCAAGTAGTGCTGATTCTGACAGTGACAGCTCCATAGAGTATGAAGAGGCTGTTGTTCCGGCAGAGGAACCTGGCATTGTTATTTTAGGAGGTGAGTGTTTTTATCAAGCTTCAGGCTCACAAGGCTTAACATCCAGAAAACTTAGAGTCCAAAAGGCTAGAGACCCTCCTACCCCCCAACCCCCGCCAAATGTTACAGATTCCTGCTTTACAGTTTAGCTTTTCTCAGACCTCTGAGAAGGAAGTAGGGGTCTTTTTTGGTGGTTGGGTTTTTGTTTGTTTGTTTTTTTGTTGTTGTTTTGTTTTGTTTTTTACAAAAAGCTCTAAATTCAGCACCCCATCTATTCTTCCATTTTTGAAGTCCTAGTATAATGTTAACGTGTTGTGCAGGAGGAACTTTATTTAGCAGTAGGTGGGCAGAGAACCCTAAAGCATGTGTCCTGCTTACATTAAAAACCCTCTGACACCCCAGATGGTGGGCTTTTCCTACTAAATGGAACCAGGGCTTTTTTGAGAAATGGCTTTCTAGGTCCTGGATAGGAGATCTAAAAGAAGAGCTTAGTCATTTTATTAGGCTAGAAAAACAAGGAAACCACGTAAGTTTTATAGTTATGCAAAGGAACAACCTAGGGAAGGCTCTTAGTGACTTAAGATGGGACAATTTCAGCACCAAAAAGAATAATGTGCACTTGGATTATGTATTGAAATGGGTTGAAATACCTCACATTTATGAAAATCCATTTTTTTTAAAAACCTCACTTATCAATTATTACAAATTATTAGAGCCCTAACTCATTACTCTGAAAGCTTGTAAATAAAGAGTTAAGCATTTACTCTACTTTTCCTGTGTGAAATGTATTTGGGAAAACCAAACCAAATAGTTGATGAAAGAGATTTTGGGGATTTTTTTTTTTTAAGACCTATTTTTAGAGTAGTTTAAGGTTCACAACAAAATTGAGAGGAAAGTACAGAGGTTTCTCATATACCCTCTGTTTCTGTGCATGCATGCCTGCCTCCTCATTATCAGCACCACTCAACAGAATGGTGCATTGTCATATACCGTAATCACCCAAAGTCCATAGTTTACTTTAGAGTTAATTCTTTTTTCTTTCTTTTTTTTTTTTTAATATTTTACTTATTTATTTTTAGAAAGGGTAAGAGGGGGAGAAAGAACGAGAGAAACATCAGTGTGACAGAGAAATATTGATCAGTTGCCTCTTGTGCACGCCCGAACTGGAGACTGAACCCAAAACCTAGGCATGTGCTCTGACTAGACCAGTGATCTTGTTTCATGGAACAAAGCCCCACCAACTGAACAATACCATTCAGGGCTAGGTTCATTCCTGGTGTTATACATTTTATGGTCTTAGACAACCATCATAATACACAATGCATTTTCACTGCCCTAAAAATTCTCTGTGCTCTGCCTATTTATCCCTCCTACCCACCCCCAAGGAAATTTTTTAAATAGAAGAATTATAGCTAATAATTGGACAAGAATGATAGGGAAAAAAATCACTTTGTGACTCCTAATGAAATAATGTATCTATGCAAAGATCATCGGTGGATTCTAACATCATTAGGTTGAAAGATTGGTGGAGCCTTGGCTGATGTGGCTCAGTGGACTGAGCTCTGGCCTGCAAACCAAAGGGTCACTGGTTTGATTCCCAGTCAGGGCACATGCCTGGGTTGCAGGCCAGGTCCCTATTGGGGGCCATGTGAGAGACAATCGGTTGAATTATCTCTCACACATTAATGTTTCTCTCCCTTTCTCCCTCCCTTCCCATCTCTAAAAATTAAAAAAAAAAAAAAAATTATTTAAGAAAAAGGGAAAAAAGGTTAGTGGAATTCTTTTTAATAGAGGGACCACACTGACATCTTTAGACCTTATGTGTCCCTTGATGTGCTATAGTTAGAAATATCAACACTACTTAGCAAGTACTTTTACAAAAACAACAACAAAAAAAGAAAACCTGAATCTATTTAAGACAATAGATATAAAAACTAGTGTGCACACTTTACAGGCAGGAAGGAGAGAAACAAGGTAAAATCAAGATCTCAAAGATACAGTTATTCAAACTTAAAAGGTAGGACATTTGGAACATCTAGAAATACCTAAATGTATATGAAAATCTAGTTTTGTAAAGGGAAAATCTCAAATCAGTGAGAAAAAGAGACTTTTTGTACTGTAAATACTGCATAGCTAGCCCTGGCTGGGTAGCTCAGTTGGCTAGAGCATCATCCCAGTATGCCAAGGTTGCAGGTTCAAACCCCTGTCAGGGAACATACAAGAATCAACCAGTGAATGCATAAATAAGTGGAACAACAAATCAATGTTTCTCTCCCCACCCTCCTTCCTCTCTCTCTCTCTCTCTCTCTCTCAAATCAGTAAGTAAAATATTAAAACTCGATAGTTAACTGGGAAATAATGAAACTAGATTCATTTCTTATACTATAAACCAGGATCAGAAACCTAGTATAACAAATGAAACCATTTTGGTATTAGAAAAATGATAAAACCCATTAGAAAGGAGTACTTCAAAATCTAGAAGCAATACAAGAAAATTACATAAAAATTTGAGCCTCTAAAAAAAAAGACTAAAAATTTAAAATCACCTTTAAATTGATTTTTTTGTGCAGGGTTGATGAACACTGTGATAGTTTAGGGATTGGACTGATGCCACCCGAGCTCAATATGAGCCTTCTGATGTGCTTACAATCAGAAGTATACAATCTAACAAGTATCTTATTGCCACTCTTCCCAAAAAAACCAGAATTGAATCTACTGAAGCCTCTAGATCTGTCAGTTTATAGGAAATGTAGATGGTATGGCAAATAAGCAATACCATAAGGAAACAAATGACTAAATTCAGGATGGAGGACTTTTTATAAAACAAATGACCAACTGCCCCCACCCCCAACAAATTAGTGACAACGAGGGGATAAAAATGAGTAAAGGAGAGTTTTTATAGAAGGAAAAAGACTTAAGAGACATATCAGTCAAGCTCATTGTGGAGACCTTGTTTAGATCTTGAATCCATTAAATCCACAGTAAAGAATTACTTCACTACAATTGGGAAATACTGAACATGAATTGGGTGCCTGGGTATTAGATGGTATTGGAGGATTAGTGTTAATTTTATGAGGTGTAACAAATAGTGTTTATGTAAAAATCCTTATCAGTTAGTTTACAAAAGTTTTTGTAAGTGAAACGGTATTTTAGGGTTTGTTATGAAGTACACCAAAAGAAAATAATGGGGATGGGGCTTAGATGGAACAAGACTAGCAAAAATACTATTTTTGAGATGGGGTGATGAGTATTTATGGGTTAGTTATACTGTTCTACTTTTATATATGTTTGAAAAGACCTAATATCAGTGAAAAAATATATTTGCTGATGGTACTTAGGAAATTGTTATTCCTTTTACAGTAACACTTCAGTTAGAAACAATGAGTGGGTCAGGCTCTCCTGCTAGCCTCTGATACCTTATGATTTATGTCTTCTTCTGTTATTACCTTTCTGCCATTTCTGGAAATGAATTGGCAGAACCACCAGGTGGTATTTCAGTGGAGCAAGAAGTCACATGTATTGGTGGAAGAGAGACCCTCCCCAAGCAGGTAATATGAACATCCGTTTAAGTAAAAGGTTTGGATTTTCATTTTAAAAAAGAAGCTAAAGGCTACAGTGGAAACCCTACAGGCTTTGTTAAATAGCAGGAGGTCTAGGAGTGGAATCTATCCAAGTTAGTCATTTGCATGACTTCTTTCTCTCAGGTTTAAAAAGATTGGGGAGTAGACAGTAGAAATGTGAGGATAACTTGTCCTGCCTAACTAACAAGGTTAAGTATCAATTAAAATAGTTGATAATGAATGTAGTGTATGATTCAATGAATGCGATTGCTATGTGATAAAAGATTTTTATTTTTTAAAAAACAACATATTGTTATCCTTAATGTGAGAGTTATTTACATTAACTGGATTCTGCCAATCCCAAAACAACATTGATCTACTTTTTGCATGTTTCTATATGATCTCCCTGTTTTTATTTCTTCCCTCTAGATAATTTTTATGTATGTGCAAATTTATGTATATGTGTTCTATTTTTAAATTTATACAAATGGGCTTACATTATTCCTTGTTTTTTGTTCCTTTACCTCCTAACTTACTACATTTTGGAGAGCTTGTTATTATCAATACATAAAGTTGAATCTCACTTATTAATAGCTTAATAGTGTCTTAACATATAAATAAAATTTTAGTTAACTTTTCCCTTACATACACTATGGTCATTCCCTTTTTCTTTTTTTCCTAATACAAATCATGCTGCATTGAACATCCTTGTACAAATGGATTGGCAAATTTTGTGTCTATATTTATGATATATATTCCTAGTAGAGAGATTGCTGTGTCAAAGGAAAGATATGTATCTTAGTTTTGATAGATAAGGCCAAATTTCCCTCTGGAAAATTTGTGCCACTTTCTCCTTGCAGCAGCAGTGTATAAACATGCCTATTTCTCCCTCACCCTCAACAGTACTGTCATCAGACATCAATTTATACCATCTAACAGATGAAAAAAATTGTGTCTTTTCACTTGTATCCTTTAATTATAAGTAAACAATTATTGACCATTTTTTTTGTAAGCTGTTCCTATTCTTTTTATATATATATATATATTTTTTTTTTCTTTGATTCACATAAGCCAAGTATTTCGTAGCTACTTTAGTTTATTTTGAACCTAATTTTGGGTGATAACAAACCTGTTGTTCCCTGTTGGTTTTCTGGATAACTGCTAGTTTGTGTTTGTTTATGTATATATCATAAAAATAGCTTTTTCTTTATTTGAATGAAAAAATTCAAGAGTTTGATAAGATCAAAGGGTAGTAATGGTTTTGTGACTTGTATTACATTTGACTAGGTGGCATTTTAGAATAAATGACAAGTGATTCCTAGGTGGTATAGTTTTCCTACAGTGTTTTCAGTTGGGTTTATGTAATTTTTGTGTGGTTTTGTTAATTTGATAGTTGTGCATTAGCTTTGAGACTGATTTTGTATTTTCTATAATTTGAATGTGTTCTGGTTTCCCTCTAGCAGTCTCCTCAGAAGTCCAGCTCTCTTCTACCTTCAGCTTCTACAGATGAGGAAGAAGAAGGGGACACTTGTACAATATGTTTAGAACAGTGGACCAATGCTGGGGATCACCGGCTCTCTGCGTTACGCTGTGGGCACCTCTTTGGGTTTAGATGCATTTCTAAGTGGCTCAAAGGACAGACCAGAAAATGTCCCCAGGTAAGGACTGCAGGTAGGGACTGTGCATGTGCACGATCATGTTATGTCAGGAGGATTCCTAGAACCCTACTAATTGTATCCTGTTGGGCTCTTTAGTGCAACAAGAAAGCCAAGCACAGTGACATTGTTGTCCTTTATGCCCGAACCCTGAGAGCTTTGGACACTAGTGAACATGAGCGTGTGAAAAGGTAGGTAGAAGAGTTTGCCTGGCTGGGATGTTCCTTTTTGGTTTCTTATAGACACATAAAGGATGTATGAGTCACTCTTAGTGTGGTTCTGAAGGTTTACTTGGGCTGTGACTGGGGACTGTTGGCAGTCTGTCTCATATTGTGATTTGCAGCATATATCTGATCATCTTCTGAAAGAGGTCTGCATTGTTTGCTCTCCATACAGCATTAAAAATGAGGATCTGAGGTAAAAAGTAATTGTGATTTCAGCTATGTATACCTGAAGTTAAACTCCAGTTGATTTCTCGATTACACAAGTCAGTACATTGGTTTTCAAGTTTGCTGGTTTAAAGTTTCTATTCTTGAAATATACAGAGTACTAACCAGTGTTGCAGAGAGACAGGAGAGTACGGCAACAGGAGGAAGACTCTTGTACCTCTGTGTGCCCAGCACTTCTTGTAAGCCTCTGCTTTCAGAGACCGAGTGTTGTGTGCTGATTGGAACAGGTAGATTCAGAAGGAATGGAGCAGCAATTTCTTCTGCAGGAACACTTAGGCATTCCTATGAAGTTGGATTCAACCTTAAGACTTAAGCCTTTGCCCTGGCTGGGTGGTTTAGTTGGTTGAAGTGTTGTCTAGCACACCAGAAGGTTGTTGGTTTGATCCCTGGTTAAGTCACATACCTAGGTTGTTGGTTGGATCCCCGGTCAGGGCATGTATAGGGAGCAACCGATTGATGTTCCTTTCTCATATCAGTGTTTCTCCCCCCACCCTTGCCCTGCCTTTTCAGCTCCTCACCCTCTCTTTCTCCCATTCTCTCTCTCTCAAATCAATAAACACATCCTTTGGTAAGAATTAAAAATAACAGTAAGACTCAAGCCTTTATCATTTCTTGACCTTTTGACTGAGGTCAAGTGTTGTATCTGTTTTTATCAGTTTAATATCTGATAGGTCCTCCATCTGAGGATATTAAATTTTTTGGAGCAGGGGATGGACTAGGAGCTTGCTCTGTCCACTCTGTGCATTGACCAGGTATTGCAGTACTTCCAGGAATAGTGCATCCCTTCGGGATCAAAATCATTCTTATGAAGGGTAGCAGTTTCTTACCTTTTGTCGCGTGTGCCCTCTCAAAACACTCAGCAGGGCCCTGGCCTGGTGGCTTTCTCCTGATGAGCCAAGATTGCAGGTTCATTCCCCAGCCAGAGTACATACAAGAATCAACCAATGAATGCATGAATAATTGGAACAACAAATTAATGTTTTTCTCTTTCTAAAATTTAAAAAAAAAAAATTATTTTATTTTTTTAAGGACTTAAGCCTTTGGTAAATATGCCCTGAGGAGATCAAGATCATGGTGTCTTAAGCCCTCCTGAAATCAAAGCCATGGAGAAACCTATAGTCCTGCTGTAATACTTTACACCTGGTCTGGTCAGTGGATCCAAGCAGAAAGATATCCTCGGTTTTTTGTAGCTTGTCCAGATTCTAACCTAGGGATTACATTTACTGCCCGTCTCTTCTGCTGAATACTAGGAACACTGAATTGGAGATTCCTGGTGTACACTGTAGCCAGTTCAAAGTTATCTGAAACACTCTACAAGTCTTAGTCTCTTCTTTGCTAGAATAAGCTTAATAATGCTTTTTTTTTTAAGAGAGTCTGGCATATTACTTAAACATTGCCATTTTTTGCTTCTGGTGTTCCTAAGCTCTCCTATAACACCACTCTGTACAGAAGACTCATAAGTGAAACTTTGCACATGTAGTGCAATGTAAGAAATTACCAGGGTGCTGGAAGCCGAAGAACAATTGCTAATAACACTACATAAAATATGCTTTAAGAATTAAAGGACAAAAATAACCACTGAGAGTTCAAGACATAGATTCTCTGACGTACTACCAGTAAGAAAATACACAGGCAACCTTTTCGAGAAGCCCCTGGCAATAAGCTTCAACAGCCTTTTAGAGTAATTTTATCCCTGACAGGCATGGCTCAGTTGGTTGAGTGTCATCCTGGAGAGTGAAGGTCGCTGGTTTGATTTCAGGTGGGGACATGCCTGGATTGCGGGCCTGTCCCCCTTTGGGTTTATGCAAGAGGCAACTGATAAATGTTTCTCCCTCTCCCTTCCCCTCTCTCTAAAAATAAGTAAAATCTTTAAAAGAAAAAGTCCTTCAAAGCTGTAGTCCTTTTTTTTTTTTCTTTTTCTTTTTTTAAATCCTTACCCAGGACAATTTTTCACTGCTTTTTAGAGCAGAGAAGGGAGAAACATCAATTGGTTGCCTTCTTGTATGCACCCGGACCAGGGATCAAACCTGCATCCGGGCTGTGTGCCCTGACTGGGAATCTAACCCATGACCTTTCAGTCTGTGAGACAACTGCTCCAACCAACTGAGCCAGTAGCCAGGGCAAACCTGTGATACGTTTACACAATGGAATACTACGTGACTAAAAAAAGAAGGAAATCTTACTTTATGTGCTAGCATGGATGTACCTGGAGATTATTAAACTAAATGAAATAAGCCAGTCAGAGAAAGACAAGTACCATATGATTTCCCTTATATATGGAATCTAAGGAACAAACTAAACTGACAAACAAAATAGAAACAGAGACATAGATACATGGAACAGACTGATAGCTGTGGGCAGTGGAGGAGACTGGATGAAAGAAGGTAAAGGGATTAGCCAAAGACTTTCCGTGTACAACCTGCGGACACAGACAACAGTGCAGCGATGGCCGGGGGAAGGGGGAATGGAGGCTGGGAGGACGGAGTCAGGCGGGGGGAGTGGAGACACCTGCAGTGGTGACAACAGTATAAATAATTGTGAGCTATACAGAAACTTAATAAAATGAATGAAAACAAGATTTTTTAAAAAGTAAGTATACTTCAGGCATTTATTCTAAGGAAACAAGGGTGTGTGGAAAGATTTACTTAATCTTTTTATTTAGCATTGTTATTAATCTAAGGCAAGAGAAGTAATTGGTTGAGTAAACTCTGGCATATCTCTGACAGAATACTACACATTCATTAAAACTGCTGTTGAAATGCACATAGTATGTTGTCATGTGAAAGCACGTTAGTATGACTATATTTTCGTGGACTAGAAAAAAAATACTAGATAGTCACTAAGGAGTGGAATTATGGACAGTTTTAATTTTCTTTGTTTTTTCTCATGTGCTCCAGGAAACACTTGTAGCGTTTTAAAATGGTGGTTGTATTATAGATACAGTAGAAGCTTACTTATGAATAAACTTCTCCTTAATTCCATCTCTCTACCCAGAATATCTATATATAGTATGATTTGAGATGCTTTATGTTTTGTGCAGATGCTATTGGATTATAATTTTCCTTCTGTAGACTGATTTTTATTTTTTATTTTTTTTGGCTTAGTATTTTGTTGGGACACATAGCCTAGTTGATACGTATAGCTCTGGTTTATTTCAATTTCTGTATAATATCCTAGTTCTCTGATTAAAATTTACTTATATGTATTTTGTGCTGGTGGATAGTTAAGTTGGTTCCCAGTCTTCGTTAATAAAAGCCATGCTCTAGTGAGATTGGTGAGAGTTTCTTTAGGTCTAGAAATGGAATTACTTTATTGTAGGTACACGTAATTTCAACTTTACTAAGAGTGTCAAATTGTTCTTCTAAAAAGCTGTTTCCAGTCTATACTTCACCAACAGTAGTTTTTCATTTTTTTGTGTCCTGGCCTACATTAAATTATCAGCCTTAGGTTTGCCAGTGTCATGGGATGAGGGAGTGTTTACCTAACTTAAAGTTCCTCAGTTGCTAATGAGGTTAGACATGCTCTTCTGTGGATTGTGTTCATATCTTTTGCTCATTTCTGTTGAGCAAAACATTATTTCTTACTGATTTATAGTTTTTAATGTTTTCCTTATACTATTTTGTTGTGTATATTGCAAATAATCATCCCCTAATGTGTGGCATGTCTGTAACTTTTTTACAGAATCTTTTATTGAACATGAGATTTTAATTTTAACGCAATTCTTTATCAGTCTTTTGTGCTTTTTGGTCTCCAGGGCTTCAAGGTCATAAAAACATATTATCTTCTCAAAGTCTTTAAAAGTTTTACTTTTTAATACAAGTTTTCAATCTATCTAAAATCTGGATTTTGCATAACCACTTGTGCAAACACATTTCATTAAAACTGCTGTTATTAAATAGTATGTTCTTTCTGTATAAATTTTCATCACTACCTCTATCCTAAAGTTTCTTTGTATGACTGGACTACACTTTTGTTCCATGGTTGTTTATTGTTACTGCAATACTCGAAGTTATAATTTATTGTAGCTTTAAATATATCCTTCTACCTTGTTCTTTAAAATTGACTTTGCTGTTTTTGACACATTGCTCTTTCATATTAATTTTAAAATTAGTTTGCTGAGTTCCATGAAAAGCCTTTGAGATCTTGATTGAAATTGCATTAAGTGTTTAGAGTAACTTGAGAAATGCCATCTTCATGATTTTGAGTCTTTTCAGACTTGAACATTATATAATATCCTTCCAATTAGGGTTTTCTTGTGTCTTTTACAAGTGTACTTCTATTTACTAGTCAGTTATATAGTATATGGGGAATGTGATCTAATTTTATTGATCGTGATTCTAGCACCTTGCTGAACTCTTCATACTATGTAGGTTCTCTTGAATTTTTCATGGGATAAATAGGGCAGCTTTTTTCTTTTCTTTACAATTTTCATCTCTTTACTATCTTGTCTCATCGAAGTGGAAATCTTTTTTTCTTTTGCATTTCATATTTTCCAATTGTCTTTAGGTACATGCAGTTTTGTGGTTTTTATTCTTGGTGAATGTGCCCTTTCATCATGCATTGTTTCCCTATATGCTTATTCATTCTTTTAAATTCTAATTGTTATTTTGTTAGCATTTTCTGGTTATGAGCTTACCCTCTTTTTAACTTCAGCCTCTTCAGTAGCATTATTTGAGTGTCTGATGAATTTGTTATTTTCTTTCAATCCAAGAGATAACCTTAGTCTTTTAACATGTCATTTTACTCTTATAATTTGACCTTACCAAAAGCAGTAAGCTTTGTTATAATCCCTCATTTTACATTTTTAATTCTTATTGCTTAAGGAATCAAACTCATTGTCTACTTTAACACCAAATCCTAGTAGGCTCATGAGTTCAGCCCTGCATGCTACATTTCTGTATTATTTCTGGACTTGAGAGATTTTTCTCTTGTTATATTTTATTTTTTGTCATGACTTATTTACAGCAAAGTGTGCATAATAGCGTGAAATTACTATGCCATCTTGATGGGAAGTGTTCTGTGGTCTTCCTAATCTCTCCTTATTGCTGGTTTTCCCCCTGTAGCGTCTTACTACAGGAGCAGATGCTAAGGAAGCAGGCTGAGTTAGAAACAGCCCAGTGCCGGCTCCGACTTCAAGTCCTCACTGAGGAATGCACTAAACTTCATAATCGTGTCCAGGTAAGTTTGCCTGTTCTGATCCAGAGAACTTTTGGGATAGGAATTGAAAAGAAACTTAAATATTACTAAGGTTCATTTCATATGCAAATAGGATTTATCAAATTTCTCAGCAAGTAAACATGACCAACTCTTTATTTCTGATTAGGCATTTGTCCAAAGCTTATATGCTTTTTGATGAATTCTACTGCAATCTGAATTTTTAAAATATGAAACCAGGTAATTCAAAACATAAGTCATTTCACCTTTCTGAATTTACCAGTAAAATGAGGGTTTTAAACAAAAATGACTTTCAGCCTTACTGTTTATGATTCCATGCTCTCTCTCTTTCATTTGCTTGTTACAGTACTGCAAAAACTGCAGCAGTTCTTTAGGATTTGTGTTAATATTTTCATATAATGGATAAGAAACCTCCTTGTATTAGATCAAGGAATTTTGCATGAGGGGAATAACAGACAATAAAGCTTACATTTACAAAATCTTTTTCATTTTAGGACTTGCAAAAACTTATTCTGCAACATCGGGATCAGCTGTTACGGCATCCCAGGGGCTCCCAAGCACCATCCCTAAGCAGCTCGCCCCAGCACAAGTACTGTTTCCAGAAGACCTTCACAGTGTCTCAGAGTGGAAACTGCCGAATTATGACATACTGTGATTCTTTGAGCTGCCTGGTGGTGTCACAACCTTCTCCTCAGGCCACCTTCCTTCCAGGTGAACAGTCTAGAGCCTCAGCTTTCATGCGTATTATTGGACTCCCTTTATTTCTCTTCTCCCTTTTTGGAGAATCCAGGACTCACTAGTGGGTGAACACTGTCCACAGCCCACAAAATCACCTTTTCTTTTTTTTAAAGATATTCTTTATTTATTTTTAGAGAGAGGGGAAGAGAGGGAGAAAGAGAAAAACATCGATTGGTTGCCTCATGTGCACACCCCGACCAGGAATTAAACTGGCCAACTTTTGCTTGTGGGGCAACACCCAACCGAGCCACACTGGTTAGGACCAGATTAGCTTTTCTTAGTGTCCTGTTGATGCAGCTATTTCAGGGTACTGCAAAGATGCCTTTACTGTCTGTTGACTTCATTCTGTAAATTTATTCACCAAGAGATCAGAAATAATGAAAATCCATAAAAAAGAGAAAATGAGATACTTGGAAGTGTGCATTAATGGTATGTACACCATTATACCATTAGTCCTTCCAAGAAGGACCCTGTTCCTGTATGTACCACTGAAGTCACAGATTTATTTTAGACTGGAATTATTTGAAAAACACTACCTGGAGGGCTAATTCAACTGAAAACAAGGTTTAAGCCCTGGCCAGGTGGCTCAGTTGGAGTTTCATTCTGTGCACCAAAAGGTTGCAGATTTCAGTTCCTGGTCAGGGCACATACCTAGGTTGCAGGTTTGATCCTTGGTTGGGATGTAAATGGGAGGCAGCCAGTTAATGTTCTTCTCTCTTCCCCCTCTCACTTTCCCCTTCTTCCTTCACTGGCCCCCAATTCCCCCTCTTACCTCTTCTCTCTCCCCCCTTCCTGCCTCACTTCCTCCCTCCCCCTCTCTCTAAAATCAATAAACATATCCTTGTGTGAGGATTAAAAAAAAAAAAATTTAATACTTTCAGAAGTGTTCAAATTGGCAGATTCCAAATAAAAAGAATTTGGGAATACATGCATTATTTTATTAATACACTAATTTTCTTATATTTCATGCTTTTAATTTTATGTTGTCTTAATGTTGAAAACCAAATGCCCTCATGTGCCCACATCATTCCTAAATGTTGTAGATGTTTCTGCTGTCTTCAGCATGTGATTTTAGCCAGCTCTCAGGTCCCTTCGCTTTAGCCTGGTATCTACTGTCTCCCCACTCCTTAAACGTTCCATCAAATGCTTCCAAACTATGTACCACAACTTTTTTTATCCCCTTGTCTGTTGGGCAGTAGGGTTGCTTCCATATCTCAGCTATTGTAAATAATGCTGCAGTGAACAGAGGAGTGCATATGTTCTTTCAAATTAGTGTTCTGGGTTTCTTTTGATGTATACCCAAAGAAAAGAATTGCTGGATCATAAGGCAGTTCCATTTTCAATTTTTTGAGGTAGCTTCATACTGCTTTCCACAGTGGCTACACAACTCTGTATTTCCACCAGTAGTGCACTAGGGTTCCCTTTTCTCTACATCCTCACCAACACTTGTTTGTCAGTGTATTGATTGCCATTCTGACAGGTGTGATGTGATAACTCATTGATTTTAATTTGCACTTCTCTTAGGATTAGTGACAGTTAGCATCTTTTCATATGTCTTACTAGCCATTTCTGTATTCTCTTTGGAGAAGCATGCATTTAGTTCTTCTGCCCTTTTTAATCCTCACCTGAAGACATTTTTTTCATTGCTTGTAGAGTGAGAGGAAGTGGGGGGGAGAGAGAGGGAGAGAAAAACATCAATTGGTTGCCTCCTTTATGTGCCCCAACTGGGAATTGAACCTGCAGCCTAGGCATGTCCCCTGACTGGGAATCGAACCTGCAACCTTTTGGTGTACAGGACAATGCTCCAACCACCTGAGCCACACTGGCCAGGGCTCCTTTTACCCATTTTTTAATTGGATTGTTTGTTTTGTTTGGTGTTGAGTTGTATGTGTTCTTCATAAAGTTTGGATCTTAACCCCTTATCAAGTGCATCATTGGTATGTCCTTTCATGCAGTAGATTGTCTTTTCTTTTGTTGATGGTTTCCTTTGCTGTGCAAAAACTTTTTAGGTTGATGTAGTCCAATTGTGTATATTTTTCTTCGGTTTCCCCTGCTTGAGCACTTACGTCTATTCTTTATTTTATTTTTTTTTATTTAAGATTTTATTTATTTTTAGAGAGAGGGGAAGGGAAAGAGAGAGAAAGAAACATCGGTGTGTGGCTGCCTCTACGCGCCCCCCCCCAACCAGGGGACCTGTCCTGCCACCCAGGCATGTGCCCCAGCCCGGAATTAAACCAGTGACCCCTTGGTTTGCAGGCCAGCACTCAATCCACTGAGCCACACCAGCGAGGGTCATTCTTTATTGTTTAATGCATCTTGAATGTTTGTGTTTCAAGTAGAAGGGGATCTCCGGCACACTCGCACTCTTGCTCTCTCTCCCTCTCTTTCAGCAGCTTTATTAAAGTATAATTAATATACAATAAGCTGTATGTACTTAAGTATATCATTTGATGATGTGTATACACCCTTGAAACCATCACTGCAATGAAGATAATGAATGTTTCTATCAATCCAGAAGTTTTCTCATGCCCTCTTATAATCCATCTTCCAACCTGTCCCTTTTTCTTATCTCCAGGCAACAATTGATCGACTTTCTGTCACTATAGATAAGATTACACATTGTACAATTTTACAGAGTCATAAATAGTAGTATTTTGGTGGAGGAGAGGTCTGGCATCATTCAGTGTTGTTTTTTGAGATTCATTTGTATTGTGTATATTAATTAGTATATTCCTTGTTATTGCTGGATAATATTCCATTGTGTGTTTATACAGTGGTCACTTACCTATTGATTGATATTTGAAATGGAATATACTTTTTATAGTAAGTTTTAACCTCAGGGAGTTTTGTTTGTTTAACTTTTTCACAGGACCTTACTGTACACGTTAAGAAAGGTGGACAAAGGAGCTACTAGGAAAAATAGTTTGCCCTAGGTTGACAATCAATGATAAATCTCACTCTCTTATCTTTGGCAGGTTTTGGTATTAGGATGTTCAGTACTGCCGACATGAAAAGCAGTCAGTACATTCCCATGCATAGCAAACAGATACGCGGATTGGCTTTCAGCAGTCAGTCCAATGGCTTGCTTCTCTCTGCTTCCCTAGACAACACTATTAAACTGACCAGGTGAGTACTTTGGGGAGGAAGATGAAACTTGGGCTGTTTAATGTTGAATAGCATGGAAATTAATATTTGTGTTATGATGGCCTTAGCTTAGGGCTTTTTGTTTTTATTTATTTTTGTTTGGTGTTTTTTTGCTTGTTTTTTTTTTTCATTTTTTTCTTTTTCCCCCATCTAAGGCATTATATTCTGACATCTGGCCACAAAACAGTATGTATGGTGTCTTACTTTTTTAAAATTATGTATGTTACAGAATACATCTAATATAAGCCCTGGCCAGGTGGCCCAGTTGGTTGCAGCGTTGTCTCCATGTGCTGGGTTTGTGGGTTTGATCCCTAGTCAGGGCACATACAGGAAGGAGTCGATCAGTGAATGCATGAATAGGTTAAACAGCGAATTGATGTGTCTACCTCTTAAATCAATAAAAATAAAATTGTTTTAAAAGTTTACAAAATACGCCCTGGCAGGTTTGGCACAGTGGATTGAGTGCTGGCCTGTGAACCAGATGGTTGCTAGTTCAGTTCCCAGTTGGGGCATATGCCTGGGTTGCAGGCCAGGTCCCCAGTAGGGGGCGATCAAGAGACAACCACACGTTGATGTTTAAAAAAACAATTTGCAAAATACATCTTTAGCCATGCAGCTAAGAGTAATATCCTTGAGATGATAGTGACAATATGGAGTCACCATACCAGCCTAGGACTGCTTTTTCCCGGTCTATTACCAGATCATCCTGCCTAACAAATGCTTACTGGGAGCTCACTCTCCTTAGGTGCTGTGTGACTTCTCTCTTTGGAAGTAGTTCTGGTTAGATGTCTGATAGTTGACTTCTTGTTTAATTTCTGCCGCTAAATCTGAGGGACATCGTGATAGCACACATAAGCTTTTTGACTTTGCAAGAATGCTTCAGCTTAATGTACCATTAATGTTTTATATTTATGTATATGCTGTCATTTTTTTTCTAGTGTTAAGAATGGGTAGAGTGGGGTTAAGTACCAAAGATTATTAATGACTATCTGGGTAGTTTGATTATAATTTATTTTTCTTATATTTTAAACATGGAATAGTATACTCTATATAATAATTATGGAGAATGTTATGCAAGTACAGTGGGAATGTACTGTGTCTATGTCCCTTTAATTTACTCTTATTTCCTTACAGCTTAAGAGGAGAACCCATGTGCTGCCACCCCTCTCCCCCACAAATATTTTGGAATTATAAGGAGTTAACTGGGCAGTCCTTAAGGAAATTGGGAATCCAAATTGTTTGGGTGTATGGGTGTATTCTTAAGTGATCAGTATTAAAATGATAATCTTTATATCCTTGTTATATATTTCATTTTCTTAATGCATAGTTGTAAAAGTCTCTTACAATTCCACAGCCTGGAGACTAATACGGTGGTCCAGACTTACAATGCTGGACGTGCTGTCTGGAGCTGCTGCTGGTGTCTTGATGAAAACAATTACATCTATGCCGGACTGGTCAATGGTTCAATTCTGGTATATGACCTTCGAAACACGAATTGTTATGTCGAGGAATTAGTACCTCAGAAAGCCAGGTAGGGAGCCACTCACCTTTTTCCTATAGGTAGCATCTTTCTCTTAGACAGATATGGTATTAATCCTCTCTTTCCAAAAGTGTTTTCACGGTTGGTCAGAATTCCTCACAGAAAGCAGTTCTCTGAATCCACTGATCTCTTCTCACTTAAGAATCATTAAGATTCTTAGAGTTTGTGTTCATGTTATTTTACACGGTAGAAAGCTCTGGTACCAGGTATAACCAGCTTCATAGAATAACTCAGAGCCCATCATGGCAAAACGAAGTCAGATCTACATTCAGTACCCAGCTCCACTTGGTATGAGCTATGTGATTTTGGCCTGTTATGATCTTGATCTGTAAAAAATGGTTAGCACCCAGCCCTAGCTGCTATGGCTCAGTGGATTGAGTGCTGGCCTGTGAACCAAAGGGTTGCAGGTTCAATTCCCAGTCAGGGCACATGCCTGGGTTGCAGACCAGGTCCCCAGTAGGGGCGCACGAGAGGCAACCATACATGGATGTTTCTCTTTCTCTTTTTCTCCCACCCTTCCCCTCGGTCTAAAAATAAATTTTTAAAAAAGTGGTTAGCACACAGTTACTTTTATAGCTGCATGTCTGTCACACAGGAAGAAAACAATAAAAATTAGCCCAATAAAAAGTGATTTAAAACTTCCCTAATCCACAGCTAAACCAACTTGGTCTAAGGATACTATGTTACTATGACTTATTTGTTATCCAGGTATAGAGTTGGAAGGCTTGTAAAATCAGCTCAAAGTCTTAGGGTGGTTGGCCACCAGCACTGCTGTGGCTCTACAGAATGTGTTGAACACCCCTTGGGCATAATGCTCTCCTGGCAGCATAAAGGTCTCAAAAGGAGAGAGGTTTGTGACATGAGCCACAATGAGAAGTATCTTAGAGAATTTTCATTTGCAATGTGAATATATATTAAAAGAGGGGAAGTAAATATAAAGATCACTACAGTAATAATTACTAACTGAATCCTAGTCTCAACAACTTGGGCTTTTCATTTGGATGGGGTAGAATCCTGCTTCATTGATGTTTGTGCTCTGTGGTCTTGAAGGTGATTGATGTAAACTTAAATGTGAAATCCAGGCAAAGTAGCTGTCATTGATGTGCAGGGTCCCACATAGAGTAGACAATAAAATAAGGCAAATAGTGAGGAAATAATATTTGTATGTATTGTCTTTATTTCAGTTTGCTTTGGTTAGCTGCATTGTGACAGGGAAATGAAATAAGGCAGTCAGCCCTGGCTGGGTAGCTCAGTTGATTAGAATGTTGTCCCAGTACACCAAGGTTGGCAGTTTGATCCCTGGTCAGGACACATAGAAGAATCAACCAATGAATGCATAAATAGTGGAACAACAAAATCGATGTCTCTCTCCCTTCCTCTCTCTAAAATATTAATAAATAAAAATTGAAAAAGAAACCCTGACTGGTGTGGCTCAGTGGGTTGGATGTTGTCCTGTAAACCAAAAGCTGGCTGGTTTGATCCAGGGCGCATGCCTGGGTTGCAGGCCAGGTCCCCAGTTGGGGGCATGCAAGACGCAACCAGTCATTGTTTCTCTGGCATATAAATGTTTCTCTTTCTCTCTTTCTCCCTCCCTTCTCCTCTCTCTAAAAATAAAATCTTTTATAAAAAAATTTTTAAAAGAAGGCAGAGTACTTTGTCAACTTTAGCAGAAACAAGGTCATAGGAACATAGGCTGTAAGCTAATATTTCTGGGGGAATTCTTGGCATAGTCTTGACCGTATGTGTGAAGAAAGGTGTAGAAAATCTCTAAAGAAACAATCCTGTTTATAAAGTAAAATGTAGTTGCTTTGGGATATATGTTAAATGAGGGGTCTGTGAACTACAGCTTGGGAGTTCTATTTAGATGTATAAGCTGTGTTTCTTTTCTGACTTACGTATTTTGTGGCTAACTCCATTTCCAGAAGCTCATATCAGTCAGCCTTTGTTGTAATTGTGATTTTGTACTATTTAATTTCTTAGTCCATTTTTTTCATTGTTTATAGACCATGTTGTGTCTCTTCTGAAATTGGATGTAGAATATTACACATATGTCCTTTTTATTTCTACAGAGTGGGTTGGCAGTTTTTATCAGATGTCAGAAGATAGTGACTTGCAGAAGGTTTTTAACTTCTCTTACAGAGACAGAAATGTGCTCAAGGAGGGCTCCTGGTAGTGGGGTTTGGAATAGTCCAAGTATTAGAATGTGAGGCATGGGTTCCTTTCTTTCCTTTCAGGTGCCCACTTGTGTCCCTGTCATACATACCCAGAGCTGCTTCAGCTGTATTTCCATATGGTGGAGTGTTGGCTGGAACCTTGGAGAATGCTTCCTTCTGGGAGCTAAAAACTGGCTCTTCTCATCGGCCTCATGTGCTGCCCATGGAGCCAGGGGGCTGCATAGACTTTCAGACAGAGAGCAGCACCCGACACTGTCTTGTGACCTACAGGCCTGGTAAGTGTTGAAATGCCCTAATGGGACCACCTGTGATTCGTTTGAGGGCACATTGTGGAGGAGAGGAAAGGAGAGTTTTCCCTGTCCTTCAGCAGTACCGTAAGCCCCTCAGACTAGCAGCTCTTACTACAGTGAGGCTGATGACCCCCAAGTTTCTGTGTAGAGCCTGCCTTCCTGCTCCTCATTTTGTGAACGAGGAGAGATTCTGCCAGGTATTCCATGGAAGTAAATCAGCCACTTCAGGAGCGCCTATGACTTAAAACAGTAATGGGATAAGGAGACCTGCTTTTGAGGCCATTGAGCCACTTCTCAGATCATTTTCATATCTTCTACCTGCTCCCCTTGCTTAAGAGAAAGGCCCAGATGATGGCAGCTGTGCAGGACCCAGACTAGGCCTACATTAGCTGTTTCTTCTTACTTGAGGCCAACATAGGTAAGTGGAGAGGAAATGGACAACCATGGTTGTGTGGGCTTAGCTAGCTGAACCTCTCTCTGCCTCCGGAACTAGGGTGGAACCTCTGACAACCATCTGTGCTTAAATTCACAGGTTCTTTCTAGCCTGAAAGGTACAAATCTATGTTGATGACCTGTACTGATCGTTAGGTAGATGTTTCATAAGAGAAAGTCATCAAAGTGTCATGCTTCTGCTAGTTGCGGGTAGATGTAATTATTTAAAATTCTGTTCGAGCTGAGAAGCCACCTCAGCAGAGTCTTCTGACCTTTTAAGTTCTTAAATGATCTAAGAGGTCTTCTGTCTCCCAAACTGATGCTCTGTGTGACGTGAAGAAAACTTGGGGGTTCTGTTTTGTTCTCTAGCTTTTGTTTGCCTTCCGGCAGAATTACAGATGTGTGTTTCCACTTCTGTAATTCAGTTTCATTTTATAAAAGTGTACAGTTATGGGGCTAATGAGGTCCCCATGGGGGGGACAAAAAAAAAATTGTAGTCAGGCTGTTAAAGGTAAAACCCAGGCAGCGGTCTGGCAGGATATAGTGATTTTACTACAAATGATAGCTCGTTCTCAAATTGTTTCTCTCATAGGCAAAACTTATTGTAGATAACTTGCTTCATCCTAGGCTAGAGCTCTGAATTTCATTTGTGCTGTATTATTTTGTTCTTGTTATTATATTTTGTAGCTATCTTAATGGTTTAATAAATAGCAGTTTTTCCACTCAACTAGGTTGTAAGTGTCTGATGTACTTGGTTAATTTCTTTGGACCACCTCCATGGAGCAACCCTTTTCTCTGTCTCATAGATAAAAATCACAACACCTTACGATGTGTGCTAATGGAGATGTCCTACAGGCTGAATGAAGCTGGAGAGCCAGTCTGCTCCTGTCATCCTGTACAGACATTCCTTGGAGGACCCACTTGTAAACTACTGACCAAAAGTGCTGTTTTCCAAAACCCAGAGAAGAATGGCAGCATCCTGGTGTGTACTGGTGATGAAGCATCAAATTCTGCCCTGGTGAGTCTATTATTTTTTATATAAAATGTATAAATCAAAAAGCCAAAGTTCTGCTCCATAATTACACTTCTGTGAATGTATGTGTACATATGTTTGCTTAGTTTACTTTTTACGTTAAGTCACACTTTACATACTGCTATGTGGTTCGTTCTTTTCCTATTTAATTTCCTGTCTTAGATAGCTTTCCATTTCATTATCTATAGATTCACCTTATTCTTTTTATATATGCTAAAGTATTCCATGGGCCATATATTGAACCTTAAAAAAAAAAAATGCTACTGAAGCCCCCTATATAATTCAGGCATCAGCTCTCAATCCTGGGTGAAACCAGTGGATGAAGGGCTGGTGAGGAATTTCACAATGCAGGGGTCAGCCTGTTACCACCTGAACATGTAGCTCAACCTTAGCCTCACTGTAAGTGGGCTTATTGGGAATAATTTGCCTCTTGATGCAGGGCAGTGTAAAAAAGCACGGGTGCCTTTTATGAGATGTCCTTGAACCTTAATCCAAGCCTTATTTAAGTATATAAGGGTAAAATGACATGAAATTAGCAAAGAAAAAAATAGAATCAATAAAGCAATATTGTAAAAGCTTAATCAGCTGGGTAATGGGTTGCTCATTTTACTATTCTACTTTTTATTACTTTAAATTTTTTTCATAATAAAAATTTTTTTAAAAGAAAAAGCACTAGTTAGAAATAGGTTCCAAATAGCATAAACAATAAAAATACTTTTTAAATTAATTAATTTTTAACAAGGAGATAGGTTCCATGAGGCCATGGCCAAGAACTTCATATTGTCCCTTCTGTCCCTGAGAGACTGCCCAGCACATATTGAAGGGATGAGTGCTAGCTAGGCTTGGTCTTCAGATTCACTGAGAGGTGAACTAATGGCTGATTACAGTAGGTGAGGCCATACCTGGATCATGTCAAGTGTGCTGATTTTATGCAGCCTGTGAGGGTTAGGACTTTGCTCCCCAGGCAGTGCCTCTCTGCATCTCTTTCAAAGTAGATGAGAAAGGAGGCAAGTTTCCCAGTTGAATCGAGTGACTTTACCTTTTCTCTTTACTTTTTTTTTTTTTTTAGCTATGGAATGCTGGCAATGGCTCCTTGCTGCAGGATCTGCCGGCTGATCAGCCTGTCTTGGATGTCTGCCCTTTTGAGGCAAACCATAGCAGCTACTTGGCTACTTTAACGGAGAAGATGGTCCAGATCTATAAGTGGGAGTGACCCTGTCTTAAAACTTTACAAGGCATGCTGCTGGCTAATGTTAAATGTTTGCTAGCACCTGACAGCCTTGAGCAAGATCCCTGCTTGTTGTCTGTGGCCTCAGACTTTTGGGGACATGGTTCCTTTATTGGTATGATTCTAAGACTCCAGATCACTGAAACACTACAGATTGTGTATTTGCTGTGTTCATCAAAAGAGTAAGTGACTGGTACTATGTCTACATTATCCCTTTCTTTGGGTAAAAGCCTTCGTGAATCTTTGTTGAGAAATCTGTACTTTTCAGTCAGACTGTCTGCTGGACCGCAGAGTGTATCCTCCCAGCAGTCTTTTAGGATATGATTGTGCACCAGCCATTTTCTAGCCCCTGCTTCCTGCTTGAGTGGTCTTGTTACATGGGCTATTTGGTTTGGGAATGCCTATGTCCCTGAAGGGACTCTAACCATTCAATGCTGCTTGGATGTATTGTGGATGCAGAAGTCTTTATGTGAACACAAGAGGGCACTATATCTTGCATAGGATTTGATCTATTTCTGACCTTTTGCGCTGACAACCTTTTTAGTAACTTGGTTTCATCCCCACAGAACTGTGTGACAGAGCACATCTGGTTTACTTTGTGGCAGCCACATTATGTTCCAGTTGTGCAGTGCCAGGATATTGGCATGCCCCATGATGGAGGCAGCTGATAAGCTATAGACAACTTTCATAATGCCGAGTGCATTAAGTTCATTGGATTGTGAGAGCCAAGGAAAGAGACCGGTATTTGAGCAGTGGGGAAGACACCCCCTCCCGCCACCCCACCCCGTTCCTAGCCAGCCTAGGATCTCAGGAGTGGTTTTATATAAGCCAGTGCTTCGAAGACCATTCCTTTTCCCTCTCATTAGGAAAAGATGAGCAAGTGATATGTTACAACTCTTACTTGAATCTCCTAGTATCATATCAGGAGCAATGAGTTAACTAAGAGACCTACAAAAGAAGTTGCTCAGACTGCTGCTGTGTGAACAGGAGAAGGGCTTGTCTCTTCCATTCTGAAAGAGTTCCCACCTAAATAAAGCCACCCATTCTGAGTGGGTGTCTGTTCTTAAGCATGTAAATCCTTCCGTATATGAAAATAATGTTTGATTCCAAGTTCTCATGATTTGCCTCCTTTCCTAATCTTTCCTAAAAGTGTTAGTAAAATGGTTATGCTCAGGAAGGTAATAATGGTTGGAGACCTGTGGATTGCAGGAGATGTCCATCAACTTTTTTTAAAACTCTAGATTGTCCACATTTGGGCGCTGCACTTTCTCCAGTAGGGGGCTCAGGAGTGTGATATTTCTTAAATAATTGTTATAGAAATGTTACTGTTTTTATATTTAAATAGTTATGACCTGTGAACTCCTGAGCCATTTCCAGCATTTCTCACCAGCAAGGGGTTATTGCAGTAGATTTCCAATTTCTAGTTGTGCCTTTTAAAGAGTGGCCTTCTATTTTAGTAACTTTTCGAAAAGCCAGTTTTCAGGGTCTGGGAAAGAGCCCCCCTTTCTCAGAGGAGAAATTCCTTTTGGTAAGTTAATGGTTTGATTACCCAGGCCTAAAGCTTCAGTAGCAGAATGGGATTTGAATTGAAAAGCAAAATACATCTGGTTTCAGTAGATTGACACAGAGAGGGATGCAGATGTTCAGACCCTGGCTGCCTTTTGTCTTGGGCAGCAATAGGATTTGACTAATCTTGAAGTACACTCAAGGGATGTTGATTGATTTGCTAAGGGACTTATTGCCAAAGAAATTGGGTGAATCTCACCTCTTGCCAATCCTTGCATTCCTCCAGTAAATTTGTATGTTTAGAAACAAATTCATGTGACTGTGACTGATTTCTCCAAAGGAAAAAAACCTCACCTTTAGCCACCCCCCAACACTGCACCTAGCAGGAATTGTATTAGTAGACCCAGGCTCTGGTGTCTTGTACAGCACCCAGCCCCTCCTTACCATGTTTCTTCATTGCTGTCTCTAAGGTGGTTTTCCCATTTGAGAGTTTGGAGTTAAGCAAACTCAAAATATTTTGTTGTGTATATCCTTGTACCTGCTTTGAAAATAGGGCGATAGGATCTCTGTTAGTGTGTTTCAATGTTTGTGTTTTATATTTTAATGTTAATATGAAAATAAAGAATCTACGTGTTGAACAGCTCCTGGTGTCTTTTGTCTCTTTGACTGCCAGCAGAGGCAGGAACCTGTCTGCCTCTTGGGAGCAGGCTATAATCCCAGCCTGGTAGATTTCTTCACTTCATGCAGTACTAGGTCTGAGTTACACAGTTACCTTGGATCTGAAGTAAACATTTTATTTAAATTGATAAGATGGTTAACGCTTTAGCTAGCAATTCCATTTTACTGTTGTTAATAGGAAGCTGTATGTTAGCCTCATATGAGCCTCCCTTCACTGGTCATTTGTTTATTCTGAGATCTAATGGTCTAACTTCTGAAAACTACATTTCTCAGACTCCCTTTGTTTGCTAGCTTCCCGTTAGTTTCTTTCAATCCAGGAGACTAATGTGGGAGGATGCAAGAAGAGGAAAAGACTTTACCTTTTGTTTCTTTTCATCTTTGTCAGCTCTTCCTATGGTGGCACCAACATTGGGCAAATGTGGGCTCCCTGGGTTCCTGCTCAGCACAGTTCTGGCTACTTGCCTGAGTTTCTTTGTTCTGTTTAGGAATTTCTATTGCCAGAAATGACGGTGTTCAAGGATTAGACTGGAAAGGCTGAAAAGGATGAAAAATCCATCACTGTGTTCCTTCTGAGGCCGCATCTCCAAAGGTTGCTCTCCAAGAGGACTGAATCCAGGGGTGAAGTTTACTGTTGTCATGGAGCCTGGTGTTCCAACAGAAAATGACAGAAGTTCTGATGTAGAAGTCAACCCCAAGTTACCAAGAAACCCAATATTCCCTTCCATTGTATTCTTTTCTTTCTTTTTTTTTCCATCTCAGTGATTGACTATAAGTGAAATTGTGAAATTAGATCTTTGTGTGTCGTGTCCTTTGTCAACTTTGTTGGTAATAATCTCTGGTGGTTGTTTATCCCTTCATAGTTCACAGACCCCCCTTCCCAACATATTTTTTAAGCAATTTTGTAGAATAAGGATTATTTTTCTGATTTAAAGGGGAAGAAACAGGTTTAAAATCCTAATAAAAGAAAATGACATTTAGGTGGTATTTAATTAAATTTTACATATCCTAGTCTTTCAGTTTTATACTTTTCATTACCAATAGCTAAGCAGGAGTTGGGAAACCTGGGTGAAAGCTCGCTTTCACTTTTGATATCTCTGTCTCCAGAACAGCCTTGGATAATTTCCCACTTCTACATTTAAAATGAGAATATAGTAGACAGTCATTCACATCATTGCAACTCTGCATTCTTCCAAATCCCCTCATCTGCGTTGGGTTTCTCAGTCCTGAGGCTGGAACACCACTGTTCAGTTGATGAGTCTATCACACGTAGACTAGAACCGCCTGTTCACAGAGGTCCAGGAAAGGGGAAGAAAGGGTGGTGGAGCTGCTCTGGCCTGTTCTCAGAGAAATTATGTGGAAACTATGGAGGAGCTTGCTTACCCAACTTTTGTGGAGAAATAAAGGGGGAAACGGGGTGGCATATAGTGGTCATGAAAACATGTCTCAGACCTCTGACTGTGGGGACCATAACTGACAAAGGACCTGCTGCTGTGCTCTGAAATCCATCACTGTTTCCTCTGAGGCCACACTCTCCAAGGGTTGCTCCCTGCTAATGACTAAGCAAGGCGGAGATGTTAAAGCAGGCCCATTCCTGGGAGATGAACATCCTAATAAGTCGTCTATAGCTAATCTTGTCTGGAGAAGGCTTCCTATAGAACCTGAAATAATCCACCAGCAGGCAAATAGTGAAGTCCATAATGAAATCCAGACAGTCTAGGCCAGCTCTAACCACAATGCTATCCCCAAGGCAGGAAATACAGAGGAGGTGCTTATATAATTACTGAATAAATCAGTATAAAAATGACACAGTTGGCAAGGGGTAAATTTTCCCAAGGAGGCTTTAAAATGTTGAGACTTGAGATAAGCGTTAAAGGATAAGTCATTGTAGGACGAAAGGATTATAACTTCAATGTTTCTTCTATTTGATCTTGAAATCTTGGACATGGCAAAAGTCAGGGTGTTGCCTGAGGAAAGGGAGACTACCAAGGCAGTCCTGTACTACAGCGATTGTTACCAAAGACCGATGGACCAGTACTGGCTTAGTTGTTGGGAAAAATGTATTCTTGGAGATCATAATCAGAAATTTTTCAAAATTGCTCCAAGTGTTTGAGCTGCACAGTCAAGTTTGGGCAAGTATGCTTGTGCTTTAGAAGCTGCCATAGTCCCCAGATGGGAGAAATGGTAAGAAGTGAAGGGGGCAAAGTGCTCTGCCCAAACATCTCATCACCTTGCTTGCCTAAATTATGCATGACAGCACGTAGAGGGTTTCAGGGAAGTAGGAGCATTTCAGCCACTCAGCAGTGTGAGCATTAAAGTCTTCCCTGATGGCCTTCTGTGTCCAACAGCCTGCGGAGCCCTGTGAGGGTAGTTGTGGGGTGGTTAATGACCACCTTTACTAGCTTTTGCTTGGTGATTGAATCACAAACCTGGTGAAAAACCCTTCAACGGCTTCCCATTACACTCAGATTTAAGGAGACTTAGGCCTAATGCAGTTGTTTTCTATTATCCCGTGTGTTCTTTTTGAGGGGTTTAATGAAGTGTTTTTCATTCCAGTATTTTTTTTTTCCTTCTATTAGCTTTTCACTTACACACTGTTGTCGTATTCCTTTAGTGTTTACCCTAGACTCCAGGGCCTAGAGAGCACAACCTGCATTCTTGATTATGTGCTGTGGGAGCCGTATCGTTATCACACATGTTAAAATCCCTCATTGTTGTCCACATACTTACCTTTTCAGTGTTCTATTCCTTAGTCCTGTGCTGGGGAATCACTTTCCTTCAGCCTAAAGTAATGCAGTTCTGCTAGAAATGAATTATCTCGCTATCTCAGCTTTAGTTTGAAAATGTCTTTATTTCATTTTCCTTTTTTAATTAGGACTTTATTTTTTAAGCAGTTTTAGGTTCACAGTGAAATTGAGGGAAGGGCACCTGGCCAGTGTGTCTCGGTTGGAGCGTTGTCCTATACACTAAAGGGTTGGGGGTTCAATTCCTGGTCAGGGCACATAACCTAGGTTGCGGGTTCAGTCCTCGGCTGGGGTGTAGGTAGAAGGAAGCCAATGGGTGTTTCTTTTTTAGGGCTGAATAGTATTCCATTTTGTGGACGTACCTGTTTATCCATTCACCTACTGAAGGACATCTTGCTTCCAGGTTTTGGCGATGATGAACAACGCTGCTATAAACATCCATGTGCAGCTTTCTGTGTAGATATTTTCTTTTTAAATCACCCAACCATATGCTTACTGTTTTGAGAGAGGTAAACATCAGTGTGAGAGAGAAACATTGATTGGTTGCTTCCCTCATGTGCCCTGACCAGGAATCAAACCTACAACCAAACCTGCAACTGTGGTATGTGCCCTGACTGGGACACAAACCCACAACCCTTCTGTGCACTGTGCGCGGGACAACACTCCAACCAACCAAGCCACACAGGCCAGGTGACCTTCAGTTTTGAAACACGTTTTCCTTGGTTGCAGAGACCTAGGTTAGCAGTAGTTTTTTTCCTTAGTGCTTAAGTTTTATCATTCCACTATTTTCTGGCCTCCGTACTTTCTACTGAAAAGTTTAGATGTCACTGTTTTACTTTGAATATATTGTGTTTTCCCTACTTTTAAGATTTTCTTTCTTTTTTATCTTCAGAAGTTTCACGATGGCGTGCCCCAAGATGGTATTTTTTTGTATTTACCTGCTTGGGGTTCAGAGAACTTCTAATCTATAAGTTGATATTTTTCATCAGTTTTGAGAAATTCAAAGCACTGTCTTTTCAGATATTGAGCTGTACAATTCTCTTTCTCCTCTCCTTCTCAGACTTGAATTATATGTCTGCTACTTTTGACTTGTGTCCCATGAATCTCTTCTAATCTGTTCTTTTTTTAAACTCTTTTTTTCCCCTCTTTGGATATTTCCTATTAACCTCTTTTCCTTCAGTAAGTCTGTCCAGTGCTGTAGACTGAATATTTGTGCACCCCGCCCCCAATGTTATGGTGGGGCCTTTGGGAGGTGATCAGGTCATGGGAATGGAGCCCTCGTGAATGGGATTACTGCACCCAGAGAGCTCCCAGACATCCTTCCACCATGTGAAGCAAGAAGAAGGCTGTTTGATGAACCGAGACTTGGGCTCTCATGAAACATTGAATCTTCTAGTACCTTGGTCCTGGGCTTTCCAGCATCCAGAAGTGTGAGAAATTCTGTTGTTTATAAGATACCCAGTCTATGGTGTTCCGTATAGCAGCCGAAACAGACTAAGGCATCCAGCCTCTTGTTGCAGTCCTCTAATGGATTTTAAGTCAGTTCTAGCATGTTTGCTTATTTGTATGCAATCCAATTTTCTGTTGATAGTCTTTTATTAATCTTTTATTTTCTATAACAGTCACAGTTATTTTAAAGTCTCCATCTGATATCTCTAATACCTGAATCATAAGGAGTTTGTTGACTTCTTTTTAGTTTTGGTTATTTAGTTTAATTCAATTTTGTCTTCTTTTTAGTATAAATCTTGTATTCAGTGCTGTACCATTCAGAATAAAAATTGTAGAGGCTCTAGATGATGTTGCCTTTCTCTAAAAAGTTTTTTTCTTACAAAGTACTGGTTGGTCACCTTGACCCCACGGAGGCATATTTTAGACTTTATTAGAGTTGGCTAATTGTAGTCTTGCCCTTTCTTCAAGGGCAAGTTCCTTGTTCCTAGGATGTTGTCCTTTCTCCTAGAATTTGGCCTTTATTCCTAGTGTATAAAACTTCTGGGGTCTCAGTTAAAAGACAGGGTACTTGCCGAGGCCTGTATACCTCAGCAGAGTTTAACTCTAACTTCTATTTCCTCAGTACTTACGCAGCCACTGAAATCTCTCAATTTATTGCTGTTAGCTATTATTTTCTTCTGGATCTGTTGATGTCTCACCCTGTTCCTGCACAGCTTAGGAGTCAGCCAGTGACGAGAGAAATTTGCTCACAGATTTTTGGCTCTTTCTATGTGGTTTCCTCCTCTAGTATTTTGACCCTTAAGTCCCTACCATTTGGAGGGACTTCTAAACTCCTACCTGTGTGTTTTTAGCCCAGTAAGATTGCTGCTTACTGCATGAGTTCAATTTTTTTCAGCCACAATTTGAACTTTACATCAGGAAAAAAAATCTGCACTGGAGGTCCCCTGTATAATTTCCTTTTCTTAAAGATTGTGTGTAGCCCCTTATTTTCTGACTGCATTGGTTACTTTCTGACCACTTCCAAATATATTTTATGTATCTTACCTAGATTTTATGGTTTTATTTTAGTAAAGATGAAAATTCTTAGTCATGGTTGGACTCAGAATCCTCCCTAGTAACATGTAACATGTATATATAGGGTCTACAGGGCCCTATATGATCTGACCTGTGACCAGTTCTTGACTCCTTCTAATCCCCTTTTTTCTCATTTTAATTCAGCCATGTGGGCCTTCATGTTAAACGCTTATCCTCAAATCAGGGTCTTGAACTTGTTAACCTCTGCTTCTGGAACACTTGCTATGGTCTAAATTTTGTTGTCCCCCTTAGGTTCGTATGTTGAAATCCTAATGCCCAATGTGATGGTACTAGTAGGAGATGGGGCCATTTGGATATGCTTAGGTCATGAGAATGGAGCTCTCATGAACGGGGTTAATGTTCTTATATGAGACCCCACAGAGCTTTCTAGCCCCCTGCACTATATCAGGACACGGTGAGAAGTTGACAGTCTGCAACCTGGAAGAGAGCCTTTGCCATAACCCTGCTAACCTAAGCACCCTGATCTCAGATTTTTGGCCTCCAGAACTGTGAGAAATAAACTTACATTGTTTAGAAGTCATTCAGTCTGTGATATTTTTGTTATAGCAGCCTGAACAGATTAAAACAACTTTAGACCCAGTTCTTCACGTGGTTTCCATCTTTATGCCAACTGGCTCATTTATTACTCAGTTTTTTCCTAGCTACCTTCATATCGAAGTTCCTCCCCATCCCAGCCAATAAAACAAAATAAAGTACCTTTTACTTTGTTTATAGTACTTAACACTGTCTGAAATTATCTTGTTCTTTGTTTACCATGTTTATCATATAAGCCAGTGCTTGTGCAGTGCCTTGGCATGTAAAAAAGCAAAACTGCTCAACAGATATCTATTGAATGAATTAGGAAAGTGAAAATCAGAAAACTAAAGGTACAATAAAGGGTAAAATGAATTCCTAGTTTGTGACAGTGGTAGTAATATTTTTCTTGAAAAGTCAATGAGGCCAGGAGACCCACATTAGGTCAACCCTCTTTCCAGCAACTTGGGGGTTTGAGACTTCTGGAAGATCTAGGCTTGCTGCCCGAGCTGGCCAGGCTCCCAGATTTCTCATGGTATCTTGCTTCTTGGTCACTGATTTCAAGGTAGTCTCATATACTCCTCCCTATCTCCAGAGGCAATCTGTGGCTGAGCATAGGGTTTCCTCATTGCAGGATGAGAGATAGGCAACTGCTGGCACCTCCTAGCAGACTGTTAATTTCTAGCCTTAAGTCAGTTTGAAATAATCTCCCACTTGTCTGAGTACATGCAGATCCATCATTGAAAATTAATGGCCCCTAGTGACTTCTAAAGAACTTCTGGTAATATCTCATGTATGCCTAATTGAGACTTAACCTATACCATGCATCTATTAATGAATATGTACACTTACCTGTCTACCCTAGGCTGCCTTACTCAGTGCTCAAGGTTAGCAAAAGTCTCAGGACCATTTTATGGCAGTAGCAGATGTGACTGTTGGAGAGGCCAACACGTCCTTATTATTAGAGAGAGAGACCTGGAGTAAGCCACGGTGGGCAGTTTGTATCCTCCAGGATATTAGGTCTCAGGCCTCCTTATAGAGCCCCACCCCACATCCCAGGCTCTGGTTATGTCTCGTCTGTTTTTGACTGCCTGTTTGTGGGTCAGCACAGCCAAAACAGCCGAAGCTGCATTTTTTAACATGTCTGACCATTTGATATCACATGCTACAAGCGGCCATCATTTCCCAACACTCTGGATTGGCAGAGTGGGCTAAAAGTGCACCAGGACAGTGAGAAGCCCCAGGGATTCTAGTCCTAGGTTGGTAGAGTTCATTCTGGGTGGTCGTTTAATCCTGCTGTGCAGAACTGTTACCATCTCTCTGCCATTCCTCAGCCATATTTTGTCGTGTATAATACGGACTTTGCCCAATTTCTGAGGGAAAAATGAGGGTGCACATTATTCATGGGTATAATAATCTTGTGCATAAAGCGCACAAAAATGTGGGTGGGCATTATACATGGGAGCTCATTATATGTGACAAAATACGGTGTTTATTTTCAGTCCTTTTTATTATTTTCCTCCCAGTCTTCTCTCGCTTTTTTTCCCCTCTTTTCCTTCTATGATTGTTTTATATAGATAAAATCATACTGTCTAATTTTGACTTTCCTGGTTTTCTTGCCTATTATATGTAGTTTCTAAGGTTATGGAAAACTTACTGTGGGACCAATACTTCTCATTGTGAGAGGAGGCGAATGCCCCACCCCACCCGGGGGACATTTGAAAATGTGTAAAGACATTTTAGTTGTCTTAGAGGCGGGGATTGCTTCTAAACATCCTACAATGCACAGGGCACTTCCCTACAACAAGCATGTACCTAATTCCCAATGCCAGTAAAGCATCATTGTTGACAAACCCTGCTGTAGATACAGTTTTTGATGGTTGCATATTGTTCTATTGTTTGAAAGCCATTTATTTATTTAAACAGTCCTCTGTTGTTGGGTATTTATTTTGATTTTTTTTACCTAATACAAATAATATCGAAATATGCTCATTTGTTCTGAATTAACACAAAACATAAATATTCCTCTGTTTTCCAATAAATACTGAACCAAATAGATCGCAGCCCAGTCCTGATACATGCCTTAAATGATACAGTGAATATGGAAAAGATTTGGGAAGATATCTCTCCTAAGGAAAGGGAGGGGACACTGTGAGTTGAAACAACGAATCCCTGCTGAAAGTGCTGCTTACAAGTCAGCAAGAACAGTTACCCAGGCACAGACTTAACAGTCCTCAAAAACGTGTTTTATTTTCTTTTCCTCTTTTAAACATGAGTTTAAGTTCTCGCTTACAATCAGATTCAGGCGCAAAGGGCTTCACAGTTTATTTATAATGCTGGCTATAACTTTAAATTCCATATTGTGGGCCAGTCACTTTCCTTATTATTATTTCTAATCTTTACAATATACTTTACATCAGAGCTCCTCCTCTGCTTTCGAGACGCAGAAAATGAGGTTCGGAGAAGTTAAAGGGCTTGCCTAGTCTGCTGAAGAGCAAGAATCATAAGAGGTCTTCTCTTATCCCGGAATCTGTGCTCTGCCGTATCTGGGTAAGAGAGACCTTTGAGACGGGATGAAGGAAGCAGGGAGAAATGCAAGAAGAGGCTCTTGGATTACGGAGAACACCTGATCGTGTAAAGTTCACCTCTCTATTGAATGGGCAACACATTCTACCGGCCATCTTGGTTGTGGCAACCCCAACGCCTTTTTATTTTCCTATGACGACAACCAAGCGAATAAGGCAAAACTGCTCAACCTAGGCTTTTTAAGAAGCACCAGCAACTCTCCCGGCAAAGAGCGCGGCTTTCTGGCCAGCGGAAGTTGTGGGCGTGGGCCGTTCAGAGCAGGGTCTCTTCCCAGGTTCCGTTCTGAACTCCGAGTCCGCGCCGGCCGGGGAGGGGCTCGGGTGGGCTCTGCCTGCCCCGCCCCCTCATTTAAATACGCGGCGCCGGCGGCTGCGTCGAGCTCGCCGCGGACCCAAGATGGCGGCGTGTGGACGTGTACGGAGGATGTTCCGCTTGTCGGCGGCGCTGCAGCTGCTGCTGCTGGCGGCGGCTGGGGCCCAAAAACCACCCGTCCAGGGCGGCCACAGCCAAGGCCAGGGCGCCGGAGCCAACTTTGTGCCTTTCGCAGGGCAGGTTGGAGGCGGCGGGCCGGCGGGTCAGCCGCTAATCCAGCTGCCTCCGTCATCTCAGCTCCAGCAGCAGCAGCCGCAGCAGCAGCAGCAGCAGCAACAACAACCGCCTCAGCCGCCACAGCCGCCTTTCCAGGCTGGCGGGCCTCCGGCCCGGCGGGGCGGAGCGGGGCCCGGCGGGGCCAGCGGGGGCTGGAAGCTGGCGGAGGAAGAGTACTGCAGGGAGGACGTGACCCGTGTGTGTCCCAAGCACACCTGGAGCAACAACCTGGCGGTGCTCGAGTGCCTGCAGGACGTGAGGGAGGTGAGGAGGTGGAACGGGGCCGGGAGGGCCAGGCCTGGTGCGGGCCGGAGGGTGTCGCCAGCCTTGGAAGCCGCTGACGCCGATCTGCTGCTTTCCTCCTTCCTCTGTGCTGCCCTCGCTCCTTCCTTCCCTGTCCCTCTCTCCTCGGCGCCTTCCGAGAGGACGCTGCCCCCGCCCCATGCCTCCCCGGGGCCGGGGTGCGGGACGCAGACCCCGACTCCCGGCCGCAGTCCGCCGAGGCCCAGAGCGTGTTTATGTTTGCTCCGGTCTTTTGTGTGATGCTATGAGCACGGTGGCTCCTCGCCGAAGACCTGTTCTGGGTTTTGCCATCCGTTTCGACTTGACAATTTGTAGCAACCCTCTTTTAACATGAAAATGGTTGGCGTACTTAACACGTTAAAGCATGAACCGTTGTTTATTGCCTAAGATAATGTTTGTTTAGGTATCTTGAGTTCTGTCTGATATGTATTGTCCACAACCGAATTTACTGTCTTTACCTCATTCTTTCGTAATTCGAAAATTCCTGTTATCTACCGGGTGCTGAAACTGATGGATGCTTTCCCCCAATTCACTTTTTTGGGGTTTTTTTGCATCTCAAGTTTAAGCAGTTGCTGCAAGTGGTTTACAGTCCCAGAGCTTGAAAAGTTGGGGCAACGTTCGAAGCTGTGATACATATACAGTATTTGTGATTGGATTGTGGAGTCTTGTCTTTCTGATGTCTGAATATGATTTTAACAGTACTTCGTAATGAAATCTAGATTTGATGTTATTTGACATGACCCAGTTTAGTGATAGATTATTTCTCCACTAGATTTAATGCTGCAGACATACATGCAAATATGAGAATTTCCAGTCAAAGTTTGCCAACAAATCTGGTAAGGATACTTAAAAAAAAAGTTGCATAGAAATAAGCCCAAAGGTCGAATGAAGTTTGCTGTTTGATAGTTTTGTTTGACAGATTGTATCATCAGAGTTGTCTAAGGTCTTCATGGTCATGGGAAGACCACTGGTTTGTAGAATGGTGCTGCTCTTGGCGGTCCATCCCCACCCCCCGATCCCATGGTGATATTTGATCTAACATTTTATACAAAGTAATTCACGAGAGGAAAAGGCATATGTAATCAGGAGACAGAGAAAGGAAGTTTCCAGAGTGGCCTGAAATATGGGGCCTTCAATGACTTCTCATCCACAACTTGAATACCAGAAAGATAATAATGTCTTGTGATTCTCTGTCCTTCAGCTACTCCTCTAGTAGATACAGCTAAGGCTCTTAACTTTGTCAAGATTTTTGGAATTTTCTTGTTGGTAGTTGAACAAATATACTAGAAGTTGTTACCTCAAACTAGGGTCCTGATAATCGTGACCAAACATATTGTTAAGTGGTTTGTGGCAAAACAGGACATTATCAGGAAAAATGGCAAGAAGTGGCCCATTCAAGGAATACTTGTCTCTTTCTTTGTGTGCATCAGGGATACCACTTACAGGAGCAGTTTTCCTTTGTCATGCATGTAGAAGTGCTTAGCAGCATATACAATCCATAAATAGATCTGACCACTCTTGGAGTCTGTTTAGTTTAGTAAGTGCTGTCTTTCTGGCACTACTTACTGTAAAAAACCTGGCCCGGAAATGTAGTCCTTGTTCCACCTTTGCCTGTAAGAGTCTCAGCAAGGACATTGTTTAAATAAGTACATTTTTCTTCCTTTATGGAATGATATATAAACTCTTTGAGGGTAGTTACTGGCTCCTATATTTCCTTCGTAGCTTTCCAGACTACCTAATTCACTGCTGAGTCAGTTAACATTGTTGACTACTTGAGGATGAGTAAGCTAATGGAGTCAGTTTTACGCTCTAGAAGAAAAGGTGTCATGTAATTTGAAGGTGGGGGTGTTTAGGGAGGGGTAAGGGGGATTCTAAATTTCCAACTTAATTAATTTTCCTCCAATTTTATATACATAAAAGGAGTACCGTAAACAACTGTGTATATTGTCTAGAAAGTGGAGCTATTTTTAAACTTTTTTTCTTTAAAGACAGCAGAGGAAATTTTATTCCACATAGTTTGAGAATTAAATCTGATTTATGTGTTTGAAAGAGATAACTTAAACTAGTAGAGTACATTTGAAGTGAATTTATGGAATATGTTTTATATTTGCTGTTCTGTAAATAGGACTATTGATAGGAAAGTAGACATATGTACCCCTTTATCCTTTTGGATACAAATTCAAGGAAGATTTTTCTTTGTGTACTTGCTGTTAGAATTATGAAAAGGCAAAATATATGGGTATTTAAATGGATGCATAGTAAACCACATTTTAATTTTGAAACAACATGGCGGTATATAATGTTAGGTTAAGTCCTTTTTTTAATTTTAGTTTCTATTACAGTTTGTATTCAATACTTATTTGTATTAGTTACTGGTGTCCACAGAGCAGATGGACATTCATAGAGGTTACCAGGGTAAACCTTTAGAAAAAAATAGTTTTGCTTATTGATGGGGAGGGGGTTGGGGGAAGGAGAGAGAGAGATTGATTGATTGTTCTACCCATTTATGCATTCATTGGTTGCTTCCTGTAGATGCCCTGGCCAGGGATGGAATCCACAACTTTTGCATATTGGGTTGATGCTCTAACCAACGGAGCTACCTGCCAGGGCCAGGTTAAGTCTTAAATTCAAATAGGTTAAGGTTCTCCATAGCGTAGTGTTCAAAGTTATGTAGCAGTTCGCTTACAAAATATACTTAAAGGCATTATGTTTACCTTTAAATAATTTCAACTGATATTAGTTAAAGTTTGACTAATGCATCATACAGGTATGCCAACAAATTAAAAATATATGTAGAAACTATACAGACTGCATACAGACTATAGATTCGTTTACAGCTTTTTCTCAGTCAGTTTGGCCATTATTTTGAAGGCTTGTGTTATGTGGAGGATTCTTGCTTTTTTAAACACTCTCAGATGAGTCATGTTTTTTAAAAGGTGAAGCATCCAGTGAGCCCACTATTAAAAAGTAGGTGTAATAGTAGTAATGGTGGGATAGTAGAGTCCTGCCTGTGTGTTTGTATGTATAATGATTAGTAGTTCTAGTTAAAAAAATAAGTAGAAAATATAGGGAAAAGGAAAAATAACTGTGGGCTAAAAGGTGGAGGAGTAGTTCATGCTAATGCAAGAGAAACTTTTTAGTTAGTGTTTGATAAAGAGATAAGACATGCTTATGTTGAGAGTAATTTTAAAATATGTATTTTTGGCTGAAATGACTAGTAGTGTCTTGCATTTAGGAGTTTTAGATGGAGACATTTGTTCCTTAGGAGAAGTTTATTAATGCTGTACATAGTTTTTCTTAGTTTTTTTGCTTGTTTTTGTTAGATTAAAGAAAAGACTTTCTAATTTGGAAAATTTCAAACATGTAGAATAGTATGATGACTCCCCATGTATGCATCACCCAGCTTTAACTGTCTTTTTTGGGTGTAGGGGGCACAGAGTTTGGGATACTGGCATATTTTAGCAAATCCCAGACACTATATCATTTTTCTTTAATACTAATTTCTTTAATACTAATTTTCTTTAATATTAATTTCTTTAAAAAATAAAACTAGAACCTAAGTGTTATTTTAATATTAAAAAGCATCATGAAATATTTCTTTTGAATTTCTTCGTGTCTTCTCTTGATATATTAATTTCAAAGTATAAATATATGGACCGCTATCTCTAATCTATGAACAGAGTGAATGCTTTGCAAATACTTATTTAAGGAGGACTATTTTATGTATTGAATAGGAATTAACATTTCAACATTACAAACCATAAACCCACTTTCAGACTCATAGGTGAACATTTTTCTTACTCTATTCTTAACCTTCCACCTAACTGTGTCCTCAGATAGTGTACCACACTATCTGTGTTATGTCATTTAATATTTTTGATAGCCCTGTGAGGTGGATGGTGTTATCTTATTATCTCAGTTGAGAAACAGGCTCAGAAAGATGAAGTAATTTGTCCAGCATTATAGCCTAAGTCGTTGGGCTGGTATTCAGGAAGTTCTTTTGGACTTCAAAGATCATCTTTTTTTCCAACCTACCATGGATGGTTGCAAGTAGGGAGATTAGTGTTTGACTGTAAGGAAAGCCTGGAGTTCATAGGGAATCTTCTTCACTTCACGAACAAAAACAGTTGGGTAGCAACAGCTACTACGCTTTGAAGTATTATAGATTTCTCAGGCAAATGGGCCAGCATTATTAGACAAAGCTAATTTAATTACTAGTCTGAGTATATAATGAGCAGAATTTCTTCTAAATGAAAAGGATTTTTTAAAATATATTTTACTTATTTACTTTTTTAGAGAGAGAGGAAGGAAGGGTGAAAGAGGAGGAGAGAGACATCAATGTGTGAGGGGAACATCAATTGGTTGCCTCTCAATGTGCCCCAAACCGGGGACCTGGCCTGCAACCCAGCATGTGCCCTGACCTGGAATTAAACCAGCAACCTTTCAGTTTGCGCGATAATGCTCAACCCACTGAGCCACACCAGTCAGGGCTTAATGAAGAGAATTTTTAAATTCCATCTTGCCTTAAGCAGGATTTGTGCTACTATAATATTAAAAGTTTAGATATAGCCCTCTGCTATTTCTATAGAATCCATGGGATGGCACAAATTGTGAATGAGAACTGGAGCTGGCACCATCATTAACTAATGGGATGACTGCAGGCAAGGCATTTGACCACTCTGAGTTTCAGTTTCCCGTGTGTTAAATTAAAGGCTTGGGTAATAATATAATTTTAAGATCCCTGTTATTTAACCTATGAGTTGTTCCCTGTACTAGGGGGGACCAAAACAAGCAAACAAATGAATTGTCTTCTTGAGGGTGGGCCCCTTATAGTACAGGCTTCCTCCACTAGGTGAGTGTTCTAGGAACCCATCTGTACCCAATGCCATGTACCAGCTGGTATTGTTGTGAGAGGCTGCGTTTGGCTTCAAAGAATTTTTTGTTTTTTGAAAACTCTTTCA